TTTTTAATTTTATAATTATTTATATAATAATAAATAGCTTACTTTTTTACTCTTTTAATAAAAATACTTTATTATATTTAATATATAAAGTAAATAATTTAAGTTTATAAAAGTAAAATTATTATTATAATTCTTTATAGTTTATTATAAAGATTAGTTTATATTAATTTAATTTAATTTTAAAAAGTATTATATAGCTTATAAATAGTTATATAAAAGATATTAAATTTTAATAAAGGTAGGGTAAGTATTTATTATAATAATTAAAAATAGTTATAAATATAAAATATAAAAGGTTAGTTTATAAATATATTAGAATATATATAATATTTATAGAAAATAAAAGAATAATTTTTTATATACTTAAAAGTTTTTATATAAAAGTATTAAAATTATTTAAATAAAATAAAAAAGAAATTACCTTTTAAGTTAAAAATTAAATAAAATCTATATATATATTTTTATAAAGTAAGTTTAACTTTAATATATATAAATATTTTTAATAAATATTATTATACTTTATTAATTAAATTAAATATATTAAAGGATTATTATATTAATTTAATTAGTTTATTAAATTACTTTTAAAAAGTAAAAGTATATTAAAAGAATTTAATTAACTTTTAATTAGTAAATTTAAATTTATTAATAAAAGACTTTTATATAAAGCTTTTATAACTTTTTAAAAACTTAAATAATTTAATAAAATATATATAAAATTTTATTTATAAAGTATATATATTAAATATTAAAGGAGTAATATTAATAAAATTAAGTTTTATAATAAATTAAGTTAGAAATTAAGAATTATAAAGGAGTATTTAATATAATATAAAAATATTAAATAACTCTTTATAAGGATTTTAAAAGATATATATTTTAAGATTTATAAATTTATTTATTATTTTATATTAACTTAACTTTATATTAATAAAAATAGAAATAATAAATAATAAAAATATTATTTCTATTATATTATTTAAATAGATTAATTTTAATATATTATTAAATTTATAAAATTAAATTATATATATATTTATTAACAAAGTTTTTAATTAAAGTTAATATTATTATAATTTATATTTAATTATAAGTATTTATAAAACTTTATTATTTAAAACTTTATATATATATTAATTTATATTAAAATTAATAAAAATTTAAATTTATAAAACTAAAAAAGGTAGAAAAGAAATTAAAACTTTATTTATTAATATAATATTAATTAAAGCTTTTAAATAATTAAAGAGATTAAAGAATAATAAAGGACTTAAAGTAATATATATTAATTAATAAAAAAGTTATTATTTTATAAATAATAAATAAAAATTATTTTTTAAAAAAGTAGTTTATAATATATTAAATGTTTTAATATATATATAGAAATAATAAACTATAATAAATTAGCTACTATAAGTTAAATAAGTAATAAATAGTTTATATATATATATAGGCTAAGCTTAGTTAGTAGGTTTAGCTAACCTAATTAAGTACTTTATTATTTAGTTAAGTAGACCTTTAACTAATACTAATACATACTACTTTACCCAACTATTTACATATAAGCTAAGCTAACTAATATTAATTAGTTGCTAACCGGCTTCTAATAATAAGGTTTAAAGAGATAGTTAATTGCTTTAATAAGCGAAGTAACTATACTAACACTATAGAATCGGCGGCATTAATCTTAGTCTATTATTTAGAACTATAGTAATTATAATAATAATAATAGTAATAAACTAATATTAATCCTAATTTATTAGTTTAAAGCTATTAAAGACGTTATATATATTTATTATATTTTAAGAAGAAGTTAGCAATCTTTAAAGACTTAGAATCTAACTTTCTTCTCTTATTAATAACCCTCTCTTAATTATAAGTAACACTTTAAGTTAAATATAGTAATCTCTAAAGACTTAAAATCTATAAACTCCTTTTAAATAACTAAATAAAACACCTTTACTAATTTAATTTTATATAATAATCTTTTTATAACTAATAATTTAAGTCTATTTATTAATCTATTAAATACTTTTACTAACCTCTTAAATACTTTTAAAAGACTTTTAAATATAAATAATAATCTTATAAGTTAAGTAATTAACTATATAAATAAAGTAATAATATATTTATTATATAAAGATTATACTTAATATATTTAACTAATTAATTAACTAATTTAATTAAAATAACTAATTAAATAAATTATAATTAAACCTTTTATTTAAATAATTATATAAATAGTAATTTATATTTAAAACTTTATACTTTAATAACTACTAGCTAGTTACTAGCTAGAAAATTAAAATAATTATATAAAATAAGAAATAAATAAAGAAAAGAGATTATTAAAAGAATTAATTAATTAACTATTAAAAACTAATTAAAGGATTAATTAATTAAATATAACTATAATTAATAACTAGTTAATAATAACCTAATAAATAATTAATTAATTATTAATTTAAATTTAATTTTATTTATTAAAGTAATTTATAAAATATTAATTTAAAGTATTTTTAAGTATTTAAATTAAGTAAATTATAATTATATATTTAATAATAATTTTAAATAATTTAATAATTTAATTAAAATCTACTTTATTAATAAAATAAAGTTCTTTAATTAACTAAAAGAAAGATTTTAAAAGATTAAAAAGTATTAATATAGAAATAATAAGTTATAATAAATTAGCTACTATAAGTTAAATAAGTAATAAGTAGTCTATATATATATAGGTTAAGTTAATTAATAAATTTAACTAACTTAATTAAGTGCTTTACTACTTAATTAAATAAACCTTTAACTAATATTAATATATACTACTTTATTTAACTACTTATATATAAGTTAAGTTAATTAATAATATATTTATTTTTAATATTTCTTTTCTTTAAGTAGCTTAATTTATAGTTAATAGTTTTTATTATTAAAAGGTATATTTTAATAGTTATTAATAATAGCTTTAAATATAGATTATATAAATAAATATCTCTTTTTTAAAGAACTTTATTAATAATTTATTCCTTTTATTTTTATTTAATTAGTACTTAAAAGTAATTATTCTATTCTTTTTCTTACTTATTATAAGTAAATAATTAATTATAAAAGTTAAGGGTAGAGAACCTTTAGCCCTAAGTGTAAAGTCCTTACCCCTAGCTTTAATAGTTAGTTTAAAAGTTTAATAGATACTTAAATAAGCTCGAATTATTAATTATATATAAGAGAGAGAGAGTTATTATAAGAGAGAGTTATAAGACTTACTTAGGAAAAAGGTCCTACTTAGTAGTTAAATTTATATTTAAATAGTTTAAACTTTACTTTTATAAGCTATAATAATAATAATATTATTATTAATTTATTTTCTATTAAAAGATTATAATAATAAAATAACTTTATTAATTTATTTTTAATTTAATATTTAAATAATTTAAATAATTTATTTTATTATTAAAAGTTAATTAATAATTAATTAATATTAATTAATTTAATTTATATATAAAAATAATAATAATAATATAAATTAATAATAATTAAAAGTTTTATTTAATTAAATAATAAAGTATTTAATTAAATTAATTAAATTTTATTAATTAAATATAATAATTTATATATATATATAAATTTATTAACTTTATAATAATTAATTTATTATAATTTATTATTTTATAAAATAAATATTTATTTATAAAATAAAGTTAAAACTTTAATTATAAAAATAATAATTTTATTTATATTTATTTTAATTAATTTATATTTATTTAAATTATATAATAACTTTATATATAATATTTAATAATATTAAAATTAAATAATTTATAATTTGTAATAGTTTTAATTTTTAATAAATTAATAATATTAATTTAAATTAATTAAATATAATTTAATATATTAATATAAAAATATTTTTAATAATATATTATATTATAAATATAATAAATTATAAAATTATTATAAAAGGTTTTATATAATAAATTTAATTAAATTAATTTTTAAAAATATATTATATTTATTTCTTTAAAACTTTAATTATTTATTTTAATTTAATATTAAAATTAAAAATTATAAATAATTTATATAATATTTAATAATATTAAAATTAATTTATAATTTATAAAGATTTTAATTTTTAATAAATTAATTTATATTAAAATTAATAATATTAATATAAAAGTATTTTTAATAAGAAATAATATTATAAATATAATAAATTATAAAATTATTAAAAATATTTTATATAATAAATTTAATTAAAATAAATTTTTAAAAATATATTATATTTTATATTTTTAAAATTTTAATTATTTATTTTAATTTAATAATAAAATTAAAAATAAAATAATTTATATAATATTTATTAAATAAAAAAATAATATTAATATATTATTAATATAATTTTAAAATATTTAAATAATATAATATTTTTATTTTATTTAAATTTATAATTAATAATATATAATATATTATTAAATTCTTTTAATATAAAATTAAAAATTATAATTATAAAATTTTAATTAAATTTTATTTAATTATTTTATTATATTATAATTTAATTTAATTTAATTTAATTTAATTTAATTTAATTTAATTTAATTTAATTTAATTTAATTTAATTTAATTTAATTTTATTTTAAATTTCTTTAATTTTTATTTTTAAAAATTAAAGTTTTATATTTTAAATTTAAATTTAAAGTTTTTATAAATTTTAATATATTTTAAATTAAATTTATAATTTTTAATTTTTAAAAATATATTAATTATTTTAAATATTAATAATATTTTTTAAAATAAAATTTATTTTTATATAATTATAAATATAATTATTAATAATTATTTTCTTTATTTATAATAAAATTATTAATATTATAATAAATTTAAATATTATAAATTATATAAGAGATTTTTAAAAGTTAAAGTAATAATTTATTAAATATAATTATTAAAGAATAGTTAATTATTAGATTAATTATTATAGCCTTTTAATTAGGCGGTAGAGTGTGGGACTTAGTAGTTACGCTCCTATTGTAGCTAATACTAGCTAGTAATTTTCAGTTATTACCGTTAAGATTTCTTTGAGGAGCGTTCTAAGAGCCACCTCACCCCTTTCACAGTATCCTGCACGAACTGCGTGCTTGCATCTAGCAGCGGGAAGTTAGTCCAGAAGTAGTGTCCAAGGCCAGGATAAAGATCCAGCTTTGTCTCGATCCCTGCCTCCTCCCTGAGGACCCGTTCGTAAATCAGTGCCTCATCCCGGAGTGGGTCGAGCCCGCAGACTTGGAAATAGGCCGGAGGCAAGCCTCGATGTCCGCCAGGTCTGTTCCGGTACAGAAATGGGACAAAAAGGGGTTGGTTAACATCCGCGCCCACCACGCGGACTAGTCCCCGCGGATCATGGCTGTCTGCCTGCAATACCGGGTCGATGGAGGGCGTGATGGACGGGTGGCTCAGGTACTCAGCACGATACTGCTCGGGCATCTCTTCAGGTGGCATAAAGCACGTGATAGCGGGCACACAAAGGTACTGCCCGGTGAGTGGTGGGTTCAACTTCTCGTCCCTAGCTAGGTGTGCCAGGACAGCTGCGATGTTCCCGCCAGCGCTGCCACCGCCAATCACAAATCCGACCTGGGGTGTGGCACCCAGCGAAGAAGCGTTGTCAGCAGCCTGGGTAGTCAGCAAAGCGAGGATGGGAATGCAGAGGATCGGAGGGGCTTATTCACCCATTTCAGTGCGTCCCAACAATCGTTGATGCCAGTTGGGAATTTGTGCTCTGGGCCCAGCCTGCGTACCGTCAGCCCGCCGACTCATCAAACTGGTTATCGCTCGCCTCCTCGTCGATTCGAAAGGGAAGAGGCGAATATTTGGACAGACGCTGACCTGTATTCCACGTTGACGCAGATAGCCCCCAGGTCACGGCTAAATAGTCTACAGTTCGTCTCCTCATCCGTCAAGTCGCCCATCGACCAGCCACCCTCGTGATACATTACAACCAACGGACTTCCGTGATTGGGGACGGAAGACTCCTCAGGCCGGTAAATACGGATCGTGATCTCTGATCCATCCCTGACTTTGATTCTGTGGTCAAGTTCTGTGACCTCTTTGATCGGTCCCGGGAGGTAACGGAGGTGATGCTTCTCGCGTAGCATGGCAGCCCGATGCTCGCGCAGGGCAACAAAGTCTGCCACGAAAGGAGGCTTTGGGAGAGGATGTGTCTCCAGCATCTAGGAGCGATCAGAACGTTGAGGCATATGGGGCAATCCTCCGGGGCAGAGTAATTACCTCGCTGAGGCGGGGGTTCATTTGCCCCATTGACCGAAGCTCCTCGGCTGAGCGAGGCGCCATGCTGGTCTGAGATAGGAGAAAATCTCCAGTATAGATGGTTCTAGACTCATAGAATGGCACGGAGATGGTAGATTCAGGGCGTGATGGTTGCAGGGTGTAGATGTGTGGATATGGTCAGGTCCCAAGGTTGGCAAAGGGAATGCACGTGGTGGACCTTTGGAGAAGTAACAAATGATGGATGCCAGGATTTGTCAGCACGGGACATGGTCTGTTCAATCTTTGCTTGGAGCTGAGGTGAGACTCATATTCTCAAGAAAGTCATTCGAGTGAGACTGTAGACACCAGGACATATCTGGATTTCATGGAACGAGGTTCAATGTTGTCGACCAAGATGACATGGCTAACACCAGTTGACGGCAGCGGTCCGCGTTGAAGGCAACCTTGAAGCCTTGGAGCTGTACACTATCTCAGGCTTCTACAGCCGATCTTGCCATGTGCTGCTCAAGAACCTGTCTGCTTCTTCTCCTTCTCATCCTTCAACTCCTGCAGCGCCTTGTCGGCCACACGAGTCCCCGCCAGACCCGCCGGCAACCCAGAATAAATCGAGGCCTGCATGATGGCCTCCTGGATCTCCGTCTCGGTAGCCCCATTCCCGATCGCCCCTCTCACGTGCACTGCGAGCTCTGTGTCCTTGCCCAACGCGACGAGCATGGCCACGTTCAGCAGGGACCGTGTCCGCCGGTCGAGCCCCGGCCGGCCCCAGATGAGTCCCCAGCCTGCTTGAGTTGCTAGCTCCTGCATCGGCCGGGAGAAGTCCGACGCGTTGGTCCACGATCTCTCCACATGCTGGGCCCCCGTGACCTCGGCGCGGATGGCTAAGCCTTCGTCGAAGAGGTTTCGGCGGGCCTGTACCGACTGGGAGGAGGAGGAGGAGTCGCCACCCCCAGAGATGGCCTGCTCTTGAGACATGCCTGTGAATGATGGTCTCCTTTGGATGATGATATGCCCGAGATGGTGTTCTCTGCGAATAATGTGCATTCAGATTTTGGTTGACCACAGGATTCTTTCAATCGCGTCGCCGGGCTCGAAAGCTCCCGAGGTCCTTTCAAATGTTCTCAAGACCCCCGCTCGGACTTTGGGTGCTGGGTGACATCATTGAGACAGGAACTCTCCCAAGCTCTTGAGTGCCGGTGTGAACATCCTCTCCAACTGCAGCTGCAAGAGCCGCAGGACCGACTCAACGGCGATGAGGACAATAAGCTGGATCAGTCCGGGCATTTCATGGTCGACAATCCGTGTCGTCGTCCCTCCACCCCTCCCTCCCCAAAACCAGGTGGCAACCTTGTGCTAAGCAAACCCCCGCCTTAATTACTAACATACGCATCTCGGGGACCCAGGGGACTGAATGTCACTACGTAGTAACCCAGCTAGGTTTTGATCTTGTACTTTGATTTCGGGATTGTTGCTGGCCTTGGACACCGTGGAAGTCGCCGATTCAGTTGCCACATGCTGACTGTCAGCATATGCGCGATCGGTGTCAGCCATTAACTGAGACGCAAGATGGAATGGCTCAGAATGACTACATCATGGTTGCATCCTTTAGAGCCCATCAATTGATTATGATTCAGCCTCTGAATCTGAAATTGACATTGGCGCCGTCAGCACATGTGGCAACTTTAGAATGACACGTCCAAGAAGGGCGGTCACTCGAAGCGACCATCTCACCCCAGTGGTATGAACTATCAGTGATTTGTCTTGCCTTGCTATCACCATTTTACAAACATGCTTGCCCTCTTCATTCCGGTTTCAGAATTGACAATTCAAGATTTCAGGTGGCTCGAACCACACAATTTCAACCAATTCCTCGCAGAGAATCCGCCGAACTAGGTACAGCTATGGCCATGCTACATCCAAAGCGCTGGACGCAAATATTCCCACCAGCACCAACATTCGGGGAAAGAGACGTGGGTCTCAGAAAGGGAAGCGTCTTCATCGTGACAGGTGGAAATCAGGGTGTTGGTTTCGAGCTCTGCAAGATGCTACGTGGGACGGGCGCAACTGTGTATATTGCCTCGCGTTCCAAGGTGCGTCCTGAAACTATTGGCCCTCCTTGCATTGTCCCGATCTGTGTCGACACGGACTCGAATGCTGATCGCGTCTCTTAGCAACGAGTCGACTCAGCCATCGAGAAACTTAGATGCATGACCCCCCAGCCAGCGCACCCGGCCATCTTCAGGCCTCTTCTGCTGGACCTCAACGACTTGAATTCGGTGAGAACCGCAGCCTCCGAATTTTCAGTACAGGAGAACCGCCTTGACATACTCTGGAACAACGCGGGAATCGGTGCCGACTCTGTCCCTGTACAATCAAAGACCGCGCAAGGTATAGAGAAATTCGTAGGGATGCACTGCGTTGCTGCACTGCTGTTCACCCAACTACTGCTTCCTCAACTCCAATTTGCGGCTGAATCATCTATTCCGGGGGCCGTCCGTGTCGTCTGGCTATCAAGTATCATGGCAGAATCTCACGTTCCTGCGGACGGGATCGACTTCAACCTCCTGCCAGTGGGCTGTTCAAGCGGCAGACGAAACTATGCAAGGTCGAAAGCTGGGAATTGGATTCTAGCACATGAATACGCAAGACGATACGGGAGGCAAGGAATCGTTAGTGTTGCAGCAAATCCAGGCAACCTTAAGACGAACGCATTCCAAGGCGCACCCTCCAAATTTATGGCTGTTGCCGACCGCTTGTTTCTTTACGATCCGAAGTTCGGTGGGTACACGGAGCTTTATGCTGGCTTCTCTCCGGATATCACTCTGGAAAATAACGGCGCGTACATTATTCCGTTTGGCAGGGTACAGCCCGAGGAGCAGGTCGGTAGACCGGATATACTGGCAAAGCTGAAAGCAGAGGAGGATAATCTGGGCCAGAACTTTTGGAAGTGGTGCGAGGATCAGGCAAGCTCCGTGTTAACAGAGGGGGCGTGACAATCACTGGAGTGGCGGCGAGTGATGTGGTGATTCTTGGACCCCTGTGTTGAAATTTATTTTCACATGGTCCCGAGAAGCATCGATGCGTAGAACTCAATGTGCCACACACATTAGCCCTGGGATTTTGCAAAAAGTGTATGGAAACTTCGTCTCTCTACCTAGGTACCTCTTCGTGGTCCCTCGCAGTTGATAGCAGTTCCGCTAGCCTTTCTCTTCAGGAACCTCTCTCGCTTCTTCAAAGAGTGGAGATTTTTATTCATTCTTTCCCCTTGTTTTGGCCAACATGGCCTTAACATCTGGTGGAAGAGTCTCCTTAAGACCATTGGCTTCGAGAAAATCGTACAACTCGTACGCTGCCTCCATGTACTTGCCCTCGGTCTCTAAAAACTTCTCATGGAGTCGCTTCGCTGCGCATTGTTTTATGGGGCTCATGGTCTTCAGGTGGTTGCTGTAAGCGTGCTTCAGACAGTAAATCGTGCGGAAATGGGACAGCCTGGTTCTCAATTGCGTCTCCGTGGTTTTCAGGTACTTGAGCTGGGCATCTGATGCCACGAGCTCACGAATGAGGTGGTCTTCGTGCTCTCCCAGTGTCCGGACTTCCTGCTGCAGCCTGATGACTTCTTGGTCCATATCGATCCGGGCCTGACTCCTGGCGATCAGCAGCTCCTCTTCGTGGACTTCTGCATCGCTCTCCAGATCCTGGATTCTCTGGCTTGCGACCCTCAGTCGTTGCTCGAGGTCCGAGATCGTCCATTGCTCTGGGGTGACAATCTCAGGACTGTCGATTTCCATAGCTGCCTAGAGATCACAATGCAATCGATTCATTAGTCAAGACACTTTCATTTCCACTGCCATGATTAATGACACTGTTACTTACCACAGAGGCATGAGGAGCGCTGAAAGACGTAACATGTTGGGAATTTTGGGACCTGTTGCCAACGACCTCGGGGAGGTTTTCACCAGCGGTCAAAGACGAAGCTGAACGGACCTCTGAGCGGCCATTGCGATGGAGCACCTGAGACCCAGGAATTTGCACTGGAGAGAAATGATTTGTGGCAGGCATAAACTGCTCAGACAGATCGGAAGCTGCTGACTGTCGGCCATTGCCGTTGTTCCTTTGACTGGAATTGAATCTCTGGGCGAGTCCGCCCATCTGTCAGTCTGGTTAGAATTCTGAACAAAGTTGGGTCCCTGCTGGAATACCTTCGCCTTTGAGTGATCCATTGTCGTATTGAACACAGTGGGTCACGTGGTATGCATCCTGTCTACTCCTGATGGATCTGTGCCTGTTCTGTTGTTGAAGTGGTATGTTGTTGTTGGTGGAGATTGTTGTTGTTGGTGGAGATTGTAGGATGTGTGGTGTTTTGACGGTGACAAATTGCTACTAGAGTTGGAAAACCACCTAGGGAGGCTAAGTCATCAAGTCATATAAACAAAAAGCCATGCTCAAAAGCCCTGGAGGTGTGGGGGCATCCATTATCCTTTACAACCAACTACCTAGGTAGCTACCTATGATTTTGTATTATTCTTTTGTCAAGGCCCGATCACCTCTGGTGATCAAAATCTGGCATGGCCAAAAGCGAAAAGGTGCTAAGGTGGTGGGTTAAAGCTTAGTACTATAGTACAACCCTATAGATAAATTTAATAGTTAAACCCCCTTTTTATAAATACTTAAAAAGATATTATTATTAGTTAGCTAACTATAAATAAGGGCTTAATTATAAATAGCTTTCTTTTAATTAATTAAATTTTAATATATTATTTAGTTAAAGTAAAATTAAATATTAATTTCCTTTAATAAAAAGAGTTTTTTTAATATTCTTTTTAAAGCTTTATAAAGTTTTTATAGGTATCTTTTTAATATTTAATTTTTTTTAAACTTTTTTAAAATAATATTTTATTTTAATTAATATTATTTAAATAATTAAAAGGAAAGTATAAAGATTATTTTAAAGTAGTTTTTATATTTTTATATTAATAAAGTTTTAATTAATTAAAACTTTTTATAATTAAAACTATTTATAATTAACTTTTATTTATAATTAATTAATTAATAATAATATTTTTTAAATAATTATAAAAATTTTATTAATTATTAAATAAACTTATAGTTTTTAATATAATATATATTTAATTTTAAAACTATTATAATAAAATATATATATTTCTAATATTTAAAGAAATTTAATTAAATACTTATTTAAGTATTATAATATAACTTTATAAATAAATTTAATAATTAAATCTTTTTTATAAGTATTTAAAAAATATTATTATTAATTAATTAATTATAAATAAAGGTTTAATTATAAATAACTTTATTTTAATTAATTAAGCTTTAATATATTATTTAATTAAAATAGAATTAAGTATTAATTTCTTTTAATAAGGAAAGCTTTTAATATTTTTTAAAGCTTTATAAAGTTTTTATAAATATTTTTTTAATATTTAACTTTTTTAAAACTTTTTTTTAAAGGTAATATTTTATTTTAATTAATATTATCTAAATAATTAAAAAAAAGAAAGATATAAAAACTACTTTAAAATAATTTTTATATTTTTATATTAATAAAGTTTTAATTAATTAAAAACCTTTTTATAATTAGAACTATTAATAGTTAACCCTTTACTTATAGTTAGCTAATTAATAATAATATCTTTCTAAGTAGTTATAAGAAGGCTTATTAACTATTAGATAGACCTATAATCTTCTAGTATAGTACCTAAGTAGGTTAGGTAAGTACCCAGGCTCTTGCTGACGCTTGTAGCTGGGTCTTTACAAGAGTGGCCTTGACCAGTGGAATACATTTGGGTTCTCACAAGCACTGTCCAGGAGCGAGTGTCAACACATTGCACACCAATTACATGCCTAAGTACCTCAGTACCTACACACTTGGTAGATAATACCTACCCCTGCTGAGGTGCTAGCTAACCCCCGAGTGGAATAGCCTGTATGCCCGTATGTGCATATCCCTGTCGCGGGTTGCCCACTAAGAGACAACCTCGTATCCAGCCGCATGCAACCCTTCTTCTTATCGCTGGTGCACACCGGTCTTACTCAGATATGGTCTGCTCGGCTTCTCACAAGCAGTTCTACAAGGAGCCGCAGACCGCTGGTGAACGACTTGTGCGGCGTGAGCTACCGCACAAAGTCGGCTGTCCACCCGACCGTCCTGGGCACACAAACAGACTTCTCAAGAAGCTCGTCTGGCACAATGAGACGAGAACTCCTCTCGCGGGCCGTAACGACGGCACTTATGCTGTCTGCTGCACTCGCCGACCCGACATGGCCTTCCCCTATCGACGACCTGGAGGAGATCATGTTTCAGCAGAGAATATTCAAGTCGCGTAACTTTGCAGACACCATCTCTCCGTGCTCCAACGAAGCATCTGGGCCAGGAAGGCAGGTAGCTGCTGAGTATGTTACTCCTCTTATCTTTAGCAGGTAGGGACGCCGTAATAATAACAGTGGTAAAGGTGGCTGAGGGTCGCATTTCACGACATGGCAACGGCAGATGTTAGGACGGGCAAGGGAGGCCTGGATGGCTCCCTGCAGTATCAGCTCGACGATGGGGAGAGTAAGGGGCCGGGATTCAACTCCACTCGTTAGTATCACTTTTCTCCTCTTACGGATCCCCGTCTTTCATGTTTTGGAATATTCCAGAATGCAGCACGTTGGGAACCGTAGCAGGACTGACGCGAGCACCACCAGTGAAGTTTTTCAATGGCTATCTCTCAAAGAAAACAAGCTTGTCCGACCTGATTGCCCTTGGGGTGTACGCTTCGGTCCGGTCGTGTGGAGGTCCACGAATACCCGTCAAGGCTGGGAGGGTGGACGCCCCAGGGCCCGGAAGAATGGGAGTGCCTCAGCCGGAGCACTCGATTGAGCAGTTCCGCCAGCAGTTCGATCGCATGGGATTCACAGAAGAGGAGATGATTCAGGTCACTGCCTGTGGGCACACGTTGGGAGGCGTCCACGATACCGAGTTCCCGGAGTTGGTTGAAGAAGGCGAATCACCGTCCGACTCTACCGTTTCCGAATTCGATATGAAGGTCATAACTGAGTACCTCGACAACAACACGACGAACCCCCTCGTGGTGGGGCCAGCAGTTGGGCAGGGAAAAGACTCAGATGCACGAATATTCAATTCAGACGCCAACGTCACGGTGAAGGCTATGGCCGACCCACAGAGGTTCCAGGATGTCTGTCGCAAGGTCCTCCAGAAAATGATCGAGGTCGTTCCCGCGGGTGTCACGCTTTCTCCACCTATTGAGCCCTACATGGTCAAGCCGGTAGACCTGCGGCTTGCACTGGAACAGGCGGCGAGGCATTTGCAACTAATTGGTAACATACGAGTGAAAACTACCAACCTATCGCGCAAAGAGATTGTATGGATGGAAATTCTCTATAAGAATCGTAATGGTGAACACGACTGTGGCAAGGGGTCTTGCGTGATCAATTCCACCATCCACGGCAGTGGTTATGGACTTGACGATACCTTTGTCGTAAGTGCGCCGGAGTATCGAGGGCCAGGATTGTGCTGACGTCTGGCTGCAGTTCTTCCCTATTGACGCGACTATTCCAATCGACACGGGCATCTCGTCGTTCGTCGTCGATCTGATCCTGACTAACGGCACAAGACTGCTCTTCGACAACAACGGCCAGGGATATCCAATGCAGGACGCTGTCCTTCTACTCAGGCGTCAGACCTGCCTGCTGCAGTACACGGGAAAAATAAATGTCACAGCCGCCGTCCGCAACGACAGGAAAGACCTCCCAACGAATCTCACAATCTCGTACAAGGTGCCCCGGCCAGGCCTCCCAGTTGCCGGCCTCCATGAGACGACTATGTTCATGACCAAAGGCGACTGCGTCGGCCCGTATACGTTGTTCAACGCAGCTTGGACCATTCCGGGGGGTGTTAGCTACTCATCCAGGACCGACGTAAGCAACGGGGAAGGCGAGAGCCTCCTGGCGGATGTGTTCACCTATGGGGCGGAACTTCACGGCCAGTGTGAAGAATATTCCGCCCCACCAGCGTCCATGTGCACGACCCTGGGCATCACGGCGACTCCGTCGACTCTGTTCCCTCCCCCAAGTACAGCTGCCGGGAGCTTCATCACACAACCGAGCGCCGCGCTGACTTCGACAACCCGTGTCAGCCCGGCGCCGACGGCTGGCGGCCACGAGTTCAGCAAGTCCATTTTCCGCCCTGTATCTGGGAGCATCTGGGAAACATTTATGCAATATCTCAAGAGGATCTGGTCGTCGAGATTTACCTACGCTTGGTGATACGGGATGGAGAATATATCGATCAGGTCCGGTACGGGTGTATCAAATGAGAATCCTGTCTGGGTTCCACGTGGGTTTTGTGCCTGGCGTCGAGGTGCTGGTCCGTCAACAATATAATTGGAGCGCGGGACTAGATCAAAATCGGATATCTCTAAAGGCAGACTTTGCTCTTCCTGCTTGAAAACCAAACCGCCCATGGTGCCTCACTCCCACGCCTTGCTCAAGTCGCTCGAGCTCAAGCCTCTCCTGTCGCTTTGCTGCCCGGAACTCCCTAAATCATCCGGTACCTCCAGCCAGGGGCTTCCTGGTCATCCCTCGTGCTAGCCTTCAGCAGCATGTCTCATGACAGTTACAATGCCCGCGACAGCAGTTGAAGCCGATGGTCATGCCGCCGCCGCGGAGCTCAGGCTCCTGCTTCTGCGCGACTGGGCGCGGCTCGGCCTTCTGTGGGCGGCCCAGCGCGTCAGTACTTAAGTACCTAGGTAGCCATTCGGAATAAACAGGATGGACTCACTGGAGCTTGTGTGATCGGGCCCGTCGTGCCGCGGGATGCGTCAGTGCCACTTGAAGAGGTGGGGCGCGCCTCCATCGGAGCTTGGGGCTTTGGGGCCTCTTGGTTGTTGGCCATTTCGGGATGCGGGTGTGGCGGTTGTGACAGGTCAGACAAAGGCCTGCACGGCGGTATGTGTCCTTGGTTGAGGTAACCGTTTGATGTCGATATATACCTGGGCAGGCACAGGTGTTTTTCTTGGGGGGGTCTTGAGGAGATTGGGGTGTTGAGAGGGGCGGTGGGCAATCAGTGCTGCAGTGGGCTGAGTGTTTGGGCACAGGTGCCAAGGAATCGTGCCGAATGCTTGTGAGTGCTGACCTCGAGTGAGGTGGCAAGCCACAGCACGTGCGATATGTAGGCGCCGGGGCGGGGGGCCTCACGGTGCCAAGGCTTGGGTGTTCTGAAGCGGCAACGAGAAAGGCGCCTGGCCGATCTCATGTCAACCATATCTAACCACCACTGGGCAATCCATCTATCTGCCTTCTGAGGAACACTAACGTCTTTTTTATTTCAGCGCCTGTTAGATTGCTTGTCGCCTTGATAGCATCCCTATTCCTAGTTGTATCAACTCTTATGCAATGCTACCGCCTCCAGGCACTCCAGGTGTGTGTGCGGAGCCTTTGAACATCAAATGGACCACCCCAGCACCATGAATGCGCAAAGACCGTCGCTCTTGTGGGATAATACACCCCCGAAATGAGTAGCTTCATAAAAACTTGGGTCCTCACATCGCATCAAGCAGATACTCAAACTCCAATCCATGATGGCAGCAACCTAGACCGCCTGCTGCTGCTGCTGCTGCTGCTGAGTGCAGCATACGGTCACAAGCTTCTCTCGGATAGCGACCTAATGACATCCTCGATGACGTCCTCGCTACTACTCCTGAGGGTCTCTTAGTTGTGGTTTTAGTCTACAGGTCCTTCTGGTGGAGAGAAGATGGCTCGTATTGAGATGTGCTAAGGAACTTGAAACGGGTGAAGGTTGGTGATGATGCCTGGGTAAGCAACAAGATGATTCATCACAATAGTGAAGCCACATTGCAAGTGGTCTCGCGGCCCCCATCCAGGTCCTCGTCGATCAAGGCAGCCATTGTCGGTGTTTGTTGCAAAGATCGTGTATGGGAGGACGGATGGGAGGTTGGGAGTCGGGGTCTGGGAGTTGGGAGCCGGGTGGCTCGAAGGTTGGGAAGTTGAGCGAAACCTGGAAGATCGGAAGATTGGTGGGGCGGAGGGTTGGAGGGTTGTTGTTGATTTGGACGAATTCACAGGTTGCGTGGTGAAGCCTATCGCTAGGGCTGGCCCCACATGGCAACGAAGCTGGGCGAGTTTCTCAGGTGACGGATAAGCGGGCTAAGTCAATGTCAGACTGGCACAGGCTGGTACAGTGTTTTGCTTCCAGCTCTCACGGGCCCGGAGGCTTTACTTGATTCCTGTTTTGGCTCAAGACAGCTCTGGAGCATCAGCTCTGCACACTTAAGGCATCCCAGAGTCATTTTATGTGGCCAGCCCCATAGAAGACTCGGGCACTCATGTTTGATCATTGCTACATGGCAACGTCCATGTGAAATGCTAATGGACCTCGGGTCTGATTTGAGAACATTTCGACAATTTACAAGCCTGGAACCCACGAAAATACGCATTGTGTGATGTGAGGTAGTTAAAGACGCTTCATCATTCTCATGCTCATTTGACGAGATGATTGGGACAGACATAGGAGTTACGCAGACAGAGGAGTTACGTGCCTGGCCGAGCTCGATGTTAAGAGGTCAAGGAGTGGATAAGAGGCTGTGATGGCTTATGGCATATGAAACAATTAGTAGTAAAGTCGTTGGCCACACTTATTATTGGATGTGTCTACAGTCACCCTAGCCCTCGGGAACCATTTGTTTTGATCTTGACCGTTCTCCCTCTACTCGACAACAAGCTCACCTCGTAAATAGAAACATTGTTGACGGTCCAAAGGTTCCAGATAGGAACAAGAGGTTTCTATTGGCAGGAATCTCATTAGTCTAGACGTGCGACTGATCAAGGGCATTGGAACCAACGATGCTGTTTTCATGCGTGTTTGTACACGGCAAGATGCGCAATGATCAATCGGATGAACAATTCCTGAGCTCTGAATCACAGCATGCAGTGAGCTGCGTTCCATTGTTTTCCAAGGGCGATTGCCTTCTAGCGTGCATTTGCAGCAGGCCTGGCTGCGAGCGGTGGGCTGCGGCCACTTTTGCTTTTCAATTATCAGGCAACTTTCCCCTCCCACACCTGCACCCTCCCACCATCAACATCCATCGAGCACTCACACAAGCAACACCACCATCTTGCAGTATCCCTAAGCTTTCCCCGTCACTGCTCACTGTTCCTTCCTTACATTCCCTCATCATGGCAGGAAAATCCGACAAGGCGGACAACGGTGATGCTCCCGCCACCCCCAAGGCTGCTGCGTTTGGTGGCGGCTACGACTCCCTCACCACGCGTGAGCAGGAGATCTTGGGCAAGGCCATGACCTGCCTCAAGGTCGCACCTGAGGTAAGACTTTTCCGGTTATTCAATCTGCCTCGATTGTCTCAGCCTCGGCTCAGGTGCTTTCATGCCCCATCCGCCCCGCTACTGACCGTTGATGTTTTATTGATGCTGTTGGCGACGTCGACACCGCGGCGCCGCATTTTACCGCTGACATTATCCCCATCGTCTCTCATACCGGCGGCGGCTGGATCTGGCATCTCACGCTTGACCTTTGGCTTTACCGTCTGCTGACACATAATCTTCTACCGACAGATTGATTTCCCGATGCTCGCGGGCGCGGTGAACATGACCAACCCTCGTTCCGCAGTCAACGCTTGGGTAAGCAAACACCCAGCCTGAGGAAGGCTCACGGCACAAAGGAAGACGCTGATCATACCGTTGCAGTCTCAGATCAAGAAGAAGATGGGCTGGACCATGAAGGCCCCGGAATCCCCCGGTCCGGCCAAGACACCCGGTACGGGCAAGGGCAAGCGCAAGGTGGCTGTCATCGAGGACGACGCTGCTGATGATGACGAGGACGCACCGGCTCCTGCCAAGCGTGTCAAGGGTGTCAAGAAGTCAGGCAAGAAGCCTGCTGCTACTCTGAAGAAGGCCAAGGGTGCCGCCAGCCCCGAGTCTGAGGAGGACAAGGCTGTGTTGGAGGAGAAGGCCGAGGTCACGCCTGAGGTCAAGGATGAGACCCCCGACGGCGAGGCTTAAAAGAGAGCCTTTGGCTCCTGAGCTTCCGTGGCCTCCAGGTACTACGACGGCACAAAGAGCACTTTTTCGGCGTGGTAGCAACACAACCACTTTGCAACTGCTTGTGGAGTGCTTTTAAGGTCAAGGTGGGACTCAGTCTCGAATGTGACTCGACCACACATCGACTTTGGTTTTGGAGCGAGCGATAATTCATTGCGAAAAGCAACACATCAGGCAATGCTTATTAATTCGCATGTGGTAGTCTGGATACTTAGGTACCCTGCTTCTGCAAATTGACTGGTACTTGAAAATATTTTGGGGGTTGTGAAGACGAACAAGCCAGTGATGGCAAAAATGACTTTCGGATGGCAATAAGAGGGTATGATTATCACATTGCTCCTCATGTCAGTCGTGCCGTCTCTCTCCTGCCTGTCCATGAGAGATATGGCTGAGCCTTTCACTGACACGCCAGTTGTTGGTGTCCACCTGTTCCTAAAGCCGATTCTCTTTCTCTGTCTCTCTTTCTCTCTCCCTTTCCCTCTTTTCCTCTCTGTCTGTCTCTCTCTCTTTCTCTCTCCCCTCTCCTACATACATCAAACCTGAACTTGATATCATGTGCTTCGTTCTCATCGATCCGCAGTACTGTTCTGGTATCAAGCGATCGGAGGACTGCCATGCTTATGGAGCGTATTTGTGGCTGCTGCGTCCCTACCGTCTTGCACTACCTAGGCACACTTGCAAAGGCGGTGCATGATGAGGCCATCAATCCTACTAGCATCGAAACAAGCTCTCATTTGCTGTATGCTAGTACGTCTCGTGAGTTCAAAACTGCGGCACGGGGATTGACGACGCTCCTCTGAGCAATTTGTCGTCTCCGAGCCGCGCACAAAGGAGAGCTCAGGCGGGCTCCTAAGGTCCTGGCCAATTTATCAGGCAGATGGACAGCACTGTGCAACTGGCCTCTGGTGATTTAGGCTGACCGGTCTACTTGTCGCAATGTAGCCAGCAATCGGTGATGACATGCGGCTGATTCGCCGTTGGCTCTCGCAGACAGACTGGAAGGCCCATACTCGGCTTTTTGCAGCTGAAACAGATGTACAGATAGCATCAATGTTGTGGCATCTGATGTGCGGTGAGAAATTCGAAGTTCATCCAATGTTTCACAAACGAACTCTGAGCTAGATTTCACTTTGGGACGCAGTGCTCTGTGCAGAGTACCTGGGTCTACTACCTGCTTAGGTACCTAGGTACCTAGGCAGGTATGTACTCCGCACAGGAGGACCTCTTCAACCGAATCTTGGGAGGATCACACGTGGTTGCTAGGGCCGCCGTTGACTTGCCCTGCACTCCACCATCATTAACAAGAGTGAGCAACGTCAACTCGGTACCTAGGTACCTAGGTACTCAAGTAGTCTGGGTCAGGCAGGCTACTGGCGGGAGTGCCTAGGTACCCGGACACATAAGTCCCTAGGTACCTGGGCACTCAGCTTAGCGCTGACATGATTTCTTATTCCAACGGCCCCGGTGAAAAGTAGGCTGTTTGGCCACTGGGGGCCAGCCAGGGCCGGTGGAGCCGACATTTCCGCCCACTTAAGTACCTAATCAAGGACCTTGGAACTTATTAGAGCGGCCAACCCGTCAACCAAATCTAGCCATGTCTCGAGGTCTATTGTGGCTGATATGTGGAGGTCAAAGCTCGAGTCGCCAGTCTTACCGCAGCCGCCGGTCCGACCCATCCTTGGGGCCCCGTGGCGGGTCTCGAACCGGTGGGAAACGCCTTTTTCCTTTATCTGGTATCTGCAGCAGCTTGCAGCCGCAATTGGAGCTGAGAGGTAGTGAGCAGTTTTTTTGGCCCCCGGTCTGTGGGGGTCAAATGTCTGTCAATCGATGCTCTTCACAGCCTCGACTCGCACGCAACAGCCGCAGCGGAGCGCAGCAGGGCATACTCGAGTGCAAGAGCATAAAATTAGAGGCTGCCGGGACCCAGATGCAAGGTCACAGTCGCCGTTATGGTTGCTGCATGCGGGCTCGGTTGGGTTCTTTTCATTTCAGCTGGCCCCATCTAGCGAATCCTTCCGACTACTTGTGTACCACATTATCCCAGCTCCCCGGCTCAGCCAGCTCTGGTTGGTGATAGGGCAGGGCTGGGCAGGGCAGGCTGGAGGGGAGGGGGCAGGGCAGGGCAGGCAGACAGCAAAGAGAGAGATCGAGCGAGAGAAAAGAAAGAAAGACAAACTCGAGAGGGCATAGTCACTGCTAATAACAACAGAAGTCTATTACAGCCGTACTCCCTCCTCTGCCAGTCACACACACTCCCTCCCACACACACACACACACACACCGATGTAATTCCCGGCCGTGGACCTCTCCAGAGTTACACCGGCTGCAGGCTGTTGGTTTTATGTTGCAGTCTCTTCTCCCAGCGTCCTGGCGTCCCCGTCTTTTCTCCTCCCTTGCTCTGCCCTGCAGTTTGTCCTTTCCTGTCTGGTCCACCGCCCAGTCCAGTTCCTTCCTCCAATGTGCCTGTCAGCAGCAGCACCAGCAGCACCAGCAGCACCAGCAGCACCAGCAGCACCAGCAGAAGCTCCATCTCCAGCTCCAGCTCCAGCTCCCGGTGCCGTGTGATCCCGTCCAATGGTAGCTGCCGTTTCCAATCTCCCTCCCCTCGTGCTCGCTCGCCCGCTCCCTCCCATCCCAGCCGCCCTCGACCCAGACAGTCGAGGACGAACCCGTCAACAAGACGACAATGTCCGTCTTTGAATCACCTCCACCTGCGCCCACGCCACAGCGCCAGCCCTCTTTCGTCGGCCTCCCTCCCATCAGCCCCGGCCCCGAGTTTGGTTCCGCCCTGGGCATCTCTGCCGCCGACCTCAGCGACCCCCATCGCGCTGTTTCTCCACCGGGCCACCACCCCCAAGGCCCGTCTCCACATCCTTACTACCAGGCTGGCGGCGCCAGTCGCATCGCCAACGCTGTCTTCAAGCCCGACAACACCACGCCCAACGCCAGCAACGGTGCCCGTCCCGGGCCTGTCCCGGGCGCGTCTCCCCTCGCCTCGCCCACCATGAACTACCAACTACAGTCCTCCTCGCCTCACCCGCACGGCACTCAGTTCATGCAGGGCCCCTACGTGATGATGCAGTCGCCACACGCACAGCAGCCCTCCGCCCAGCACTTCCAGCCCGCTGCTCAACAGTTCGGCGCCAACCCCGGCGCCAACCCCAATCCCAGCGTCATGCACCATCAGTCGGGCCCTTCCCAGCCCGGCTACCTTGGGCAGAAGGCCCCGGTCAGCTACCAGCAGTTCCAGTCCTCCTCCCCGCCGCCGGGCATGCCCTCGCCCAGCTTGATGTCTAACGGCCAGTTCAACTTGCCGCCCGGGTGGAAGATGGAGCAGTCCCAGCTGCAGCAGCCCCTCTCCTCTCCAAGGCACCGGCACTCGCCAAGCATCTCATCCCTCAAGCAGCAGAACCAGGCTTATGCCATCGACAAGGAAACCGGCGCCCTGTCCACCAGGTCCGTGTCGCCTCCCACCCACTCACCTGTCGACTCGCGTCGCCCTGGTCAGCCTGCTCTGCTCTCATCTGCCGGGCCGTCCTCGCAGAACGGCGAGTTCCAGCCTCCAAACGCCCCCTTCATGCAGCACACCCAGGGTGCTGCCCTGGCCCGGAGCTCTACCAACATCACCCAAAACTCACAGTTCCACGACGAGCCCGAGAGTAAGCGTAACTCAAATGTCTTCTCAAGCATACGCAACAGGCTTGCTGGGAATGCTGGTGACCAGCGCGACGCCATGACTGGCCGACCGCAGCCCAACGGTGGTCTCACGGCAGACGACGTGTCCGACGCAAGCATCCCCGTCGACGACCAGGGCAGAAGAGGGCCCTCTAATTTCTTCGGCCTCCGTGGCAACGGGCAGTCCAACGGTGATGGGCCACCCTTTTCAAGCAATGGCAACGGTGGTGCTCCGTTCAGCCCCCCCAAGGAGAAGCGCCCCTTCTTCACTCGCCCCAGCGCCCTGGGCATCAATTCTTCTTCACAACAAGAAGTCACGAGGCCTGCAACTTCAGAGGGCGTGATGGGTCCACCTGTCGTCGGCTTCGGTCCTGGACAGCCCAAGAAGAGATTCTCCAAGATCGCTGGCATGCTCAACCGCGACAAGACAGAAGGCCAGCCATCTCAGCCGCTGGGTTATGGCGCAAGCCAAAGGCCGTCTTTTCAGGGACAGCGGCCGAATCCTGCGGGTGTTATGGCCTATCCGGACCAGATGAACCAGCACGGCGGACCCGGTGATGATGGCCAGATGTCAGGTTATGGGCGTCCGAGGAGTTCAACAGCAGGCTCGCGACCCAGCATCTCGGATCACGGACGGACCCCTTCAGGACAGGGATACGGCCAAACCCCCGCCATGAGCGCGATAGCCGAAGAGGAAAGGGGCAGAAAGCCTTCGGGAGGAAACCTGCTGTCCAACATCTTCGGGAAGCGGTCGGAGTCCAAAACAAGGGAGCAGGCTCAGAGACCGCCGCGGTCGCCCCCGGGGCTTGACCAGCCCCAGGGTCTGAACCCACAGGGTCAGATGCTGGTGGTACAGCGACCGGGACAGCCAGGCTTCTTCCTGCCGGCCCAGGGTCAACAGTTGAGCATGCAGGGTCAACCAGTGATACCACCTCAGGGCCAATACGCTGGGCTGGCCCAGCGGGCACAGCAACTACAGCAGCAACAATATCAGGGCCAGGGGATCCCCAATGGCCAAGATCCGATGCAGAGGCACAATACAGTATTACCTGGCCCGTTCCAGCAGCGGCAGACATCGCCTGGAATTTCACCCGTCACACAATCGTCTGCGAGTCCCCTTCTGACAACACAGGCTCCTGGAGGCGCTGTTGCTCAAAGACAGCAGCCGCCGCGACAGGGCTCCCCGTTGTCTATTCCCCAGAGGGGCCAAGACCAACAACAGCCCCTGGGCGTCGTACAGGTTGCGACAGCGGTACCGATCCGGCAGGTTGGTAGTTCTCCGAATATCAACTCTGGGCATTTTCAGGACGGCATTTCTCCCAGCGGCCAGAGCGATTCAAGCCGCCAGCGATCTGGATCAGTAGTCAACCAGATCGACGTCGGTGGTTCTCGAAAACCTAGCATGGACATGCACGGCACCCGCAACCGCGCGGCGTCTCAGTCACTCACACAGCAGCATCCGGTCCACATCGCGTCACTTCACGCGCCGAACAGACACACGGGCAATTCAGCTTCTCCTCGCAATAGCTCACAGTATCAGCACCAGGACGCGCCCTCTCAAGGCGCTCAGAATCTGGAAGACGGCACCCCGGCATCCTCCGGCCAGCTTGGTGCATCTTTCCCACCGCAGACCAGGAGGATATCGCAGGGCGTCATGGCAGGCCAGCAGTCACAGATCTCGGATCAGCAGCAGGCCATTTCTGAACGGGCCTCTCCCTCGGAATCTCCCGCGCCCAATCATAGCCAGCAGACCTCCCCTCCGGGCGTACCACCGAAGAATTCCCCACCGCCGAATCCGGGACAAGGCTTCGGCTCAACACCAACGCAGTCTTGGGAAAGTCCAAGTGGGCAAGGCCAACCCGCTCCAATAACACAACAATCTTCGGTCTACAGGCCTTCGGGACCGCAGATAGCTGCCGTTGTGCAGAGCTTCACCCAGCAACAGCCACAGTCGCCGTGGAGTATTGGTCGGCAGAATGGGCTCAGCCAGTCCGGGCCCTCTGGGCAGCAGTTCTCACCAGCCCAATTTTCGCAGGGGATGACGATGACATCGCCGCCCCAAGAGCAGAGATCGGAGAAGGAGGGCACCTTCTCCAAGCTCCTCAAAAGTAGCAAGACCTTTGTGCACCAGATCTCCGACTCGCAGTCGTTGAACGATAGGCCGAAGCCAGAAAAAGAGAACAAGGGCATGAAGGGCATGATGGGTGTCTTCAAGAGGCCCTCTAAGGAGCCCAAGCATCCTGAATCTGCAAGGCCGCCACCCGGTGGGCCACAATGGGCTGTCCAGCAGGGTCAGAATCCTGCCGGCATGCAGCAGTACAGTTCCAACCAGAGCCCGCAGGCAAAGCCGACAGGATCGAGACTACCACAGATGCAGATGCCTCCAAAGGCACAGCAGGTCATGGGGATAGGAGAAGGCGAACAAAAGATTCCTGTTGATTCACAGGATGAGGCGTCGCAGACCCAGACATCGCAAGCTCAGTCACAGGCTTACAGCGCTGGCCAGCCGTCGCCTGAGCTTCCGCGGGCGCAGCAGTCGAGGATCACATCTCAACCATATCCGAGCAACCAGCATGAGAGGCCCTCGCCGCAGAAGACAAGCCCGCCTCTAACTCAGCAACAGACACGTCCTCAGCCACAAAGTGGACGGCCATCAATCAGTGCGGACACGTCTCAAACGCCTCACGAGATGCCACCACACCAACACCACCAGCAGCAACAACAACAGCAACAGCAACAGCAACGGCGGCCCTCTCAGCCACCGGCGGGGCAGACACAGTCGCAGGCGCCAGCAGCGGCATCCAGCAATATGAGAGCAGCAAACGTGAAGCAGCAGATGGCCCAGCGTGCCCCAGAACCTCAGTACGCTCCGGTCCCCATCCCGCAAGGATACGCTACCGTCCATGGAGAAGGAATGGCTGCTGCGAAACCAGACGTGATGAGAGGGCCACCTTACGGGCAACCACTGCCAATGCCACAGGCAGGCATACAATATCAAGGCGCACCACATCAATGGGCATACCCTGGCATGGCCCCCGGGCAGGTGTCCGCAGGTGTCCCTCCTCACATGGTGCAGCAAGGTTGGCCGCAGTATCCTCCTTACCAGGGGACACCGCCTCCCATGGTCATGGCCCAGCATCCACCTCCTCAACAGCAGTACATGCAAGGACACCATGCGACGCCGTCTCCGCCATCGCAAGGGCAACAACAGCCTCCACCGCAAATACCGGTACAGCAGCATATCCCGCCGTCCTCTACGCACCCACAATTCCCGAGCACTGCCCCTGGCCAGCAGCAGCATGTCCCTCAGCAGACAGGCAGCCCCGCCCAACATGTTGACTTTGCAAGCTCTCAGCAAACTGCGCCTACGCCTGCTGACGTACTGGGTGATGGCCCTCAGCGTACCGCTCCTCAAACCCAGCAGCAACTTTCGTCAGTGCCTGACGCGAGTCCCGTTATTCCAGTCTCAATGGACAGGGGTGGCCGGCCGCAACTCCAGCAGCCAGAGGCGGAGAAGACCGAGTTTGCCCAGGTTCCATCGCAGACTGTTCCCCGGAGCACCTTTGCTGTTGTCAAGCCACAACCGGGACAAGATCAGCTTCAGCCTCACCAGGGCTCCAACCTGGTGCCTCAGCGCCAGACCAGCGGTGCTAGCGAGGTGTCATCTTTGACCTCTGTTCCTGCTACCAATCAAGGCGGCTCCAGCACTCAGAGCAGCGAGACCATCCACCAGGTACAACAACAAGCGGCGAATGTTAGTTCCGAGCGAATTGTCATCAGCCCTGAGCCCACGTACGAAAGGCCGCCAGTGACTCTAACAGATGACCCTCCAAAAGTGGAATCACCTACACCGTCTTCATCGGCTGAGCAGGAAGACATATATGGTGCCACGCCGCGACAATCACAGCACGCATCACCGGTACAGCCCAAGGAGTACCAGCAGCAGCAGGCTGCCGTGGCCCACACCGTCAATATATCACCGGCGCAAGAGCCTCCTGGAGAACCTGAGGCTAAGTTTGCTGGGCCTTTGCCGAGCAGGAGTCCGGAAACCCAGCCTGCGGCCAAGAACGAGCCATCTCCGGCCCAGCAGGGCTTTGTTGTTGACGTGCCGCCGGTGATCATCGAGCCGGCAACTGCGACCAACCCTTCGGCACCGAGTCCAGCGCCGCGCGTGCCTACCCCGAAATCCACATCCCCAGACGAGGTCGAACCTCCATCGCCGACGGACTCAGAGCTAGGCAAGAAGCGCAAGAGCGACAGTGGCAGTGAGTCAAGACAAGGCGAGGAGGGCATCAACGGCGGCATAGCCAACGGCGCAAGCAGCGGCAAGCCGGTACAAACATCACAAGAGATCTTTGAAGAGCACAAGCGAAAGCAACTTGTGCGCGACATGGAAGAGAAGATTGCTCTCAACCCAACCGAGCCTGACGACTCGATGATGCTGGGTACTGGTGGAAAGAAGAAGGGCGAGGACGCGCCTCTCATGAGTGCTACCAGCTACCCCGGGCAAGAATGGAATCCGTATGGAGATGCGTGGATAGACGATGATCTGTGAGGTGGTTCCAAGGGGTTCTCGAGAAAATTTCCAGGCCCGTCCCTTTGTTTTGCACATCTCATGCAGATCTCTGGCCATATAGGTTTCAGATGTTTGAGCTTGGGTCTTTCTAGATTAATTTGTTTTGTCTCTTTTTGCCTCGGGGGAAATCCCCAAATCATCTCCAGATACTAGCTGGATGATCTCGGGACGGCTGCGGCAGCTACGCCAGCCAGTCTTGTATAAGCCTGTTCATACCCATTTACTACCTTTGTTCATATTTCTGGTAATTCTTATATCTATCTTGTGTGGTCTTAGATTGCATGTGTGGTGGGGGAGGGTACCCGCTCATAGAACGAATGTTTAATGACTGTCTTAACAGTCTCATCTGATTATAACATGTCTGCTGACGCGTGCAATCAACGAGGCCGGGCAGCGCGTCGCTTGGACTTCGACAATGGATCCTTCCACCGATTCGGCTGCTAGACTCTGGGCTCATCAGCGACGAAAAATGTCTCGGCCCGGCTGGGCAGCTCGGACGAGAGGGGACGGCGACCCCCATAGGGAGAGAACAGAGGACATGCCTGCAGGATCCCGCCGGCTAAATTGGGGGGTAAATGCGATGCCTCCAACTAACCCAACTGCTTTGCGAGTGGATGCGCTTGGCCCCATTTGAACAGTATCTCTTGGCCCACCCTGCGCTTGTAGGGGCGGTTGTACGGGTCAATTGGGTCGCGATGAGTTGATATAAAGTTCTGCCACTGCTCTTTTGATGCCTCTGTTGGCTCACCCATTCATTGACTGACCAAGACTTACCTCCCGACTCGAGTCACCGTACATTTCGGCTTCGAATAGCACGCCCTACTTGAGTACCGAAGTAGTCTGTCTACCTGGGCAGTTGGATCAACGCCGGGCGGACAATCGAGAGCAGCACACACGCCCGCGCAGCATGGCACCCCTCATCAAACATGTCTACACGGCGGACCCGTCGGCACACGTCTTCAATGGCAGGGTCTACATCTACCCGTCGCATGACCGCGAGACGGACATCAAGTTCAACGACAACGGCGACCAGTACGACATGGCCGACTACCACGTCTTCAGCCTGGACTCGCTGGACCCGGCGTCGGAGGTCACGGACCACGGGGCCGTCCTGACGCTGGCCGACGTGCCCTGGGCGTCCAAGCAGCTCTGGGCGCCCGACGCAGCGCGCAACCCTGCCACGGGCAAGTACCACCTGTTCTTCCCGGCGCGCGACAAGGAGGGCATCTTCCGCATCGGCGTGGCAGTAGGCGACAGGCCCGAGGGGCCCTTCACGGCCGACGAGTCGTTCATCCCAGGGACATACTCGATCGACCCGGCAGTGCTGGTCGACGACGACGAGGCCTCGTACCTCTACTTTGGCGGGCTGTGGGGCGGCCAGCTGCAGTGCTACCAGCGGGGCCACGGCGACGCGGACTTTGACGCCTCGTGGTCCGGCCCCAAGGAGCCTTCGGGCCCCGGGGCGGTGGCGATGGGGGCCCGGGTGGCGAAGCTGGGCAGGGACATGCGGACGCTGGACGGCGGGGTGCACGAGGTTGTGATCCTGGACCCGGAGACGAAGCAGCGCATCGCGGCTGATGACCATGACCGGCGGTTCTTCGAGGCGGCGTGGTGCCACAAGCGCAAGGGCAAGTACTACTTCTCGTACTCGACGGGCGACTCGCACTACCTGTGCTGGGCGGTGGGAGACTCGCCCATGGGACCTTTTGTGTACGGGGGCCGTATGCTGGAGCCTGTGCTGGGGTGGACGACGCACCACTCTGTTGTCGAGTTCCCCGAGGGGGGTGACAGGTGGTGGCTCTTCCACCACGACTGTGAGCTCAGCGGCGGGGTTGATCACCTGCGGAGCGTCAAGGTCAAGGAGATATATTATGACGGGGACCGTATTGTGCAGGAGAAGCCGGGACAGTAATACGTGGGCGTTGTTGTGGTTGTCGAACTACATTCCAGGAGAAGTGCACCTACTTCGCTATAGATTTCTCCTCATTGCCTTGTGGTATCTGTACCCAATTCTTGACCATCTTCCGTCAGTAATCCTGGATACCAGTCTGCCCAGTCAACACCCTTTCCCTCGGTCCTTTCCTCGTGCTCGGCTCGCCGTCCGCACCGACAGCCACAGGGCTACCAGCACTACCTTCACTCCCGTCGCTGGCCCACCCCGGCTCCTCCCCGTCGAACCACTCCTCCTCCCGGTCCCGGGACTCCAGCTCATCAAGACCCTCATCCCTGTCTACTGGACCGTAGTCAAAATCATCATCCCCGCCGCGTATGAATCGTTCCCGCAGGAAGTCCTCCCACACGGCGCGGCCCTCCTCCTTCGTCGCGGGTGCGGATTCTGCGAGGTCCGCGTCGATGGTGAAGTTTGCTGCTGCCGTGCTGGCGGCGACAGGTCCTTGGTTGTCGCCCGCGCCCGCCGTGGACGACGGTACTGCTGCACGAGGTGAAGAAGATGAGGCGGGCTGAAAGCGCCCCGGCCCCGGCGCTGGCCTGTCACCTGAGAGGGACGAGGCCACCCTGTCCAGGCGGTCCTCGCCACGCATCAGCGACGTCTCGAGGACCTTGCCCCAGCCCCTTCGACGGGTTTCTGCCTCGCGCTCGGCGGGCGTTTGGAATCTGCGGATCATGGTGTCGTAGAGCTCCTGGTCTGGAGGCTTTGTCAGCGAGTCCGCCTGATGAGAGGCCATCGCACGGTAAGTCAGCCTGGCTGTCTTGCCGGACCGTGGGACTTGGTCGTTCTTCGCAACTACGACCATGGTACCTGGTCAGGAGGGCTTACCGGCAAGCTGGTTGTCCGCCGAGGACAGGTAGCTTGGGTTATTCTCCAGGTACTGACGCCGCCTGTTCTGAACTCGTATCTTTGCAGCCTGGGAAGGCGACCTGGGAGGCCGTGGCCGGGGCCGGGAGAACAGGTCGGCGCTGGCGGCTGCTTCTGCTGTTGGTGGCGGCGAGATCGTGTCCGCCCGGGGCATCATGTCCAGGCACCTGGGCAAGGTTTCGGGGGGCAGTGCGCCCGCAATGTCGTGGGCAGACTTGTTGGTGAGAGTAGAAGTTGAATATGTGTGGGGTTGTAGCTTTTGGGGGTGGAGGTGGTGCCTTGGAGTGGCAATTTTACCCTACCAAGTATCTGCCGGGTTGGGATCAAGCCCTTGCGCATGGCTTGTTCCTTGGGCAGGAATGTTGGTGTGCTCTGCGGTTCTGGGCTCATGAGGGTATACTGAATTAGCAGCCCGTGAATCCCCGTCTCAGCCTGGAGGATCGGGTGAGGTCATGCACAAAGGCGCGTCCGATCTTCAAAGACGCTCGGGCGTATCTTACAGTGCGTATGATTCGAGCCACTGCAGTCAGCCCAGTGTCTGTTGTGGCTTCCATCTCACAGCGGGCCGGCCCGTCGTAACGGCCCTGTGATAAAGCTGCAGCGTTGGATCCGGTGCGGTACTTCGCGTATTTTGATATTACCCCAGGTCACAGACAACTTGTTCTTGTTCTTGTTCTTGTCTTTTTGTTTCTTCCACTACTTTTCTGTCTTTCGAACAAGAAAACAAAGCTTCTAAGGTGCCTGAGGCCAGAGCCAACCGTGATGACAACGTACTTAGGTACCTAAGTAGACTTGTGCGTCCTGTTTGTTTGCATGGTGCATGCAGGCTGATGGACACTTCGATCAAAATTTCGTGCAAAATCTCGTACTGCAACCGTGATGGGCTGGCTCACTAACAACCTACGACATTGAAAAAGCAAATCCATAAACGAAAATGGATACTTTCCTTGGCCCAAGTACAGCAACATATTCTACACTTGCCTGTTTAGGCGTACCATGCCCCACAATTCACGTGCCATTTGACGAGTTTGACAAGGGTAGCAGCCCGGGCCCGTCCTCAGCTCTCAACGGGATGCCCACGCCTACCATACTCCGAGTCTTCCTCAACCGCAAGGCGAGGACCACACCCAGACGGCTGAGGGGTTTCTTCAGTCCTACACAGCCTCCAGGCACTAAAATCCATTGATCTGCTGCCTCGTGATACCACCCAGTCTCTCATTTTACACTTGGGCATTCCAGCCCGGACGGTAGGCCTCAACAGTGACGTCCCACCTCCTACCCCGGACACGGCTCGCACTGTCACTTGTGGGCCCTCGCTGCCTCTTCAGCACTGTTTGTTTGCTTGCCACCATCTCTGTCGAGAATCCGCATCGCTCTGGCCCGTGGGCTGTGGGGTCAATTGGTTGTGGAATCCAGCCTCCCTCCTGCAGACATCCATTCGTTGTCGAGGCTGCTGGGTCCCTGTCAGATCCGTTAGCAAGGACACAACAAGTAGCGAGCAGCCCACGGCTACCACCAACAGGATCGAGAATTCGTCTCAACTCCTTTCGGTCTCTGCCTGTTCATGCATTGTGCCTCTTGTCTTACCCTGTCTCTGTCTAATCACATCTCATCCCTATCAGCCCACAGCCATGGCGCATATAAAGACGGACGACCCCCAGCCCGGGAGCAGGCCATTCCAAGCCTCTGCCATTGCATCGACCTCAGAGATTAACAGTGTTGCCCCTACATCAGACATCAACTGGAGGTCGGACTGGCGCGAGTCTACCTTGTTCACTTTCAGGACACCGGACGAGAAGAAAAACCCCACCAAAGTCGTCCCTCCTGAAACAAAGGAAACATCACAGAGTAGTCCCTTGACACGAATTCAAAAATTACCTACCAGCTTTAACTTCGACTTCTCACTCCCCAAGGTCGGCAACAACAAGTCTTCCTGTGGCTCAAGCGAGTTCGGGGTCTCATCCGACACACCAGCTTCCGAGCGAGAGACGGGCAACGCGACAGACCCAGTACCCTCCACGCACGCGACATTAGCAGATCTTATGAAGAAGCAGACCATGGACCGCCGCCGCCAGCTTCTTCACCGCATCCATAACAAGGATGTTGGCGGCCTGGACGAGATCAAGACTGCACCGCTCTTCACCGAGACCGCCCGGGCCCGAGCCGAGAGACAGGCCTCCTCATCTGTTGCTTTTGACCAAGCCTTCTCGCAGTACGGGCTCCTCGCCGGCGACGCCAGCAGCGACAGATCTGACGAGCTGTTCTACTACAACGTGGCCGCTCCATCAAGCACCTTCATCTGTGGCAGTCAAGGCTCCGGAAAGAGCCACACGCTGTCGTGCCTGCTGGAGAACAGCCTGTTCCCATCGGTCGCTAACGAGCTGCCGCGCCCGTTGACGGGCATTGTTTTCCACTACGATACCTTCATCAGTGACAGCCAGGGCAGCCCGTGCGAAGCAGCCTACCTGTCGAGCAACGCGGCCGTGCGCGTTCGCGTTCTGTGCGCGCCGACAAACCTTGTGACCATAAGCCGGACGTACGCGGCACTTCCAAACGTGACCGTCGAGCCGCTGAGCATCAGGGAGCGGGATCTCACAACCAGGCGTATGATGGACCTCATGGCCGTCAAGAAGGGCGAGGCGATGCCACTCTACATGCATGTCGTGAACCGCGTGCTACGTGACCTACGCCTTCGACAGCAGCAGACTGGTGGGCCCTTTGACTACCGCGCTTTCAAAGCCATGCTGGCTCGCGAGGACCTGACGGAGAGCCAGAGGGTGCCTCTCTCGCAGCGGCTCGAGACCCTCGAGTCATTCATGGCGCCAACGCAGGGGCCAGGCTCGACGCAAAAGAAGAAAAACAAAACAGAAGCCGCCGCGATTCAACACCCGGGCAACGACTGGACACCGCGGGCCGGCCAGCTCACCGTGGTAGATCTTAGCTGTCCGTGCATCACGCCCGAGGGAGCCTGCTCTCTCTTCAACATTTGTCTCTCCCTCTTCCTGGAGCAGGACTCACGGCGGGTGGGGCGGATAGTGGCGCTGGACGAGGCTCACAAGTACATGAATGAGAGCGGCGAGGCATCAGCCCTCACGGAGCAGCTCCTGGCGACGATACGGCTGCAGCGGCACCTCGGGGCGCGCGTGGTGATCTCAACACAGGAGCCCACCGTGTCGCCGCGGCTGCTGGACCTCTGCAGCGTGACGATCGTACACAGGTTCACCTCCCCAGAGTGGCTGCGGGCGCTTCGGCGGCACCTGGCCGGGGCGGAGGAGACGGCCGGGATGCTGGCACGTGCGGCTGGTGCTGGTGCTGGTGCTGGTGCTGGTGATGCTGGTGGCGTGGGTGACAGCGCTGCTTCTTCTGACTCGGGGGTCGACGACGTGCTGGAGGGGGTTGTCGACGCGGTTGGGACAATGAGCCTCAAAGAACCCAGCGCGACGGTCGGCCGTAAACAGGCGGCAGCGAACCTGTTTGCACAGATCGTGGGGCTGCGAGTGGGCGAGGCGCTGGTGTTCTCGCCCAACGCGGTGGTGGGTGTCAGTGAGGAAGGTGTGGCGAGGAAGCTTGGCAGTGGTGTGCTCAAGGTGTGTGTGCGAAACAGGGTCACGGAGGACGGCGGGAGGAGTGTCATGGCCGGGTAATGTTTTTAACTGCTTCTCTCTTTTTGGATGATGATGTTGTTGTTCTTCTTCTTGGCTAGCTATGGGTTGTCATGTTCTCTTCGAGACGGCTGGATGGAGTCTCGAAAACTGTATATACTTCAGAAAGAAGTTGAGTCCCGGGGTCGTGGCCACTCATCACAATATTGGTTTTGATTTTGCTATTGACGTTGCTGTTGAAAAATGCACACCCCAAAAGAGAGGACCATGCCTTAGTGTCGTGGGCTTGCGCAGGTCTGACAGGTCGAGGTCACCCGTGATGTGGCCGTCTCGTGGTTGGCAGGTTCGAGGGCGTTGGATGCTGTAGAAGCGCGAGGGTGTTGTTGGCGGTGGAGCAGTCGGGCAAGCATCACGATCTTGGCTGGTGCTGCTGTGGGCGGGAAAAGTGGAAATGAGCAGCCCATGCGGGCATGCGGGCAGGCGGGCGGGCGGGCAGGGCCCCGCTGGGCGACGGAATAGCACCGGCAAATTCGCCAATTACGGATGGCAAGTAAATAACAAAACGTGCCCAGGTGCCCAGGTGCCCAGGTGCCCATGTCCCTGCAACCTGCAACCTGGCAAAGAATGATGGCAATCTCACAGCTGCGACTGCGAGTAATAAAAGCCCATCTCGGGACAAAAAGGTGAGCAGTACGGAGTACTGTGCACTGTCCTCGGCCCGTACTTGTTACTTGTCCAGCACGTCTGGACTGAGCCACCCGAGTACTTCAGTACTTTTAGGTACCTGGGTACTTACTTGATTACCCCAGGGCAGACAGCGGCACGGCACGCCATTGCATTGAAGTGCAGGCAGGCTCTGGGTCAGGCTCAGAGAAGAGCCAGCCCAGCCAGCCCAGCAGCCCCGGGCGCGTGTGCACACGCATGCTCGCATCCATACCCAGACCATGCCATCCCCATCAGAGCACGCGCCGGGCCCAATCCATACCGTCAACCCATCCAGACCTTTCCTTGTCAGATCAGACAGACCACACACCATGCAGTGGACTAGCCGCTGCTGCCAGCGTAGAAGCTCAAACGGGCAGCCGCCTGCTCGTGCTTGTACGACAGGTCAAAAATCTTATTAGCCTAGCCCGCTTGTTGGTGTCCTCCCTTTTTATCCTCCCCTCGCCCTTCGATTCCGAGCCCCCAGGGCTCCCGTATTTGCCGTGCTCCATTGCCCAAACCAGACAGACATATATAAGGCCGTTATTGCTTTTATTCTTATTATTCTGGAGACCCCCAGGCCCCCAGGCCCCCAGGCTCCCAGCCAGCACACCTGACGGGCTGGCATGATAATAAGCGACCGCCTGCTTTTGCCACTACTGACTGCCACTCCCGGGCTGCGTCGGCCTCTCGGCCTCTCCAGGTCGGTCTCGGCGCTCACCGTGTGCCCCCATGTTCCTCCCCCGTGGGCGTGAGGTACAGCAGCAGCAAAGCACAGGTCAGGTCAGGTCAGGCCAGGCCAGGCCAGGCCAGGCCAGGTCTAGACGGGGGGGCGCGCAGAAACGGGCCAGTACCGAGTACACAAGAAACAGACAGAACCACAAGACAGAAACACACACACACACACACATACTCACTCGGCCAGAGAGGGAAAGAGCGACAAGAGCCGATCGATCACTCTTCAACTTATTAGCCCGCCCCGTTTCAGTCAGTCAACCTCTCAGTCAGTCAGCCAGCCAGCCAGCCAGCCAGCCAGCCCAGTCTCATCCAGCCACTGACTGAGTGAGCGGGCGAGGCCTCGTAACCCTGGACTCGACGACTGGTGGCAATTGGTCTGGCATGGCTGAACTGGCTGCAAAGATACGGGCCAGGTTCAAACGCCGGCCTTCTGCCATCCCCTCACTGCTCAGCAGCAGGTCAACCGGCAGCCACACCTCGTCTTCGCACCGCAGCCACAATGCAGATCGGCCCTCCAAGTCGCGTGCGGGCAGCTCACGCGTCTCCGTCATCTTGGACCTGGACGACGACGGCAGTGCCGGCTCCCCAACCCGGTCCCAGCCTGCATGCACCGGGCCAGGAATGGTGGGACTGCCGGGCCTAGGCGTGGGCGAGGGCCAGGGCGAGGGCGAGGGCGAGGTCGAGGGCAGCCAGGGCGAGGGCAGCCAGGGCGAGGGCAGCCAGGGCGGCAGCAACAAGGGCGACGAGGACCTGGCTGGTGACGCTCCTCAGCCTCCGCCGCCGCACCTGCACGAGCACCACCACCAATCTGAGCCCGATACCACCGGCCCAATTTCCCCAGCCCAGCACGATTCCTCAGCCCGCCCTCTGGCTCAAAATGCCCCGGCTGCCCAACACGCCTCGTCGTCGTCGTCCTCCTCCCCCCAAGAGACACTAGCAACAACGACGCCAACTGCTCCAACTCGTGCCCCAGCTCTGGACGAAGCGTCCTCGGGTAGTGTCTTGGCCGGCTCCCCTGAGCCACCACCACCACCAGCCCCTGCGGTCGAATCCGACACTGGGTCTGAGCGACCTGCGCCTGCGCCTGCGCCTGCACCTGCACCTGCACCTGCAACTGCTTCACCTGCACCCGAACCCGAGACTGCACCTGCTGCGCCCGACCCCAGCGAGGGCCCGACAGCAACCGCATCGGCCAGCGTCATGCCGGGCAACGATCTGCACCCGTCACCGCGAAAACTCTCGTGCATCAGCGAACATCCCTCCCAGGACCACCAGGAACTGCTCCCAACCCCAGATCCCACCTCCGCCCACCCACACCTGGCCCCCATCACAAAACCCGCCGCCGCCTCGGCCGATGCAACTTCACCTCAGGCCTCGAAACAAGACGATGCTGACGACAAACCCGCCGCCGCCGCCGCCGCCGCTGCTCCTCCTCCTCCACCTCGAACTCCCAAATTAGCTCCCGCCGCGACCCAACGGCCCTTCCACATCCCACTCCCCACCGCAGCCGCCGCCGCCCCTCCCTCCGCCGCCAACCTATCGCCCATCGCCGCATACAGCCCAAAGGCCGGCACCGTCACCCCGAGCTCCCCGCTCGCCCGCAACTCCTCCTCCCTCGCCTCGAGACCCGCTGCTCCCGTCCGGCGGCAATCGCTCCTCTCAAACAGGCAGTCTACCCTGATCCAGACCTTGCTGCGCGGGTCCCAGCCCGACGACATCGCCAGCATCAGCAACGAGCAGCTGCTCCCCATCAGCGGCAACATGGTCATGCGCAAGATCTGGGTCAAGAGGCCTGGCGCCTCCGCCACCCTGGTAACCATAAACGAGGACGACTTGGTAGACGACGTGCGAGACATGATCTTGCGCAAGTACGCCAATTCCCTCGGCCGCCAGTTCGATGCGCCAGACCTCACCCTCCGCATCAGGCCCAATGGGAACCAGCAGGAGCGCATGCTCGGGCCCGAGGAGCCAATGTCTCGAACCCTCGATGCTTACTTTCCTAGTGGACAGACAGTTGACGATGCCCTCATCATTGACGTCCCGCTGCGACGGACTCCCAAGGCCTCCCCCCGCGCCGGCCCTCCCCACGCGCCGCATGTCCAGTACTACGTTGAAGAGGCGAGGCCCTCAGAGGCAGGAAACGACTACTTCGGACCAGGTGCCATTTCAACCCTGCCTGTCACAGTGACCGCGCCGGCCAACGGATCGGCCCCCCAACACGCCATTTCAATCCTGCAGACCGGGCACCCCCCGCAGATACCATCGCCAGGCGGCACGCGAGCAAGGACGTATAGGGAAAGACCCGAGCGGCCGAGGTTAGGACGCCAGCACACTTCCTCGCCCACCCTGATAAACATGGCCTCCGGAACAACCCACCAGGCGTCCATTTCCACAGCCGCTGGAGCCCCTCATGGTATGCAACACATGATACACTCCAGACCAGCCCCCCGATCAAGAACTCATTCCAATGCCTCAGACCAGTCACAAGCAGCACCGGCCGCCCCGGCCATCCCCACCCCACCGCCTCCTGAAGGGGCGGCTGCATCTCAGCGCTCAGCCACCCCACCACCCCGTGTGTCGTCACCAAGACCCAAGGCCTCCAAGAAGAAGAAGCCCGCAGAGCACCCGTCCCTGCCCAAGGGCATGCTGAACGGCAACGTGCCGCCCATCAACGTCCTCATCGTGGAGGACAACATCATCAACCTCAAGCTGCTCGAGGCTTTTGTCAAACGCCTCAAGGTGCGGTGGTCAACCGCCATGAACGGCCGCGACGCTGTCACCAAGTGGCGCGGCGGCGGTTTCCACTTGGTCTTGATGGACATCCAGTTGCCAGTCATGAGCGGTCTAGATGCAACCCGCGAGATCAGGCGGCTTGAGAGGGTCAACTCGATCGGCGTCTTCAGCTCGGCCGCCGACGCGCCCCCGGAGGTCAAGGGCGAGCCGGACGAGAAGGACAGGCTCGAGAACATGGACCTCTTCAAGTCACCGGTCATCATTGTCGCGCTGACCGCCAGCTCGTTGCAGAGCGACCGTCATGAGGCTCTGGCGGCGGGGTGTAACGACTTCTTGACCAAGGTAGGCCAGTCCCTTCCTCCATCCATCCATCCTTGTGTCACGGGCTCCTGCGTTGGGCCAGTATCCGTCTTTTGATGATTTCGTGTTTGCTAACCTATATAACACACATGTACAGCCCGTCAACTTTGTCTGGCTCGAGCGCAAGGTCATGGAATGGGGCTGCATGCAGGCGCTTATTGACTTTGACGGCTGGCGCAAGTGGAAGGACTTTTCTGCCAAGCTGGAAGAGGACAGGAGATCGTCCTCTGCCGTGGCGGCGCAGAAGGCCAAGGTCAAGAGGAACAGGTCGAGTATGAGCCAGGCCGTCGCCGCGGGCGCCTAGACGAGTAACATTTGGCACACGTGAGCATCAAACAACCATTATCTCCATACACGGGAGGTGCAACAATCACCTGGGATAGATGCCTTGAGAAAAAGACGGTGTTAAGATAGAGGAGGGGTGTCCGCGGATGAGAAGCAGGGGGTGATCTGTTGTATAAGACCACCACAAAACAAACGACTGCATTGTAATGATTTTTGTTCTGGATGGTACTTGGGACACAGCACAATTTACAGGGTGGAAAATTGGCGGCAAGCATCTTCCTTTGTAATAGCCATATTTCCCTTCCTTATACCTTCTCTCACGCGAACACGACTTTATCTGAGACAACTTGAGCCTTCATGCTACCAGTACATTACTCCTTGACACAGCTATATATTGGGAGCCAGGAGAGAACCGTTCTATCATCTGTACTGTGTGTGACACTGCTCTTGTAGACTGTCAGTGACTGCATGAGATACAGAGTCAGCTTGGGCGGTGGCACAAATTGGGCATGAGACTTCCAAGGTGGCCGCCACCAAGGATACCTCTTTACTTCAAGTTTTACCAACAGCTAACAATTGATCGACGTGTGATGCGGAGGGTGGCGGTATCAGCTTGGGCCAACCAGCGAGGCCGTCGTGCTCTTTTGGAAGGATAAGCTAAGAAAGTGCGGTTGTCGAGTTCCGGATTATCCAAGCAGAGCTAAAGTGTGAAAGTTTCTAGATTCATGGTGTCAAATTGCAATGGATTATGTTGATTGTGCGCTCGGGAAGCCTGTGTCTTGCCTCAGTAATAAGACGGTGGTGTAAGGGTAGTTAACCTTGGAAGTGGAGAATTACTACCTGCTCGGAATGTATTTTGTTTCTACATGGTTTTGAGTTCCAACTTGTCCTTTCTGGCATTCATTCATCATACTACAGTCTTCACGCCCTATGTATATACCGGGTGCTTCTGCTTCTAGATGGAATACACCGGTGCCCAGCTGGACTCCTGCGAAACCGCGAATTTCTCCGGTGCTCCCAGGTGCAGAGCCCTGTGGTCATTTGCCCCCCCCCCCCCAACCAAGCCCCGAATCGATATAGATTCCATGTGCCTTCTCTTAAATTTTGTTGGATCGTATCGAGAGAAGCGCGATTTATTGTGCTGAGTTCTTATTGCAAGGGTTCCAAGCCTGCGCAGTCTGTTGCAACCGAATCTGAGGATACAGCCTCAACAATACCCTTTGCAACAGGGGCTGTAGACTGGTACTTGAGTTCAGTCACTCTAGAGAATGGTTGGAGTGCGACTCTAAGTCCTGTCCAAGATGACTGAATACCTAGGTACCCAAGTAAGTATTCCAATCGAGATCGCTTGTCAGACTCTCCACGTCCATTTTCTGTCCCGGGCCCAGCGGCGGAAGAAAACGACAGACTCGACCCCGTTGTCATGTTGATGGTATTCACTTCTGCACTTTTGGACTTGTTATTACCAGTAGAGAGCACCTTGTCTCTTGAATCTTTGGTAGCTGTCGAACCACCTGGTGTCATTGACATTCCGACGAGAGGATGCTTAGTTTCTGGACCCATCGTGATGTTAAAATCTGGTATGGGAGGGAGGGTGCCTACGGTCTCGTAGCAATGAGTCAACTCAGCTTGAGATTGTGCCCCAGGCTGGCCCGGCCTCCCTATTCTGTGCCGCCGAGTCCTTGTCATGCTCAACATTGACCTTATCTCTGACCTTCCCCGTCTCCCTGACAGCTTCTGTCGCGAAGTCCGAATAATCAACATATGCACCAATGGCGTACTTTCTTGCTGCTTCTGAGTGGCGGCCGCATTTCTCCAAGACGCCTGGACTGATCTGCTCATGACGGAATCAAGACGATTTGAAGTTTATGGACTGCGAAGATCTGCTATCTACCTATCCTGGTTAGAATTTTGAGAAGAGGGAGCACGTTAATGGAGTGACTTTGGTCACTGTTGTTGCTCATGATCGCTTCCTCTTGAGTTTGAGTATTCTGTGCTGGGCTCTACTTGTCTGTGGGACTCTTCCAAGGGAAGTCTCTCTCCTGGAGCTCGAGCTAAATGATTCTTTGACCCGTCCCTCGGGGCTCAAAATGTTCAAGGGCATGAACAACGGCAGTCTAAAAGTGTCTGAAAGCCCCCTTGAAGGTAAACCTTGGAAGTCATAGTTTTCTACAGTCCTAAGTTTCGCATAGTTTACGCTATCGAACATTCTGGTCGACACTTCCTTCTGAAGGTCGTCATCGAGGGGGGACTTGAGAAATGGTACCATCAGGCCCGGTCAAAACCGAAGCTCGATATAGGCATGACGGAGCAAGGGATGGGAGAGTGGTAGCACTAATTGATTTTGAGGATTACCGGGAGTTTACATGTGGCTTAGATCGCAACGAAGGGCTCACTGAGGGCGATGGAGATGGGATACCTCGAGGAAGTCAAATTGGAAATGCTGGATGCCATCCATGCCTGGCACCTCGTTCTATCAGATTCCTTACCGAAATCGGTCGCTCCACTCCCTTTAAGTCCGTTTCAAACGCCGCATATTGCCTCACAAGGAACCGTATCGGATCCACAAGCTTCAGCCCTGAGTGAGAATCATCCACTGCTTGAGGATGCAAGGCAGTCAGCCAGTCCAAATGCCGGAACGACTTTTGGTGGACCTAGCCAGCAGCCAGTGCCGACGGCCGAGGATTATAAGCGAGTTATACCGGCTCTGTCACGTCACTGGTCCTACCTTCCAGAATCAATATTTACCTGAAGCCTCAAAGAGTACCATTTCAAGCAATTCCACCACCTTGGTCGGGGTTGGAAACACCACGGCGTCAAGCAAGTTATAGAGCCTTTCGAGAGGTCGAGTAATCTACCTAGGTATGTTACGGGTGGAGGCAGCCCAAATCCTAGACAAGCTACTCGATCCTGGCCTGGATTGGAATATAATGGTGAGGAACTTGGCCTCACTGGGCATTGAAACCTCCCTCAAGTGGTTTGGAGTGGTTTCATTTCTGATCCCCATATATGTTAAACGTATGTGGCGCCTTGTACAGTAGTAAACGCTCAGGACCCAGCGTTCAAAAAGATACTGCAAATGGAAATAGAGGAATGTAAGTAGTGCTCCAAAGTGGTACTCGTACAAGTGTACCTAGGTAGATTATTGGAACCAGCAGTCCTTCCAAGCGATGCCAAAATGAAGAATCTCAGGGTAAGGGTTGAACGATACGCTTTTGGGCTTATCTGGGCCTTCTGAAGCTGGTTCCGGCCAGCTACACTTCATTTGCCTGGGGACAGATAACTGTTTCACAGACACTCGGGTTGTAGATAGATACCTGGTGACGATTATCTCCAAAGTTAGGATATCATAGCAGGCGGTCCAAGACCGAGAACCAGGGACTCAAATGGTCGAGCACCTGGGCGGCTTCTACTCATAATTGTTGCACGTGACTAGCAATCTATAATCATGACAATGTGAGATTGTCCGGTGCATGTTCAGAGGACCCAAGGAGCATTTGGCAGCTGACAAAGATTAGGCTCTGACGGGAGACCGTGCTGGGCCATTCCTGACCATCCTCTCTCGGGTCGGCCATTCATATCATGCGCCCTGGCCTCAGAGCCGGGCGTCACATATCTACACTACTATGGATTTCACCTTTGGCCCTGGTCACATGGGAGCTCCTGCCAAGACCCTGTGATTGATTTTCAAGCCCGAGATGGAGGGAATGTGGTTGCGAACCATGGGAGGCGGGGTCGAGTGTGAGAACGATGACGAACCACAAAACATGCCCGTCCGTGCCTCGGCGTGCTTGAGCATTGACCATACAATCAGAGCGACTTGTCCAGTCGGATCCGTCTCCAGCTGGATCAGGGCTCGTCGGAAATCTGGCTGTAACACTAGACTCGAGCAATACTTGCAGCACTATTTTAAAAGCAAAGCTTATTGTTAGTTTTCCTCCCGAGCAGTGAAGATTCCAAATGGTACAAGTACGGAATGACAGGCTTCGCAGAGTTCGGGAAGTGCTGGGCTCGGGGAAATCCCTGCGGGCGTTGGCGTCCAAGACGCTGGTAATGTCTGAAACACATTGCAGAGTGGTTGTGAGAGTTTGAGTGTCAGTAAGGCTGGGAGTGGCCCAGCTGGAACCTTGACAGGAGCTTAAGAGCCACAAAAGTTTCGCGAAGATGGAAGGTCTGAGTGATTGAGAAGGGTTCTCGGTCAGAAGCAGCAAGGAGAGGGCGTCTGATGGGTTGAGGCTGCGAGCCCGTGCTCAAGTTGAACCTCGGATGGGAGATCGACGACTAGGTTGACTGGTCAGGCATCTGGGGGGCAAGAGACCAGACAGAGGAGAGACGAATGAATGGGGAAAAAAGGGGGAAAAAAGAGAAAAAAGAGGACGGGCCAAATGAGGCTGCATTGAACCCACAGACGACGGAAACGAGGACTTTCGTCTGAACGCCGTTTCCTGTTGTGGGACGGGGCGAATAAGATGCGGACGCGATACACTCTGAGCCATGAAACGACTCTTGTCGTAATGCAATAGTGTAACTCGGGGTGGACTATTGATTGGCGAGGTTGGGCGCTGCTGCCGGGGGAAGGACAGGGCTGGAGGCCAGGTGCGCAGGTGCGATGCGCGGCACAAGATTAGGTTTTGGAAGGGACGGTGCTGTGTGGTGAGTTGCAAGACGGGTCTCGCTGATGCCGTATGATTGTCAGAATGGAGTCAGATGTGATAAGATGCTGGGTCTGGGGCGTCTCGGCAGTGGTTCGTCCCCGCGGCCTGAAGGATCCCAGCACCAAGGGGCAGCCTTGCGAAACAAAGGTGGCAGCTCCCGCAGCTCCCGCAATCCCCGCGGTTCCAAGGCTGGTGTTCTTGTCGCGTTCTGGCAATCTCCAGGGCGTGAAGAGCGGGACTTGGCAGGCTGTCGAGGCCCGTCGCGACGTCTGATGCGTTTGAAGGAGGCTCCCGGGGTAGAGGAGAGTCTCCAGTGCGCCATGTCCTCCAATCAGCCAATCTGCCAACCTGCCAATCTGCCAGTCTGCCCAGCAAGGCAAGCGAGCGGCAGCCAGATAGTGCGATGGCACGAATGCGGCCAGCCGGGGCGACCAATGGGGAGGCTGCTGATGCCAAGACGGCAGCAGAGATGCATTGAGCCGTGGTGATGTGCTGTGTGATGGAGTTGCGGGATGGACCGGTGGTCAAACCAAGACCCAGACCCAGACGAGCAGCGATTTGCGAACGAGAGGCTTCGTTCGTTCTGTCGGATTCGTTGTGGCGGGAACCCACTTCTGCCAGGCCTCGGCGTCAGGAATTCCCTAGCTGGTCACAAGTCATGTTCTTTATCAGGTGAGAAGGATTCCAATACCACCTGCCCGGGTAGAATTTCATCGTACTACCTACCTGCTGCCGTGACCCCCGGTCTCTCTCCGGCCCGAAAAAGGGAATCGGCAATCAATTGCCTGACAATGAGACAACAAGTCTTGTCGACGTTCGCCGGGGTCGTACTCGTACGCAACACGAGCACTGACTGCGTTTAGTGTACGGAACACAGCAAATTTATTACGCTGTCAGGCAGGCGGGCAGGCGGGGGACCAGGCCGTGCTCGCGTGGCTTGACTAGTTAACGCTCTTCCCTGCTGCGCCGCCTGGCCGCCTGGCTGCTAGGCCGTAGACCACCGAGTACTATGTGGTACTACTAGACTGAACAAAGGCAGGCCCAGCCGCCTGGGGGCCGAGATGAGAAGTCGCTGGGCCACTGATGACGTTTTGCCTCCGCCCCGTTTCCGTACCCGGGCGCTAAAGACGGATGCGACTGCCCTTGACGGATTAGGTGAGAGCAGCACGGGTATGTGTGATTGATGATTTTTGCTCGACGAGGTCCAACGCCGTGGCACCGTGCCGTGCAGATTGAGATTCATGCCTCTTGGCCTTGTCCTGCTCATGAATAATTTGTGCCACTCGGACTTACAAGCCCTGGAGGGGGGGGGGAGCGGTCCGTGGGGTGGTCTGACTTGGGAATTTCTTGGGCTGCGGCGAGGCGAAGTGAGATGAACCTTGTCTTCGGTCGCCGCTGCGGCGCTGCACCACTTGGCTGCAGGGCAGGCTGGGCAGGCTGCCAGGCTGCCAGGCTGCCCGTAGAAATCCCAACAGGCAAGAGAGTGGTGCTGGCCTACCGGGGTACCGGGGTACTGGGGTAGTAGATAAAGTACGTACTATGTAGTACCGCACTATGTAGCGCACTACTTTTGGCACCCTGCAGCTTCCTCCTCCCCTCCGGCCAATTATAGTGGCACTTTCCCGTTTTAGCGTCTGATCTCGGTTGTCACCTGCGACCTGGGTCGTCCCTGCTGATTGTGCAAGACTGCGTGCTCCACTCTCACGCCTTCCTGATCTCGCCGGGCATCCGATCAATTGTTCAGTTGGCGTTTGCTTGCCAGTACCGCTTGCTGGCCTGCGCTGGCCGGCCTGCACCTGCACCCGCACCCACAAGCGGGTCCCTAATTGGATGGTTTTCTGGTCTCTCCTCACCTGGACCTTGGACTTGGGACTAAGTCGCCTCGCCTCCTCCCGAACACACCTTCGCTCCCGTCCATTCTTTGCAACAATATATCGCATCTCGTAAAGCTGCTTCGTCATTCCCCTCAACTTTCCTTCCTTCCTTCCTTCCTTCGTACCTGGCACGACACACCACACACTCCCTTCCCTTCCTTCTATCCATCTCTCGAGCCCCCGGCTCTACCTCTCCGTTTCCTTTGCAATCCTACCCACCACTCATACTCTTTATTCAAATTCCCTACACTGCCCGCACATTCCAGCTCGCCCACCCTCACCTAGGCCAACCACTGCCGACTACCTTCCGGATGGCCACTTTTTAATATTAATCTGTCTCTCAAAACGCCATTCCTTCGGCTCACAGGTCTCACCCCCGACCTGCGCTCTGCTCCGTACTGCCTGTGCTCTACTCGGCACCCGACCCGACCTGCCACGCCGCGCCGCGCCCTGCTTGCCCGACAGCTTGCCATAGCTGCGCTCATTTGTCACCGGCCCGTTGAGCTGCCTCGAGCTGCTCGGCACATCGCCGTTCCTCACCTTTTTATTAGCCGTCGCACCTCTCCCGTGTCGACCGAGACATTCACTTGTCTCTCCCTGCTGCCGACCTGGAGCACAACACCTTGTCAAACACCAATCTAGGAGCTTGTCTCGCAGGGCCGTCGCTGGTTCTGCCCTTGATCCGCCAAGCTGGATTCGTACGTACCGCACCTTCCTCTCCCTGCCGTGCGTGCCACCACCGCATTGTATCTTGCATACATACATTGCCGCAGTTCCTCCTCCGCCTCGTCCCGCCCTGACAGCTGTTTCGCTGTTCTTTTGTGCCGGTGATGAGGGACTTCGTTCTGTCCAGCCGCGTCCCCTATACTGGGCCCACTGCATCTGACCTCGATCCCGCTTCGACCTCGATCCCAGCCTTCAATGGAGGTCAAATCTCAGGCGTCTAACCTGCTATGGCGTAGATTTATAACCGTGGCTGCAGGATGGTCTCAATACCACCATAGCCCCAGTGCGAGCCCGGCACCACAACAGCGACGATTAGGTCACCTACGCTCCCAGTCAAACTCTACCGCGCCAACTGTCAGCGCGCCCCCCACCTCTGCGAAACCCAGGTCCAACACACAGACCTCCAACATGACCGCCGATGTCTCCTCCCTGGCGAGGCCCGCCACTCCTCAGCCACAGCCCAAGAGGATATACGCCGGGATCCAAGAAAGCGACTTCGATTTGACCACTATCCCTGACCCCCGGAGCAGGGCGATGACGCCATCCAACGCCGACGATGCCTCGAGTACGCAGCAGCACCCTGAGCTGAACGACGAGGTCGCACATCTCAGCTCGAAGCTCATTCACGCCATCAACCACCAGACGACTCTCGACGACAACCTTTCGCAAACCCGCGCCGAGCTCGAGAGGGCGCGAGAGCAGATCCAATCCATGGAGGTCCAGCTCGAAAAACAAAGAGAAATGTTGGTTGGCGATATTTGGATCAGGCGCAAGTCGGCAGAGGCAGAGAAAACTAACTTGCTGTCTAGAATTGCTGACGAAAAGAAATTGCGTTTTGCGGCCGAGGAAGAGAAGAAGAGAATTGAGCAGGAGTTGGAAAACCTGACGACTGAACTCTTCGAAGAGGCGAACAAGATGGTCATCTCGGCCAAAGAGGAGGCACGTAAGGAGCAGGAGATCCTGCAGCGGAAGAACAGCGCTCTCAAGGCCCAGCTGGCAGACACGGAAGGCCTCCTCCAGTCCCAACAAGAACAACTGATCGAGTTGAAGCACGTCATGGAGCAGATGAGCGACCATGATAATGACACCGCGACGACCACGCCATCATCCCCCGGGTACAGCAAGTTTGACTCGAGAGAAGACGACACGCCCACATCGGACCTCGGATCGCAGTCCGGCATCCCAGATCTCGTGGCTCCTTCCTACCCCACGAGCTTCACTCACCTCTTGCAGCCGGTTCTTCGCAACGACATCGGCGCATACGATGATTTCGTGAGTCTCTGCAAAGCATCGAGGACACCTGCGAGCCGGCCACCATCAGGGAACCACTCGACCCTTGGCCTCGGCCTTCTTGGACCCGCTTCTAGTGTGACCTCGATCGGCATACCGTCTAGTGCTTCTACTGCTTCTCTGTCATCAATGGGCTCTCCCGCAGCCTCATCTACATTATCGATACAGACGCCGAACACTCCAGGGTCCACCGTCAGCGGGATGTCTACCACCTCCATGGTCCCGATTCCGCCATTGAAGGACTGCAAGTTCTACAAACGGGTGCTGGCCGAAGATGTGGAGCCGACACTCCGCCTGGATCTTGCCCCGGGTTTGTCTTGGCTGGCACGGCGCTCGGTTATTTCAGCCATGTCTGATGGCTCCTTGGTTGTGGAACCTGTCCCGACAACAGGCACCTATGCCATGCTCTCAAAACCGCAGTTCTACCCGTGCTCACTCTGCGGTGAGAATCGTAAAGATGACCAGTACCTTCGAAGATACCGCTTCCGCACCAGCGAGACCAGCTCCTCGCAGCGCTACCCTCTCTGTCGGTATTGTCTCAGTCGCGTACGAGCCACATGTGACTTCCTCGGTTTCTTGCGGATCGTCAAGGATGGCCACTGGCGGACCGACGATGAGGACTCGGAGAAATCTGCCTGGGAAGAGAGTGTGAGGCTACGGGAGAATATGTTCTGGTCTCGAATCGGCGGTGGCGTCCGTCCAATCCTTCAAGGCTTCCATGGGCAGGCCGAGAAAAGCCCCCGACCGAGTCAGGAAGAGTCTGCTCATATGGAGCAAAAGGCGCTCTCAGTGATCGAGGGACCCAAATCACTCGATGAGGTGAGGGAAACGAGCCCCGTGGATGACGACAATGCCGAGGACTTTGCGACCCCATTGGAAGAGAACGCTCTCGGGTCTACCCAGAAGGGTCTCATGCCCCACCCGGAAGACACCAATGACACGCCGGATGACAAGTCGGTTATCGTTCATGAATCTACAACTTCCGAAGCTGGAACGCTGGTGGAAAACAAAACAAGGCAAGAGGTAGAAGCAATTCCTAGGCCGCCTCGAACCCCCGAACCGACGGACATGAACCGGTTGTCTTCACAGTCGCTCACACCGACCTCTTCGTAAGACGGAAACCAAGCAGAGGACGACTTCGGGTTACTCAAGCCAACCGCGAATTCACGAACGGATCGGGACCCCGAAATTTTTTTTGAATGTATATTTTTAATATCGCCATTGTGCAGAAGGAGGCATCATGATTGGAACTAAGGCCTCCTAAAATGGACTTTTTCTCGTTCCCGGCGTTTTAGGGAATGGTGCATCGGAGCCATCTTTGGACTCCTTCCTCACGATTGTTGGAGCATACGGGGATGGCGGCAAAACGCACAGAAGACGGGAGAGAAAGACACGCATTTGGGCTCTGGCTCGGGATAAATGGGATTGGGACGACCGGAGAGATAGAGTGGCCCGGAGGCTGATCAATACGGCCGCGGTAACCAACTGACAAAGGAAAACACGGACGGGCTGGCCTGGACGGAAACAGGGAAGACCGCCTTGCGGAGGCGGTCTCACGGGTGTCGGCGACAGACACAGCTCCTTTGCGTCACACAAAATTAGTACAGTTTAATGATACCAGAAGAACACCAAATGCTACCTGATCATGAATGAAGAAGGTGTTGATTTGACCTAAAGTATTCCCCCCCCCCCTCCTCCCAAAACATGCCAGTTATCGAAAGTGGTGGGCTCACTGTGATTTTTTTTGTTTCTCTTCTGCTTCTCCGGAGTGATTGTCCGTCCTGTTCTTGCCCTCCGCGAAGCGAAAGCTAATTGAATGATGGACAAATTTGTTTTGGATAGGGGTCGTGTTACCTGACTGGGGACGTGGAATTTTCGAAACGGGTTCGCTCAGGGGCAAAGGGGGGACAAGGGGCGATCCAGATCCACCACATATGGGGGCAATCGGCAACGCGAGGGGAGGGGGAGAGGCGTTTTGTTACAGGTCGATTTCCCTCCAGACAGGCTTCACGACGACCCTGACCCGCTTGCTCGGGTCTGTAGCGAGGAAGCGCTTGGGCCAACGCAACGGTGGGCGAAGGACCTCGGTCACAGAAGTGGATTGATTCTTTTTCCACGACAGCAAGGTAGGACGGGCCGACCGCCGAGGGTCGTGTTTGGTGCGCTTGAGCTCTAGAAGCTGATATAGCATGATCGTTGATGCTTTGGGAGCAGTGTTTACAAGTCTAAATAAATATGGGGTATCGATTGATCTTGTACAATATTCTATGGTTAACATGTGTCTCTTACAGGTACAATCTCTCCTTTCTATCATGTAGACAAACTCTGGCGTTCTCAAGTGCTGTGCCGCTCTGGAGGGTCCGGATATTGGGTCTGGCGTTCTGAACGTGTTCAGGAGATGACCAGGTGTTGCCATGGCGATTGTTCACGGAAGCCTCAAGCACCCATTCATCTGTGGCCCCGTGACCCGCTGCCTGTGGCTGAAGTGAACGTGTGACATATATCAGGAGCTCTTTTGCTGTTGATGCTCATGAATGAAACCACAACTTCGCAAGTCCTAGTTAGTGACTGTCGGCTTCGGAAAGTAGAGAAGAGCCCCCCCACACACACACACCAAAGCCGACAGACACACCACCCACGAGGAGTAGAGCTCGCCCAGGTGAGTTGAATAGTCCAACGGGAGCCCTCCAGAAGCGGGCCCCAAGAGGTCAGACTCCAGATGTCCCCCTTGAAGCCTGCAGGATGAACTCGGTACCCCGCCGGGTGTTGAAAGCGCGGTGCGCAAGGTGACTGGCATGCTGCCGGCCAAGATCGGCCTTCAAGTCACCGGCCTCGGTAGCAGACGCGTTGCTCCGAATGACGGCGGCGGGCCAGGGTGCTCGAGCATGCTCGTCTTGTCAATGTGTGGTCGTATCAGCTGGCATGGCGGGCGCCTTATTTGGCGGCATGGTCACTGCTCATCCTCGCCTGCAGCCTCTCCAGTTTCCTCTCGAGGTCCGCCTTGGTCCTGAGCAGCTCTGCGCGCCGGGCGTCGATCATGGCGACACGCTCGGCGATGGGCATCTCCCGGACCTTGTGCTTCTGCGTGGTGGCTTCGTTGTCGGCCTTGAGGCTGGCGCCGGTGAGTGCGCCGGCGACGGTGATGAGGGTCACGGCGCCGGTCAGAACCACACGGCGCAAGTTCTGGCGGCCGGGCGAGTTGCGGTCGGCCAGGTTCCCTGGGGTGGAGGCATACCGGCGCACGGTCCTGGCGGCGGTCGGCGGGAGCGTGCGACGCAGCATGGTGGCTGGCGGGATGGTTGCTTGGTTGCTTGAACGGAAGGGCGGCACCCTCAGAGTCAAGTCCAGAAGTCCCTCCAGACAGATGCTGCCTCTGCGTGTCGGTGGGTGCTTGGCGTCCTGCTCTGGCGTGGGGGCCGAAAAGAGCCTGTCCCGGATGAGGCTGACGATGTGGTCGACAGGCAGGATGCGTGGGAGTCGAGGCTGGTGCAAGAGCCGGTCCGCTGGTGCCGGTGCCGTGAGGGCCAGGGAGGCGGCAGCGTGGCAGTCGTGGGTGAAGATGGCGGGGTGGAGGCTGGTGATTCTAATTCCAATGCAGAGCCGGCCGTCGTGAGCTGTGTGACACGTCGCCGCACCGATGAGATTTGCTGGCAGTCTGCAGGCTGATGATCTGCAGCCGCAGCTCCATCCTCTCCTTGTGGGGCCAGCAGATCCAGCTCGATTCCTGCGCCCAAAGCTGGGGGGGACCCGGCGTGCGGGGTGCTGGACAAGGTCCTTAGTAAGCGGCCCGGGATTGCGGATACGGGCGTCATTACGACGTGTACAGAGTATAGGTAACTATGTATGTCTATATATACCTGTGTGTATATACTTGGGTATATATTGACGATGATATCCGGCCAAGAGAGAGAGGGGGGAGAACAAGAGCAAATGACAACAAAAGAAATCAAAGACCAAGGAACGGGCAAAAGCCAAACATAAAACATAAGTCGAGAGACAGCAGACCTGACCGCCGTTGAGGCTTGGCCTAGTTTAGACAGTTGAAACCATCAGCAGCCGTCAAGTTCCAGCTCGCGCTCGACATTCCCCCACCGAGTCTGGTTCGTCTCACATTGCCTCGCTGAGTGTCAGAACCCCGGGGCTGCTGAAACACCACCATTGCTCACGGCATTTACTCCGAGCTAGAGTTTTTGACAGCTTCATGCGCGCGCCCACCCGACCGGCATGTCCGCCCCACGAGTCTTCATCGCCCGTCACGGCGAGACTGAGTGGTCACTGACCGGGAAGCATACCGGCGTCACTGATATTGCCCTCACTGCCGACGGCGAGAAGAGGGTCAAGGCCACCGGGAGGGCTCTGGTCGGCAACGACAGGCTCATCGTGCCCAGCAAGCTCACCCACATGTAAGACCCCCCCGAGACCCGACCAACTCACAACTCACGTATGTATGCTGATCGCCTCCCCCCAGCTTTGTCTCTCCCAGGAGGCGGGCCCAGCGCACCTTCGAGCTGCTCAACCTCGGCTTCAAAGACCTCCCGTGGGACCCCCACGGGCCCGCCGGTGACTCGCCGGGCCTGCCTTGCAACGCGCGCATAGAGATCACCGAGGATATTCGCGAGTGGGACTATGGTGACTATGAGGGCATCACCAGCAAGGAGATCCGCCAGCGGAGGCAAGACCAGGGTCTCGGCGACAACAGTTGGGACATTTGGAGGGACGGCTGCCCCGGCGGCGAGTCGCCCCACGACGTCACCGAGCGTCTCGACAGGCTGATTGCTAAGATTCGCTCCTACCAGGAGCCTTTCATGCAGGGAGCAGGCCAGAGGGAGGGCCTGGAGTCCTCCAGCGAGGGCACTGGCGATGTCCTCGTCGTCGGCCACGGCCACATCCTTCGTGCCTTTGCCATGCGGTGGGTCGGCAAGACTCTTCAGGAGGGCCCGACCTTCCTGATGGAGGCGGGCGGTGTCGGTACTCTCAGCTACGAGCACCACAGCATCCATGAGCCCGCTATACTTCTCGGCGGCGCCTTCGTGGTCAACAACGCCAAAGAGGCAATCGCCGAGGCTCCAAAGAATTAGGAAATTAGGAGTCTGCATGCGGCCTCCCTGGCTAGGGGATCAGCGTGATCTTCACCCTCTTAACCTCCTCTGTCCTAACCTCCTAGCCTCTGGCCTCTTGCACGACAAACTCTTCTGACAACGTACCTTGTGGAACAACCGTGGTTCTCTGACTTAGAATACCCTCGCAAGAGCCTAACAGACTTGATTTCCCCATCTGTAAAATTGACAGATCTGACCGGGGCTTGTGTGATGGACTCGGCCAGGGTGGAACCAATATGATGGACTGGACCGGCCAGGTGTTGTTTGTATCCACACGGGTATACGGTGTCGACGTTGGCTTTGACTGTCAGCGAGTAACGCTACGGAATTTAATCAGATTATCCGCAACACCCGCGCTCAAATTCTGATTCCTTGTTGTAAGAAATCAGCCTCGAAAAGTGGCGTACAGAACTCGACACATGATCTATGGTAGTGTACAAGTGTGTCCAGAGCGCCAGGTACTACAGCTGCATCATACTGGGATGCATGGCCACGAGGGTCTATGATACCTGCTGCTCGCCCTCAGCCATACCGCCTACATCCTCCTCCTCGGCATCAAACACGTCCTCGACGATCAGGTTCCCAGATTTTCCGATGACCTCCCGCAGGGTCTTGTCCCGGGTCGGCTCAAACACCTCTCTGGGTAGCAGGCTCGCGAGCCGGAAGCTATAGACGTGCTCGTACCCCTCCGGCGCGCCCTTGTCGTCCAGTTCCGACTCGTCCTCCCCACCGTCAGCCCGCGCCTGCAGTACCCCGTAGCACTCGACAAAGGCGTACAGCTCCTCGACCGTCGTGTTGCCCGCGAACCGTCTGATGACGCGGCCGGCGCCCGTCTCCTCGGGCATCTTGAGCGCCAGCCGCACCACGTCCGCCTCGCTCGCCGGCGGCTCCGGCGCGATGGTCGTCACCCGCCAACGCCGCCACAGCTGGCGCTTGCGATCTTGCTCCGCGGCCCGTTCGGCACGCTCTCTCTCGCGCTGCTCTGCTTCCGCGGCCGCCGCGGCCGCCTCACGCTTTTGTCTGGCCCGCTCGCGGTCCCGCGCCAACGAGCGCTCGTACGCCGAGTCCTGTTCTGTCCGCAGGCTGCGTGAGGTCTCCTGGGCGACGCGCTCGGCGCGCAGGCCCTCCAGGTCTGGGGAATACTTGTCCATGGCGGAGCGCAGGCCCGAGAGGTAGGCGGCTGGCGTGGTGGCGCCGGACAGCCTCTTGATGATGCCCATACGGGTGCTGCCCTCCTTCGGGGTCAGGCTGATGAGCACGGAGAAGGGGAACTTGGTGCAGTTGTACTCCTGCGAGACGATGTAGGCCTCGCTATCGAGCACGTTGCCGCCCCACAGCACGATGTTCGAGGCTGGGTCGGACAGGAAGGCGGCCACGTCCGGGCCGAGGAGGACGTCGCGGGCAAAGGACGCCGTATCGTCGTGCTCGGGGGACATGAGCACCACGAGCAGGAACTTGAGCTCCTTCTTGGCCAGGTCCTGAGCCTGCGCGAACCCGCCCTCGAACCACGGCAGCGAAGGGGTGCCCTCGGCAGGAGATCCATATTCCTCCTCGAACTCACGCCTGAATCGAGCGGCCGAGTCCCGCGGCAGGAGCATCTTTCGCCCATTTGTATTGCGCAGCCCGCGGGTGATGGAGTTTGAAACGGCGCGGGGCCGCAGCGACTGCGGCAGGAAGGACAGGATGTAGTAGATGGGCCGGAAGAGGCTGGCGAACAGCTTCCAGCCGAGCTGGAAGGGGGCGAAGATAAGAGAGAACAGCCATGGGACGGGATAGGTTGTGGACGGTTGCGGGACGATTCGGGGTGCCGGTTCGGTGCGGTCGCGGCGCGGCGGTCTGCCTATCGGGGCGTAGAAGCTCTCTTGGAGGTTCTCGTGTCGTCCAGCGGGCCGGGGCGGGTCGGCATGTGCTCGTTGCTGTTGTGCCTGTGCCTCTGCTACGGGGTCGGGGCCCTCGCCGTCGAAGAACTTTGTGATTGCAATCTGCACATTCCATTGCGACCGCTCTAGAAGCGGCACTGCGTCCTTGGGCTCTTGGTTTGTGAGGGCCGTGTACTGTTGGAGAGCCTCCTGCTGGCCAGGCGAGAGGCTGGCCAGGTCGACGTCGGCCATCTCGCGTGTGTTGGGGTCAGAACAGATGCGACTCCCCTAACTCCAATCCACTCCTCTTCAGATCCGCTCGATTCTACCAATCAATCCATCCAGGGTCGGAGACGGAGGTTTCTACAACAGAACGGGCGCTGCTGACTTGTTGGGTATGCTCGTGTGAGGTGACCAACGACCAACGGCCAACGGCCAACGACGGGATGGACGGGGCAGACGGAGCTGGCAGGTGGTGGTGGTGGCAGAACCGAGTAGCCAGCTAGGACCAGAACTCGAGGGGGCCTTGGCACAGCTGTGAGTCCAGCTGACTGCCGAGGTTGTCCTGGATGATGGTGGAGCAGCTGGTCAGCAGGTCAGGAATGGGCAGGCCAGGGAAGGTTTTCTTGTTGTAGTCAGAGAACTGAAGAGTGCGATGGGAAAGACTCGGCCAACCTAGCAGTTTGGTAGGAGATGCCACCGGGTCAATTGTCACTAGTAAAAGCGACGTCACGTCAGCAGTCAGCCAGCGAGTGCCAGGTGCAGGGATGGTCCACTGTCTCTCCCTGCCTGCCTGCCTGCCTGCCTGCCGTTTGCAGTAACCCAACCCCACCCTAAGCTAGCTGATGGCCACCTGCCACCCAGAGCATCAGTGCTAGCTGTTGCGGGTTCATAGACGACCAGGCAGTAGCAAACAGGGTGGGCAAGTAACAAGCTTACAGATATAGATTGGGTAGATACACAGTCGGGGGCTTTCTGGCATGTCAATCAGGACTTGACTGTGCCCCAGAGAGACAGCTGTGCAAGACAATGAATGAGTCAGCTTTATCCCACCATCCAAGTACTTAAGCACATACTACTGTGTACTACAGCAGACAGACTGCCGGCCCAAGTACCTACCCATGTCCCATGCACGCCCACCCAAAGCACCAAGGTACTTAGCTGGGTGAATGGGTACTCAGGTACCCGGCAAGCCGGCCGCCTACCGCACGAGCCAGGGCCAGCACGAGCCAATGGCCTGGCTGGTGGTTCCCAAGAGCTGGAGCCTCCACAGCGAAACAGGCGCATTGATGCGCGATGAACCGCTCTACACACCCCTTTCACCAAAGCCGCCAGGCCCCCCCCTCCAAGCCTCGACACGACACCACACGACGATATCGGGACGAGTTGTCGTCCTCGCCCTCACCCTCACCCTTCCTCTTGTGACCCCGTGGCTAGCCTCGCGCAACATCCTCTTGCTTTGCAGCATCTCCCAAGTAGGGTCGATGGGCAGAGTAGTCGCGCAACAGACAAGGCCATGGGAAACAATCCTCAGATCAAAGTAAGCATGCCGACGCGCCCAACAGCTCTTACCGGACCGCACCCACCCCCACTATCCAGTCTCTCTCTCTTCCTCTCCCCCTCTGTCCATCTGTCCATCTGTCTGTGTGTCTCGTCTTGCTGCCATGTCACCACCAACCCACCCGCCCACCTTACGGTCAACCCAGCGTCTTCCGCGACAAGCCCGTTCCCTTCCGAACTGACCAGCTTGCCCGTTTCTTTTGCTCCGGAATCACACCACTGCCGTCATACTCTTTGCTGATGTGGGCTGTGTGAGCAGGCGTCGTAGATTCGGTCCAGGAGGTGGTGGTGCTGACGTTGTCGTTGCTGCCGCCGCCCCCTCAAGACACTGACGGGGAGGCTTCCCCGTCCCATCCACCACAATGGCCGGCGCCCCGGATTTGCGCCGGCAGGTTGGGTCGCCAAGGCCCAAAGGACGTGGTGAGTCTTGATATTGCCGCCTCCCAGACCTGCGGCCACGAGTCCCCTCGTCCTAGGCCGTCTGGCCATGTGCTGATATGTGTCCTTGCCAGCGGACAGAGATACTCCATGCAAGAATATCCTGATATACGGCAAATGCCGCTACGAAAACGCAGGCTGCAGCTTCAACCACGATGACCCGAGGACCAGCCACGCCAGCAGCAGCTCCGAGAACTCCAAGAAGGCCCTCAACGGGGACTCTCCCTCCTTCACCCCTTCAAGCCTGTCGTCGCAGCCCGCCAAGAAGTCATCACTGCCCTCGCAGGCCGCCAGCGCTGCCGTATTCACGCCCAGGGGTGTTGGGGCTGCCACACCCGCCAACAATCACGAACCCGAGCGTCTATTCAATCCTGCCGCGATCAAGGAGTTCACCCCCCAGAACAACTATGACCTAGCAAGTGCCGGCGCTGCTGCTGTTGCTGCTGCCGCTGTCACGCCTGATGCTGCCATGGCCTCCTTCGACCCTTTCTCGACACCAATCGCCCCTGCTCAGTTCAACCCGTATGCTAACGACCACACGGCGCTGGCTGGGTCCTCGGCGAACGCGTATTACCAGGGCCAGGCAGGATACGCCACCCCGCTGCAGCCGCCCCCTTATCATCTATATGCCAATATTGGGCCTTATCGAGAAGACTTGCTGCCATACCAACGCCAGACGCGCGACTTTTTCATGCCAGATGATCTTAGGGAGGATCTGCAGAGGAAGTCGCATGCAGCTCTCCAGGTCATACCTAGTACAATTCAGTTGGAAAACTTTCACTCGCTCGTGCCCCTCGACAAACTGGACACGCCGCATAGGAAGAACACAAGCATTTTCGGATGGACAAGCTGGCTGTTCAAGGCATTCTCTGCAAAGACAGGGCGGATTTACTGCCTTAGAAGGATTCAGGACTACCGTCTCGGCGACCGAGAAGCCACGCAGGCCATCGAGACCATCAAGAAGTGGAAACAAATCAACAACGCCAATGTCGTCTTCGTCCATGATGCATTCACCACCTCCGCGTTTGGTGACAGGTCACTCGTTTTTGCTCAGGACTATTTCCCGCTGGCGCAAACAGTCACCGAAGTCCACCTGACTGCACAACCGCAGAAGGATCATCGGTTCCGCGGCCCCGCTGCTCCGCCCAAGATCCCAGAGTCTGTCATATGGTCATATGTCGTTCAGATAGCGAACGCGCTCCGGGCCATACATGCCAGGGATCTGTCCGCCAGATGTCTTGACCCCAGCAAGATTATAGTCACCGAGAAGAACAGGATACGACTCACAGCGTGTGCGATCCTCGACGTCGTCCAATACCAGGGCCACCGGTCAACCAAGGAGCACCAGCAGGACGATTTTGTACAGCTGGGGAAGCTGATCCTCTGCCTTGGGACCGGGAAACTCCCCGGCCAGCTCGCTGACGTCAACGCCGAGATGGCCACGATAGCTAGAAAATATCCGTCCGGCCCCAAGGGTGAGTCGGCGCTCAGAGACCTGGTCGGCTGGCTCCTGACACCAGGTGAGAAGCTCGCCGATCAGCTCATCACGGGAATGCCGCACCACGTAATCGAGAATCTGGACAAGAACCTGCAGCACACAGACTCGCTGAACTCGGAGTTGCAGAGGGAGCTTGAAAATGGGCGACTGGTGCGCCTGTTGATGAAGATGGGTATGGTGAACGAGCGGCAAGAATTCGACAACGACCCAGGATGGAGCGAGAACGGCGAGCGGTATACGCTTAAACTGTTCCGCGACTATGTCTTTCACCGCGTGGATGAGGCTGGCCGCCCCGTCTTCGATATGGGCCATATGGTGTCATGTCTCAACAAGCTCGACGCGGGCGCTAACGAGCGCGTGCGCCTCACGAGCAGGAGTGGCGAGACCGACTTCATCATCACATACGCCGAGCTCAAGAAGCAGCTCAACAGCGCGTTTGCCGACCTGATGAAGCATAACAGGCGGGCTTAGGTGAGACAAAGCGCGGGTATGTGGGGCTGCGTCGGGCAGCAACAGCTTCGAGTTTGGGTTACCAGGGTAGCTTGGGCGGTCTGTTGGTGAGGCGGCAGGCGGTGTGGGATATGAGACGAGATTTAGATTTGGTGGGTCAACAGGCCTTCTCTGTTGGAAATTGGCACTATCTTGTCCCTGCTGCCGCGATGAGTACACATATTTGGATGTCACTCGGTCTAAACACACGAAGAAGTCGAGGTCGCCAGGAAGGCATCGGCGATATTTCTCTCCTCGGAGCAAGTCACGCGATCTGTATCTGGGAGTTATGCGGGCAGAGTGCCAATGGTCTTGGGCGAAGACGGAAGAGTGCGCGAGCAAACAAAGCAAACCTCGAAAGCGTTGTAGAGAGCGAGAAAGCAGTTGCGTGGTTGAGAAACGCTTCGAGCGAGATCCTGAAGGGCGTGAGATCGAGAGAACATGGAAGAATGATGGACATGAACACCTAGGTGGACAGTTACAAGCCAGCAGGCAGGTGAGGCACAGCGAATGTCAGCGGGATAAGTTGTTCATGGCGAAAGAGATGTTTATAGCAAGTCGAAAGTATAGAACCTTGAGCGCATTCTTCATAACATCTGCTCTGGGATTCACTCGACTGGTCTTTCTTGAGCCGCTAAAGTGGACGGCTTGTTGCATGTAGAAAGCTGTTGCCAAAATATCGGACACTGCAGCCTCGGAATTCCACATTCGAGGTCTTGTTGCCAATGGTTATCCCGAAATTGTGGGAATCAATACCACAAAAGAGTACGTGGAGGAATAGTTTATCGTTCCTGTGGACCCACGCTGCTCGTTTCCGTCCCCTGAGGAAGAGGTCGTTGAGCCCACATGCCGGCACTGCCACACTACCAGTATCGCTGGCCGGTTCAGAAGTTTAGAAGTTTATATTAGCTGTCAATGACCTAGGTAACCTGCCCGTCTCCAAAAAAATTCTAAGTGGGATCTGAGACCGTGATGTGCTGCTACCTCAAGTGCTGAGACAGTATTTACATGAAGCTCTGTGCCTAGGCAATGTATCTCAGGCAGGAATGTAGAGAGGTGTATAACTTTGTACGATATATTCAGATCATCTAGCGGTGCCATTGTCTGAATCTGGTTCTATGAATAACAATAAACAATGATACAACAGTATTTGTCTAATAATCAGTCATCTGCAGCAGGATCATGTGCTTGTTCGTACTCCAGGGATCACAAAGCCCAGAAGTTATTCCCACCTATACAGGCACGAGTCCGCACTTTAGGGACCTGGTGGCTCTACCAACTTGTGTGTGCACTTGAGCATGTGACTGCTTGCTTCAATACGGAATCCCGCAGTCATTCTTGCTTTCCAAAATTAAGAAGAAATGCGGGAAATAGGGATATCTCATGTACGAAGCGGAAAACATACTATCAAGCAACCCATATGACTTGAATCTATCTGGAACTTCAACAATAGCAACGATTGAACGCAGAGTGCCAGGCAACTTGTTTGAACTAATTCGTGCTGTAGTTGGGCCATACCCAAAGACCAATCAGTGAAGCTCGAGCAGTCTCCAGAAGCAACTGCCTAGTCCCCCCCTTTCCCCACCAGGCTACCCCCGCGGGACTAGGAGCATCCATCACATCTTTGAACCTAAATGTAGAAATACTTCTGCTAGTGAGGAACCGGTTCGGTCTTCTAAGTTCTTGCAGCTATGCAGATTACGATTGATTGCATGTGCGGCAGCAGCCGTCAGAAACTCACCGCACCTAGCCATCCTCACATCTTGCCCAGCGACGCAGAGGTGGACCGGCGTGGCTCAGGAGTCCTCTTTGTCTCCCACCTGGCAATCGATCCCCCAGAGCCGCAGAAGCTATCCGAGCTGTCACAGTACGAATACGACACCGGGACACGCTTCTTCTGTGGGACTTGCGGCTGCCATGTGTTCCAGAAGTTCACAGCCTCGTCCGCGTCGGCCTCTTCAGCCCGGACCATGGGTGACACGCAGCTACCCACAGAGTTGTTCGCTGTCGCAACCGGGGTGATAACCGAGAGTCCAAGTGAGCAGGAATGTATCCGTTTCGGCAGCGCTCCGGTGGACGATACCTGTGATGGCGGACTGGGCCCGTATCTGCCAGTTCCTGAGATGAAGCGGCGGACACAGGAGCCACGGATAGAGGCGCCCGAGACTTCCAACGACGCAGTTTCAGCGACTTGCGGGTGTGGAAACGTGAAGCTACTCATTCAACGCCCTGAATACTTCTCGGGCAAAGAGGTTGAGCTTCCACACTCCCCATACCCTGATCTTGTGTTCCCTTACAAGACAACCCCAAAGGATAAGCTGGACAATCCTTTAGACGAAAAGTGGTACCTGCGCAAAACAGGTGGAAGACTCAGATATCTTGCTGGAACCTGCTCATGCAAGTCGTGCCGGCTCACCGCGGGCTACGAGATACAGACCTGGGCTTTCATCCCCAGAGTGGCCATCAAGATCTCCGTTTCGTCGGACTCCGTGACCAACTCGAAAATCTCGGCTTCGTGTACCAAATATGAGGCACAGGATTACGAATCTCATATCGGTCTGGACTTCGGGGTGCTAAGTCATCTACCGCCTGGTCGAAATCCGCTCCGGTCCTATGAGTCGTCTCAGGGGGTTCTCCGCGAGTTCTGTGATGTTTGTGGCGCTACAGTCTTCTGGCATTCAAATGAAAGGCCGGATCTGATCGATGTGAGTATCGGCCTGCTCCAAGCCAGGGAGGGGGCAAGGGCAGAGAGCCTGCTTGCTTGGTGGCTGGATAGATGTAGCTTTGCCGAGGACGCGGGGCTGGATCGGCAGGGCTGGGTCAAGGATTGGGCTGAGAGCCTTATCCAAGGTCTAGAGAATGGAATGAGGAGGTAGCAGCTGTTGGTGCTCTGGGGTGGATGGGGTTGAAGAGGAGAGTGCACTTTACAGGTGGTTTCTACCTAGGTCCTTAGGTAGGTTGTTATCGGGCCAAGGGCGTCAACACTGACGATTCAACGCTTGCCTAAGAAAACGAAATCGGATTGTTGAAACTTATCACCCATTTTCCTCATATATATATCATTTGGCTCCATGTCTGATTTTAGGTGGTTTCAGGAGAATAGCCGGCAGAAGATTGAGATAGGAAAGCAAACTTGGTGGGCGGAGGAGTGCTGGATCCCAGAAGCCACTCTTATTGCTTCGAACGTTTCTTCCGTTCAGAATGGGTTTATTGAAAGGTTATCAAAGCCTGTCGAAGGTTTCCCGGCCCAAACTTTCAAGATTTGTATGTCTGATCTGCTCCATTTTGTTCACTACTTCTCAATTGAAATATATGAAACTATCAGTTCCATGTCATGCCAGTCAGGATACCTCGGAAGCAAGAGTCGAGACGCCACAAAGGCTATCACTGTCGTAAAGCCTAAGCTGCTCGGCGTACCCAATCCCTTACCGCAAGCTTGATTTTGACATCCTCGCTCGACAATATGCCTATGACATGTCGTCAGCAGGAGCGGCGGTTAAGAGGCACAAGTTTCAAGAATTACTGTCACCATGGATAAGAAAAATGAAGTGGCCTTTAAAAGCCAGCAGAATGGAATAACTAAGATCAAGTTATATTATGAGCCGAGGCTGTGAACTTGCGTTAATCGTACTGCAGTAGGCTCGAGGGAAGCGTCTAAGAGTATGGTCTGTACGTGCCCGCAATTGCGCTATGGTTAATGCTCATTTCCTCGCCGTGTCGGCCTGCCTGCCTGCCAGGGCTATCTATTTCACAAGGAGTTCCAAGATAAGAGGATGGAAAGATGGGCGAGCTGCCTTCAAATCAAACTTTGTTCAGTTGCTATGCCCTGTGAAAAAAAGACTCGAACGCCACATGTGCACACTCTGAAGGATTGCACCGGTGCCAATGCAAGTAGTAGGTAGTATGGTAAGGCCTATCGCGTCAAGGCCGGTTTTTCGGTGGCCATTGGTTGTGTCCACTCTGTCGTCGTTCATCGGTATGATGTGGAATCTGTCCAGCTCTCCTCCAGCGTCCAAGATTATCTAAAAGAAGGACGTTCTGAATCGGAACGCCAGATGTCGAAACTTGCTAATAGTACGGTGATTCGCCGCCTTCTGTGGGTGATGGAAATCACCACCCGGCATGTTTGCATTGCTCATGGAAGTCTCAAGGAGCACCCTTGCCAGCATGCAAAGCCATGAAAGCATAGCTAGTGACTGGATTATAGGTGATGTATGCATACCGGATGAGATGAGGCCGACCTTTCGCAATAGCCAGCATCGAACAGGCAAGGTTGACCGCCAGGGAGCCATGTCTGCTCTGCTCTCCGGATTTTCAAAACTGAACTATCGAGTTGCCGTGGGTGGAGCCCAGTCGAGGATATTTGCTTGCATCCCAGTGTCATCACGGAACTAGGCTCCCGTGTAAATAGAGGACTAAGCTGCCGCTGTGGGTTGGTCTTCCTGGGCTGTCTTGTCGCCGCCCACGCTCTGGGCCTTGGTGGCCTGTTTCTTCTTTTCAATCTCAGCATACACCTTCGCCTCCAGTGCTGCAAGTGCGTTCGGGGCGTCCGTCTGCTGGTCTGTGCCGTTTGGGACAGAGTCATTCCCGTCGGTGATGGCCCCACCGTTGGCAGCTTTCTCCTGGGCCTCTCGCTCCTGTTGAAGTAGGCCCTCGAGAGCCGTGCCCTCCGTTGACATCCCCTGCTCCTCCATCATAACGGCAAGACGTTGTGCGCGACCTTCTTTCTTTCGCGGTACAGGTGCTTTGACGAAGTTAGCCACGTGTTGTTGAAAGTTAGAGTCATTAGGATCAGGTATTTACCTCTGCCATTTTCCTGGACATAAAACTGCCTCAGCAGATTGACGGCCTCATCACGTTTCCATCCGCCCTCGGCCTCGAAGCCGTTCTCCACGTTTCCACCGTGACCCATAGTCAAGTTGGAGACAGGTTTCGGCGGCTCTGTGTACGTCGGCTTGCCGGGCTGCTTGTTCTCGCTTGTGGCGGCCTTCTCCTCTTGAGATCCGTTCGCCAAGATCGAGGCGGCAGCGGAGGCAGGACGTTGGGCCACAGCCGGTCGAGAAGGCAGTTGGTTGGCAACAGGCCTATGGATGGGTGTCGCCGGGATGCTGACGGCATGTGCAGGATCGGAATTCTTGTGGATGCAGAATACACCTCCAGTACCGCCAAATTTGTCGTTGACAGCACCAAAATAGACCTTCTTGATACCGTACTGGCGAAGCATCGACGCACACATGACACAAGGCTCGACTGTGACGTACAGGATGCACTCCCGTATCAAGGTCCGGTCGACCATAGCCGCGGGATGCAGTTTCTGGCCGTAGGGAAATATGTGGCCATCCTCCGGGTCGACATCTTCCCACTCTTGGTCCGTGTAGATCCTCGTGGGCGCTGGCCTGTCGGAATGCTGCTGGCTGCCGTGCCTCTTCTTTTTCTTTCCCTTAGACTTCTTCAGCTTCTCCTGCTCTGCCTCCGCCTCGGGAGTGAAAGACAGGAGAGCGGTCAGGGCCATCAGTTCGGCGTGTCGGGTACCATTTCTGGTGACGTTTGTCGCATTCATGCCCTTGGCAATGACTCTTCCGTTGTGAACAAGCACGCAACCGACAGGTGTTTCATTGGTCTTCAGGGCCAGGCGGGCCTATGAAAAGTTAGTTGGATTAGCAGAACAGCCCTGGTGTAGTCCGAACCATGGCAGGAGCAGGTTGGCACCGGAGAGGGAATGCTTGGACAGGAGATGCGATGGGCAATTAGACAAAAAGGGACCAACAGCCGCCCGGGGGGTAATACAGGCTGGTGGACGGTTTTGAAACGCGGCACTCTGAGCGTGTGCAACACGATAAAGGTGTGACAATGTGGTGCGTATCAAGAAACGATTGGCACAGAGGCAGGAATGCAGGAGCAAGCAGACAAAACAAGGGCTCAGACGAGAATGTCTTGGAAGACAACAAAGAGATGAAAGACGACGAAGAACATACCATATCCAGTGCCTGGTCCATGAAGGCGTGATGAGTGGCTCGCTCCGCAGCCTTGAGAGGGTCCTCGGGTTCCTCCTCGCCCCCGACAGGTTGAACAGCCGGCGCAAGGTCAACTTGGTCGTGAAGGTTCTCCTCAGCCTCCTTCTCACCGACTACGTGGTGCTTGGAGGCGGGGTTCACGGTGTTGGTGACGTCTTGAAGGGCCGGCTGGGGAGGGACTCCATTGATGGGGGTGCCCTCCTGCTTGGCAGGCCGAGGCGGATCGGCGGATGGGCCGATTCGGGGCAAGGCAGGCTTGACTGGGGGGAGAGTGGTTCCATTGGCAGCTTTGGGGCCGTAGGCGTGCTGAGGCCTGGTGGTGGACGAGCGTCGCTGCATGCTTTCTGGGCCGCCGTCGCCTTGGTGGTGGCCGTGGTGGCCGTCGGGACTCGTAGAGGTGTCGTTGTGGTCGCCCGTGTTGTTATCGTTCTTGGTATTGTTGTCGTGGTGGTGTTGGTGAGGGGAGTCGCCGAGGGTGTTGTTATCTCTGTCGCGGTTCTGGTTGTTGTGTTGTCGAGGTTTGCGAGTAAAGATGGCCGACAGCAGAAAATGAAAGATGGGCTGGAAGACGCCGACGACAAAGGCGACCACAGCGTCCAGAAACCTCGAAGCCTTTCCACCTGGGCCATCCGCAGCAATGAAGTCCCCACTAGCTACCATCTTTGCAGGCTTTTATGCGAGACTCGACTCAAACGGGCAGCCACTAGGCTGTTGTCACTGCCGCTGCTGCTGCCGCCGCCACCGCTGCCGCTCTGCAGTGCTCTTTCTCTCCTGCCCACGCTCCTCGCTCGCCCCGTCCCTCTCCTCGAGGCTTTCCGTCTTCTGAAGGCCAATAGACCGCCTCGCCGCCGATTGGGGGTTGCCCAGTGATAAAGGGCCACAACTTTGCCTCCCCCCGGCTGCTCGGAAGCGTCTGCCTGGCACTTGTGTCTGGGCCCAAAGTCCAGTCCCTGCTCCTTCCAACTCTCTCACCGCACGCACACGCACAAGCACCAGTTGCGGTGCCCCTCCTAAATCTCACAACAATACTCTCAATGACGGGTACAGGGGAACAGAGGGCCTCTCATTGTGGTAAAAAGACCCGAAAGCAAGGATCGAAGCCTTGTAGACGACAATAACGAGGAATATCACAAGTGCGACACACGAAGAGAAGTTCCGGTTTGCAAGGTCAGTCAGTCAGTGTTGAAATTTTGGAGCTTCAATACCGGGGTGGAAAGTATGGATATGTGCATCCTGATCCCGCTGTGCTGACTTAGGCCACATCAGAGCCCTTTTAATCGCATAGTATGCTCCCCAGATACCGCAGTACAAGGCACATGGGTACGTACCGTGGGCTGGTGGGGGTGATCGGTCTTGTGCCTGTCGGCGAACGGGGTCACCGACTGCGAGACAACAGCAAACACACCGGTTCGCTGTGACTTGCAGACAGACAGACAGACAAGGTCTTTCAGCTACATCCCGCCCAGTTCTGCAGCCGTCATCGAGACTGTGGCTGGAGCAGCACGACAAGCTTCTGCGCGCTGTCGGCTGCCAAATCCCAGGCGCCTGGGGCCGGGCGTTATCAGGCCCCCAGGTTGGTGCAGCGCGGCCTTCGGCTCCGGGACATGGTGGAGGTGCACTCGGTCCTCCCGCCCCCACTTTCTCAGCCGACGGCCCTCGTACACAGACAGTACACTACTGTGTGAATATTCTGTGTTGATAATGATATTCTGTATTGACTGAAACCCCACGTTTTGGTCTTCACGCCGTAGCGGGTAACAACATCGAAGCTACCTAGGTACGTATCAATTGATCCCACCTGACGATGCCTGAATGGAAGTGGCTGGATGGGCACTACGGAGGACCTGGGCAGTCAGGGCGAGCAGGATTGAGCCTTCCTTGGGTTGGATTCGTGTCTGACGCTGACGGCCCCCAGCTGCTCCGTACAGCAACTGAGGCTCAGACACGCGCGCACACACACACGAGCAGGAGGAGTCACGCTTGCATGCACAGCATTTAATCCATTGGATCCACTGATGGACGGGTTGACGGGCAATGTTACAAGCTTCCAGCCATGTGGGTTGACTCATAGCCCAGGCGGGCGGCCATTGGCCAATTGGACGGCACCAGGCCCGAATGGGGTGTTTTGCGCGGCATGCCAATTGGAACGGCGGTCCCAGAAAGCCCGTCAGCAACCTTGCAGCAACCTTGCAGTAGCTTATCAAGGTTGGTTCCAAACTTGCGGGCGGGAGTGGATTGACGGGGACCAGGTCTCACTCATCAAACCATTCTCTCGCCGAAAACCACGGCCGACTGGGGCTGCGCCGCCCAATGAGAAGCCGGGATGTGGCCCCACCCCCGTCGGCCGCTACAAGTGCCCCTGGGCCGGTCTGCTAGGAGGCTACGGGCTCTCGGACGGGGTCGTCGGGCGGGCAGGCCGTACCCCACAGTATCGCACTATCAGAACCGCCAGAGTCCGCATGTAGACGCTAGCGGAAAGACGCTATTCCATTTCGGCTCGCCGAATGACTGAACTGCACCCTTTGCTGCGCCTTGTCCAAGATGGCTTCCCGAGTTTCAAGGCCGCAAGGCCGCAAAGCATATGAAGTTGACTCCCTCCCGGGGCCGGTGAGTACTGACGGCGGCTCTCACCCTTCTTCCTCCTCAACTAATCGACAGATCGAGTCGTGACCAGAGATTGACCCCGTATCTTGACCCTCACCAAGACTGAAGAGCCCAGCTCTTCTGCCTCGAGCCCAATCTCCGTTATCACCGGGCTGTCATCTGCCACCAAGTTGGCGGTCGCCACACAAAGTGCATCCCCGTCCCCGTCCCCGTCCCCAGAGCTTCAGTCACCACCCTGTAGCCATGGCCGGCATGCCGCGAGCCACCCCGGCTGTCGGGGGCTTCAGCGTCTACCAGCCTGCCCTCGGCTCCCCGCTGCAGTTCCTGCCCGCCGTCGGCTCCAAGGAGCTTGAGCAGCTCGTCGGTGCCTACCTTCCCGGGCCCGGATCCGCCCAGGAGAAGCGCGCCGCCATCTCCATGGACTTCTTCGAGCACTCGCGCCAGACTGGCGAGAACTTCAAGTACTACGCCGTCGTCACCCCTGCCGCCACCCCCGAGTCCGCCTACAACGTCTCGCCTGTCATGTCCGACCTCAGCTTCTACAGCTCCCCGTCGCAGGCCTCCACGCCCGCGGTGGCTCCAGCACCAACCAAGTCCCGCGCTGCGTCCCAGAAGCCAAAGACCTCCGCCTCAGCCGCTGACTTCTCGCACCTTCCCGGCATGAAGATCCTCACTGCCGATGGCCAGGACGTCACAAACTCCGTCTCCCGCGGCTGCAAGAGCAAGGAGCAGCGAGACCACGCTCACCTCATGCGCATCCTCAAGGCTTGCGATGCTTGCAAGAAGAAGAAGGTCAAGTGCGACCCCAGCCACAAGAAGCGCCCCGCCTCTCAGGTCGAGTCCAGGTCTGAGGCAGCTAAGCCGGCCAAGAAGTCAAGGAAGGCCGCCGCTCCATCCCCAAAGGCACACTCCACAGTCTTTACGCCTGCTACAGAGGCCTCTTTCCAGATGGACAGCCTGGGCCCCAGCAGTGTCGATTTTTCATCTTCCATCGACGAGCCTTGGGACCAGTTCCTGACCTTCAACGACGAGCCAGTCGGTGTTGCTGTCCCTCAAGACTTCTACGGCGCCATCCCACAGGACTTCGACCTCTTTTTTGGCGTCGACAACTCCTTCTCGCCATCCTTCTCCGGCTCTTCTGCCTCTTCTTCTACCCAGCCACTGACACCCGTCAGCTCCGGCCTCCTCACACACGCAAATGACTTCTCCTTCAACGAGGACGATGTCCTGGTACTCCTTTCGGGCGCAGGCAACAGCCAGGAGCCAAACCTGCCATACCTCAACCCAGCCGGCCAGCTTGGCAGCAACTACGCGGACTTCAACCTCTTCTCTCCTGCCTCTAGCTTCATTGACGAGGAGCCACAGTTGCTCAAGTCTGGCCCATCCTCACAAGCCCAGTCACCAGCCGGTATGAACGAGCAACTACCGGGCACCGGCCTAGCCCGCGACCAGCAGTCACGCTTTGAACGGCCTCAGTCCCAGTCACGATCCGTGCTGAGCCCCAGCAGCCCTCAGCAGCGGGTTCCGGGTCGCGGACAAGCCGCAGGACTTGCAAGTGAGCTGAGCGGCTCACTGGCGTACCACCCAGATGACGCTGGTCACAACACAGCTCGCTCCGTAAATGCCGTGACCAGACCACAGGGTCTCCAGACTACACGCAGTCACACGATATCGGGCGCTCAACAGGTACCAGCCGTGAGCTTCTCTGAGGATTCTGGTCCAAGCAGGCAGTCCTCTACGTCCGCTGTGTCACCATCCGTGCTCTCACAAGGATCCAGTCTGCGGTCCACCGGCCAGGACGCCACGCCAGCTCGCGCAGGCGTTGCCCATGCAAGCTCACAGGCGATTAGTCCCACTGTATGGAACCTCCGTATCCCCATTTTATCCGTGACCATCTTGCTGACCTCTGAAAAGGAAAACCGTTACATCGACCCGGGACGGTACCGCCCAGACCTCCCAGACCTCCCAGACCTATCCGACGTTGCTCACTCACGACGGGTATCTTCAGTCGCCGGAGTGTCGTCGAGGTCGGGCAGCACGGGCAGCCTAGGCCTACAGACGCATGGTCTCTCCAGCCGTGCGGGCAGCACAAGCCAAGACGGACTTCCATCTGGCCTTTCACTGCTCAGCCACGCGCCACAGGTGCCAACGTCGTCGATCAAGGCCAATGCTACGGTCGGACTAAGCCAGGTCACACGCACGAGTGTCGCTGGCCCATGCCTCTCCGAATCAAGCCCGGCACTTGCATGCCAAAACCGGGGGCTCGGCTCCGCAAACGTCAATGCAGAGCTGCCACTCCAGGGCGTCGTACTAAGCCCAGGACTTGCGCAGCACCCAAAACCTGCACCCAACCCAGCGCGCCTGCTATCATCGCAGCACAGCGCGCCACTCTCCTCGCCGGCGCGGCAATTGCTGGTACCTGGCGGCTCCTCTTCACTGGTGCTGCCGTCACAGCTGGCCGCGTCTGGCTTTGTTTCCATGTTGCTATCACTGCTGATGGTGGTGGTCGTGGTGACGACGTTGCATCAACCAAAAACACAAAGACAAGCACAACCCCAAGACATCCTCGCCGGTCTGCCAAGCATAGCAGCGGCCTTCCTCGCCCTCATGTCGACGGCCGCCCCAGTCTCAACTCTTCCCCAGCAGAAGAGATCCGGGGGTATCCTCGGCCGGGCCAGGGGCTTTCTCAGCCCTCTCGCCCGCGTCGTGCCGCTGATAAGCAGCTACTGCTGATCTGGAACCTGGCCTCGCCGCCCTCGGGCATAGATGAACCCAGCTTCCTCAGCCGTCGTCCTGCGAGGATGATGTTGGCTCTGTCTGGCTTTAGCGTCTTGTGTGTCTTTTGTTGTTTGCATCTGTTGTGATACCCAACCGTCCATTGCTTTCTTTCTCTCTGATTTATGCATTTTTTGGAAACAATAACTTTCATCCCCTGTTGCCGAGCGTGTGTACGTGTTGTGTTGTGTGCCTGTGTTGGAGGGGTTGTTTGGCCACGCGATGCGTTGCCCATGGGAGGTGTGGGGGAATAAAGGCTGGCTACCGGGGGTCATTGTTGACTGCTTTGTGGGTACGCAGTTGGTTACTGGCCCGGTTTGGGGTCAGATTCGGCTATGTACATATCTACAGATAGGAAATGAGATCTCTGGTGGCTGAAAATCGTCGTCTTCCTTTTGTAGATGTGACTCGCGTGACACGCTTGAAGCCCAAGAATATGCGATCGACCCAACACTTGCCGGTATCGTAACCGAATTTATGTTTAATAACACCATGTGTCTGTGGTTTCTCTGGCATGGCGAGCCAGATCGGCCATAGATCCTAACAAGAACCACTGCATTGACGGGAGTGAACTATTCAAGATATCTGGCCCCAAAGCCCGGTGCTCCCCCGCCCCACCATATCCTCCTTTCAGGCATCATGCATTTAAATAGTTACCAGCACAGAGTTCGACATCTATGGGATCTTGTTAGAAAAGACTACGAACACAACACTCCACGGCCATGGTGGTGTGAGTCAACAGGGCTGAAATGTTGATCTGGACCGGCTTCGTCCTGGTGGAAAAAGCCCCCGTGCCCCACGACAGAAAAGAGGCCGAACGCTTCCGAAATGCGTGAAAGTTTGAGTTTGTCCGGATTTCTTTCACCATGCGTCTCCTGCATTAGCGGCAGGAGAACAGAAGAGCACATGTTGGACTAGCAAGAGACCTCGGCCGGTCAGAGCGGTGAACCCACAAGCTCCGAAGATTTCATGCTCACGGTCCTTAAATTCTCATGACTTCTCTCGTCCGCTATAATATACAGTATAAATACACAGAATGTTAAGAAGCGGGTCTGTGGTATTCACAGGGCTTCTTCATTCTCCACGCCACGCCCTATGGATGAGCCTCAACCGAACCAAAGAGTTCTCCTTTGTTCTGAAAAGTGTCGATGCTGGAAGCCCCACGTCCACCAGTGTAAATATATACACACAGAAATATAAAAAGACAACAGAAGGAGATAACATGATTGTTGTTGGGTATTTCGGTTTTCAAAGTACAGTAGGCATCCGTACCAACACGCGGTCCCGTTCTGATGCGGTCATTACCATTAGTATATATACAACAAGAAGGTTATTAAAGCTCGTCTCGACAGCTGGTCAGCTGTCAGACCGGCTGGTATCGCGTTCAGGGGCCTCCGACTCCACCAGGCAAAGACGTTGTGCCACCAGGTCGTACCTGCCTTCTGGCTTTTCACAGCCAATTGGTGTGGGGCGGTGGTGGCGCGACCTCATTCTCGTATCCCATGCCCTCATAATCTGGCGGGCCTGTGGCGGCCCAAACATCAGACCGCCTCGTGTTATTCTCTTGCATAGATGGTGTCGGCATCTGTTGCATCCTGATATCGCACGCCTGGACGTCTTCCATGTACATAGATTCAGTATTGTCTCCCGAAGTGGCCCACACATCTGAGCGGCGGACAGAATGCTGAGTCTGGGGCTGGCACTGCTCATGAGGTGCAAGAGGCAGTGGCGGTCCCCTCGGCGAAGCCAAATCGTCGACCATTGTTGAGCATATCGAGTTCCAGTCGTCGTAGCTGCCAAACGGCGGAGGGTTGTGAAGCTGGTGCATGTCGGGCATGTCGGACATGGTGACCGAGTTCCTGGGCTGCATGGGATCCTGGACGATGTAGTCGTTGAGGAGTTCAACCACTGTATCCCGAGGCATCCCGGGGAATGGCGTGGTTGGCGTCACATAAGGCGGTGGATCGGAGGCGTTAGAAATCGCGATGCTCGGGGCTGGAGCATGAGCGAACTGTGTCTGCGTTGGTGGCGGTGAGAGAGAAGTGCCGTTGACAAAGAGCGGCTGCGGGAGTGCGGTTGAGTCGAAGTCGAGCTCAGCGCTATGGATGCTGGGCTCGGAGGCGGGCAATTCGTGGATATCAGACGATGGGTAGTTGGTCGGCCACTGGGTCAGGGGCCTGTCTTTCATGGACGGGGGCGGGGGCAACAGCTCCTTTTGTGTTCCGCTGTGACTCCTCTTGGAAGATTTCTCCCTCTTCGGTGCCGGCGGCGGCGGCGGCGGAGCTTGCGACTTGTCCTCGGGGGACTTCCCTGGTGACTGGGTTGCCGGAGTCAATTCCGCCATCTCGAACGCCAGCCGGGCGACTTTGGCGGGATCATCCTTTGTGGGGTTGAAAAACTCAAGGAGATCCTGCAGGTTTCCTGCGGTCTCGTTCTCCAGGAACCCCTGCTTTCTCCCTGTCGTCTTGACTTCCCATCCGTAACGGGGTTGCTCGTCTTTGGGGATATGGCTGAAGCGTGCACCTATGATCTGTTTCCATGCCGTGTTCACACCAGGCTGATGCAGCAGGCCGTAGATGACGTTAGAGTGATACCAGTGAGCCCTGGTCCTCCCTGCCTCGTAGTGCAGTCCAATATGGTCAATGTACCGGTCCATGGACGGGAGGAAGGCGGCACAGAAACCACAAGCCCAGGCACGCTTCTTTCGGGTGTACTTAATCACCTTGTCGGCATGTGGGCATGTCTTGCAGTTATGACGTGTCTTATGATGTTGATTGAAAGTGTTGGCGCCCCAGAACACCCGATTGCAGTCGGGACAAGGGTACTTCTTGTAACGCTCGTGGAATTCATCCTCGTGTCTCTTCCAGTCAAACTTCCGTTTGAACTCCGTGTCACATCTGGGTGGACGGTAAGCAAATTGAGGGCGAGAAGGGTCCTGAGCTACAAGCCTTTTGCGGGTTGCAAGGGACGTGAGCGAGGCTAGGAGAGGAGGCGAGACTCACGATGTGCACCAGTAGGCCCTTGTACTTGCCGAAGTTGGCCTATTGCCGGGAAGCTCGGTACCTGGAAACTGAGTGATGGTACTTGACCGGGAGGATAGTGAGGTCTCGGTGGACAGCAAGCTGTTCCTCGACCCTGAGTTTGTGGTCGACGTCGATAGCTGATCTGAACTGCGAGGCCGATCCTCATCCTCTTGCGGGCGACCTATCAAAAGCTCAGCCTTTGTTTCCCAGGCAAAACACCGGATGACCCGAGACGGGGTAGGGCTGTGAGGGGGCATTGACAGAACGAAGGGGGAGGAGGGGGTGACATACGAGGGCTGGAGATGGACCAGTGGGATTTTTTGGACTTTGCCTGAGAGAGGGACAGCGTTCGAGAGATGGGATTCGACTTCGGTTTAGTTTGTGGCGAGGAGTGGGAGGGGAGAGAAGGCAAGGCGGGGAGCTCATTGCTGGCCTCTTCCTGCTCGAGGAGGGCGCGTAGCAGAGCCTGGCGCGACACCCCGCCGTCGGTGAGGGCGCGGACGTGCTGCCTGGCGAGGGCAAGGCTGTCCAAGCTCTCTCTCGAGGGCTTGTCCTGATTGTCCATCTGCGCTCCAGTGTCGGATGGCAATCAAGGTTAAATATGATGGTCAGGCGTGGTCGGCGGTCGTGAAGGTCGAGGGCTGGCGCGGGTCACCGCAGGGCCTGGTTGCTGGAGCAGCGGGAGCAAATAGCCGAGGGATGACGACTGCGGTGGGTGGGCGCGATGGCATGTACCTGTCAAGCTTGGTCGGAAGAAAGAAATGGTGATAAAAGAGCTCAAACCAGTGAGACCTAGCCCGATCACCGCTGGTGAAAAGAGACTGGAGGCAGCGTCCCGTGGTGGCTCGTGATAAACAAACTCGCGCGAGCTGCTTCCGGGAGTCGAGGCGCAACCGCGAGTCAGGCCAGCTGGAGAGAAGTGAAATTGGACCTGGGCTGACCGGCCTTGTTGTTTGAGGATGAATTACTTTTTGGAAGTCATTGTCGGAGGCACTGGCCAGAACCCAAGGAAAGAAAAAGTCGAGCTGCGCGGATGGGCAGGGCAGGGGGGCAGTTTGGGCAAGCAACGAGGCAGCAGGGTCACCTCTGATCTCATGAGTGCCATTGCAGGTTGCGGAGATGGGGGGTTCCCTGCCAACGTTGTTCCCGAAGCTGAAAGGTGGAATTGTCGAATTTGTGAGGTGGATCGCAGCACCTGAAACGCGCCCAGGAGCATCACCGCTGCCATCAAGTGTTTCGAAACAATGGCGCTCTGCACCAAGCCACCCAATAGGAGGCGAGCTTGGAGCTGGCCCGGTGCAGGCGATGGCTTGAGCTCGAGTCTCGCTGGGGGGGTCCAGGGGCCTTGTCGTCGAGAGCGAGACAGGCAGAGAACATGCTGCAGAGCCAGAGCATGGTCAGCTGTCAGGGCCGTCAGCGTCAGAGCCGTCAGCGTCAGCGCCAGGGAGACGAGACGAGGCGGCAGGTTCTGGCTGGTAGGGCGATTTTCGTCTCATCTTTTAAGTTGCTGGCCGGCCGCGATGTTTCCAGCAGGCCGGCCCTGCCAGCGATCTTTGTTTGCACCAGCCACCCCGGCACGAACCAAAAAAGTGAGGGACAGGATTTGTGGAGGAAGGGCAGGTGGCAGGTTCGGCTGATCTGGTGATCGACGAGACGAACCAGGCCACCGGGAAAACGCGTGTTTGCATGGTCCTCCAAGGCCCTTCCGGCACAGCTGCGACGGATCCCCAGTCAGTGCGACGCGTGCAACGAGGGCGACGAGGGCGACGAAGGCGCCCCGACCGCGAGGGCGCGTCGAGTCCAGACTCCAATCCCGACTTCCAAGAGGCTGATGAGGAGCACTCGAGCAGACGGCCCTGGTGCAGACGGCCCTGGTGGTCAAGCCACTGCACGCCCGGGGTACCCAGAATGAGGGGATGGGCGAGCCCCAAATTGCAGCTCGCGGAGAATTTTGTCGCAGCGACGGGTCCCTCAAATGATTATCACGCAGCGAAAAGGAGCGACTTGGGCCGAAGCGCATGGGGCAAGCGCCGGCCGCGAGGCTCGGTGATGCCGTTTCCCTTCTCTTCCGGACGAGCACAGGCAAACAGGCTGACAGGGCAGTGCTGGCTGGCAGGTTGTAAGCTGTGCGCGTTGCTGTCGCGTTGCACCAGTTGACCAGACAGGCAATCCGTCTGATCCCATCACATCTCGTCACATCGCATCGCATCATGGCGGGGGCTTGCTGCAGCTCTACTGCTGTCCCGCCAGGCCCGTGTAATGAAGGGGACCTAGCGGGTGACCAGTCTGCAAGATCCTGGGTGCCCTGGTTGCCTGGCAGGCTGGCAGGCCAGGCCAGGAGCCAGCGCTTGTCGTCGAGGTACTCCGTAGCTCCCGCGGCCGGCCTGCCGGTTCGCGACTGGCGGCAGCGGGCCGTTGTAGCTCGCCAACGTCGTCTTGCCAACCGAGGCTTGCTATTGGGCCGGGTCCATCGACGACAATGGGGGGCCCTGTCCTGTTCCTTTCCGCACACCTTGACTGACGGGCGAGTGAGCGAGGTGGCTACGGGTTTGGGATGACGGCGGTGATGATGCTGTTGGTGATGATGATGGCCAAGGGTGGTGGGCAGCTGTGAGACTTGTGCTGCAGGCAGCTACAGTGCCTGGGCACCTGGGTACCTGGGTACCTGGATAGCTACTGCCCATGCTCTCCCTCGCCTCCAACTCGCCCGTCCACCCATCCACCCATCCACCTGCACCTTCTGAATTCCACATTCCACATTCCACCCTCACACGAACTGGCAGCTTCTATTCTCCTTCCATGTCTTTTCTGGCCCCTGGCCCCCTGCCCCTCTGCCCCCCAGCCCCTCTGCCCCTCTCTGCCTTGATTCCCATACCTCCGGATTCCCAATCCAAACCGCAACTTTAGAAGGGGCGATCCGATTCCACCCGCCCACAAGGGGGCCCCCTCTGGCTGCCTGAGTCGGCCGAGAACCACCTCACCTGCCCTACGGAGTAGCGTGCCCACTATCAGTCACTGCCCCAGGCCCCAACCCCACCGGACCATTCTGGAGACGCCGAGTCGGTCGGCAAAGATAAGCCTTAGGGATAGGGTCGGAACAGTACCGGGGGGGGGTGGTTGTTTCCTCTGATGCCATCCATACAGCCTGACAGCTGCCGTCGGAATCCAGATTCCACCATCAGACCAGCCGACACGGAAGGGGCAACCCCCAAGTAATCTCCGAGGAGCGTGACTGCGGAATATTTTTAGGAGAGGGTCCTCTCCCAGGCTAATGGCACCACCCAAGCAATGTCATTGTTTCAAGACCGTTGTGAAAGGAGGCTCGACCAGAGCTTATCGGAAATACATCGAAGCCCGCGTCGTCCGATGATTCCCCGTCTCTCCAGAGTCCAGATTGCCTTTGGATCCTAAAGTCTAATAACGGGTACACAGTCTCTCCCGGGGTGACGGGTATACACCAGACACCACGTTTCACGTCGGAGCCTTTTCCTGCGATCTAGCCATCTCATATGGCCCAGCCATGGCCTAACTTGGCGGTCGGTCCTCGCTTCGGTCAGGGGCTGCCCTCTCCATCTGATTCGCTATCGCTTTTCACAAATGACAACCACGTGCACTTATTGACTGGGCATCTACCGAGCTCGCTTTGCAATCTCAGGCCCTCTCGCCATGCGGGTGCAATGTCTTCGCCATGTTGTGCCCGGCTGTTGTGTTGCAACTAGAAGGCATCATTTGCCGTTTCTGAGGAGCGTACAGTCTCGATCATTCGTGGGAAATCCATGACACTCCCCCAGTGTCAAGAATTACAGTAAACTGCTCTGAAGCTGCTGACATTGGAGATGGCCGTATTTCCCCACAGAACGTTATTGCAGTCAGCCGCACATCATATTCTTCAATCCCTGTCTATACCAGCCAAGCAGCCCTGTGAGCGTGCATTGATGCACTCAATCTCCCACAACCTCTCACCCCCGACAGGACTACATAGTACTCCGTACTGTCCTCGCTGCCACCCTTGCTGGGCTACTTGGCTACGTACACAGATGCCCGTCTCCAGCAGCACCGTTCCAAACCACCCGGGTGTTTTTTACACGAGCCAAACACACAGTTGACTCAATCAGTCACTACGGCCTCACAGGCCAGACTTGGATTGGCTCATTGACGCCAGAGTGTACAGCACCACGGCTTCGAGGTCAAGTCTTCGAAATCATCTGCACGTCTTAGTCCCCGCCCAGGGAACGGGAATCTGGGATTCGGATGTAGGGCAAGGCACCCACAGCTCGCAAACTCCAAGTTCATTGCTAGAAAAGATAATCCGCCCAGAAGTGTCCCCGAAAAAACTGAATGCACGAGAGCCCCCCTCTGCTCAAGAGGCTCAAGTGCTCCTGTTGAGGATTGCCAAGGTGGCTCTCCTACAAACGACTCCTGACCTCCTGCCCCCCTCTCTTTCCTGACTGGACCCCAGAGAATGACTCCAGCAACTCTAGGCTGCGGTGGTCCATGATGGCAGCACAATGACGCTGTGAGATTGCGTCGACGACTTCCTTGGGCTGCATCATAGGTCCAGCGAGAGCCCATGCGAAGCCTTGCAATTGGTACTTGCGATATTCCTGTGGGAGACGGTCAGTCAGCTCCAGAGGCTTACAAGAGCGAAACGACCGGGTTTTCACGGGCCTGCCGAGATACTTACATCCCACACCTCCCCGACCTCGAACTTCGGCGCACCAGCCTTGTGCAGCTCACTCAAATAGAACCCGAACAGATCCCTCTCATGAGCCCTCCGCTCACTGATTGTCAGGGCACCAGTCATGAAATATGTGACATCATGCACCCCAGAATTCACATGCACACACTGCCAGTCCAGGAACCCAGGCTGCCCGTCCGCATCAATGAAGGTGTTCCCAATCTGCGTGTCACCATGAACGAGGCACACCATCCTCCGGTCCGAGTTCGCCCACAGCGCCTGCAACCCGCTGACAACCCTCTCCCGGTTGCCCCATAGCTCCTCGGGTATTGGCGGACGCACGGCCGGGTCCTCAAACCTCAGCGCCCAGTTCTCGGGGCTCATCATACCCGTGATGACGTCGCGCATGCCAAAGTCGCGCGGCACGCCCGGGAACTCGGCCTCGCGGGCACCCCAGGTGCGCGCGTGCAGCTTCGCGAGCTGGACGAGGCCCGCTTTCACGCGCGCCACGGGCCACGTGCGCAGCGGGTCGCCAAATGCGTAGCCGGCAGCCTTGATGTCGCTCATCACCACCAACCCCTGGCCCCGAGCGTCGGGTGGGTCGGTGCCGCACCAGTGGGCGGGGATGAGCCGGAGACCTGGGATCAACGGGGCGATGTGGTGGTAAAATTGGGCCTCGAGACGATAGACGGCGAAGAGGGAAGGGAGAACCTCGAGGAGTTGGGGGTTGAAGCCTCCCTTGACGCAGAGGCGGGTCGGCGGGAGCTCTTTGGAGGAGCCCTGGTTTTCGGAGTAGGCCACCTCGACGAGGATGATTGTTCCCGCGCCATGGATGATTTCGTGTATTTTCAAATCGTTGACCTTAAACCCCAGAATGCCGGACAGCCATCGTGGAGTGATATCGTCAACCGTGAGGGGCAGGGCCTCAGCGGACTCGAGGCTCTGACGCTGGGGGGGCGAGACGCCACCAGAGGTGTGACCAGAGGTCGACATTGCTTGCGCTTAGGGTGGCACGCTGCAGAATGTGACAGGCTTGTGCTCGAGAAGGAGAAGCAATCTGTCAGGTTTCCGCCGCGGATTTTGCCAGATCAACGACGGGGTATTGGGGCGAGCAAAGGAGGGTGTGACAGCTGTTAAAGGTCTATTCCAGATGGACCATGGAAAAGTAACAAAAACAAAGAATGTCTGGCCGCTCGCCCACCTGCCAGTTTCACTCACGTTCACCCGGACTGGCACCTGGCTTGGGGGCCACGCTCCAGCGCCTCCACCTTGCAGAGATTGGCGACATCTTGATCGATCGCATGCGTCCGCAGACACAAGAAGACCGACCAACACCGACCAACAATATGCACTGGCACCAACAATTGCGGATCAAACAGTATTGTGGGTGGAGTATGTCACCTCGGTCTGCAATCTCCATTGGCATCGTTGGCAGCTATGGATACACATGCAGCAATATGATGTTGGCCAAGGATGTTGACAGCAGCCAGAATTCAACTGGCAACTCCTGCATATCGCATCATGTGCGGTGGGAGATCCCGCCCACTCGTGGTTGGTCAGAGGCCTGTCGTGTAGCTGCAGCCAACTTACCCGAGGCACGAATTAAGCTGCCAGTTCCATTTGGCAGACGCCTCTCGGTCAGCTCTAGACTCGGATTGGTCTCAATGGCTGATCCGCGGGGCGGAAAAAGCAAAGATAAGTGGTCTACTGCGCGCTCGACGCCGTTGTAAAGTGGCTTTGGCATGGGCTTCGACAAGGAAATAGAGCCAAGTCACTCTGCCAGAATTAACAACATGAGCAAGGGCCTCCATCATTCATTCCTTTTGGGAAGGGGACCAAGACGATCTGACAGGTGGAGACGGTGTCTCCCAGAGCCATTGAGCAGGGGACCAGCACTTGACAACCTTGGAACGTCGGAGTCTGGGCAAGCCTATGTACATAGCTGCACGAAGTGCATGCTCAAATGGTGTGGATCCGTCCTCCACCTCTATGTTCCATCGAAAGGCGCTCGCTGGGGGGCTGCCAGATCCCCTGCCGAAGTTACTTCTTCTGCCAGCATTACAGTCTGGCGCCGTGACTGTCCGGAAGCACCCAAATGGGCTGAACGGCTGTTGTACGAGCAATGCTGCTCGCCGCCCTACTAATAATAAATGGCGGGTCCAAGGGCCACAGCAGCCGTTGGAAACAGTTACGTGAAGGGTCAGCGCGTGCATGATGGTCCATGTCCACCGCGAGACTGCTTTTCCTCGAGCAGTCTCGACCCATCCGCAGATCAAATTCTGTACGAGCTTTGCTGGCGTGATAAGTACGTAGCTGGATGGCTGCCTTTTGATTCAAAACATGCTTTGTCCCGTCGGAATTGTCTGTCTCTCCCTTCCTTCTCAGCCAGGTTGGCCCCAAACGTGATTGCCCGCGAAGTCAATACACGAGGACCCAGAATGTCTAAAGCCGGAATACTGCCTGTTCCTGTGGGCGAAAAGCAAGACTTCGATGGTTTCTCCGAACTTCAGGTCAGAATTCTGGTCGTTTATATTGTGACCTTCGTTTTGGCGACCGTGGGTCTCCTCCTTCGTTTCTACACAGGAGCCTGCCTTAACCAAAGAGGGCTCGGCCTCGATGCTCGTATGTCAAACTACCCCCGCCTCCCTGGATACCTCCCAACACCTTCGATCGCCTGTAGATTCTATCGACCCCGTACTCACATCCTAGGACGAGTTATGCCAAAATTCAACTTTGGAGCAATACTCTCGGCGGTTTTAAGCTAACACAATGATCACGCAGTTCTTATATTGGCGTCATGGGCAGTGTATCTGGCTTCGTTCATCGGAATGCTGAACGTCTTTCCGTGTGGTTTCGGGAGACATCTGTGGAGCGTTACTGAGAAGCAACTGCAATGTTATATGAAAGTCAGTTATCCCAAGCGAGAGCACATATCGCGTTGCCCTTCTCATCTTCTCCTTTTTGCAAGACAACCTTGGAAGCATATTTCCCATGTCTTGCCAAGTGCGATGACTTTCTTCTGCACCTAGGTTTTGTCTCCAATACCCAATCAATTACTGACATACCTAATCAACCCAGAAACTCCTCTTTCTCGGAGTGACTTACTTCTGGCCTCCAACTCTAGCCAAGCTGTCTTTGATCGTGCTCTACCACCGTCTCAACCCCAACCTAGGCTTCCGCTTGGCACTCTATATTATCGCCTTCATTATCACGACTTGTACGTATAAGATCAACCCTGTGACACAAAGGGGTTGGACCCGAGCATATATAAGATCCTGTCGCTCGTAATCCCGGGACGGAGTTACAAGACACACAGCTGACGCAGATTTGCCTACCAAAAAGACACAGTAGTCTTCACCGCCATCCTATCCGGACCATGTAATCCACTCGACGTCGGCAGTAGCACCTGTCTAAATAATGTAGCCCTGGCGCAGGCCGTGCTCAATATTTCCACCGATGGAGTGCTGGTGCTCATGCCGGTGATAATGCTTTGGGGTCTGAACATGCCGCGGAAGCAGAAAGTGGCCGTCGCTTGTATACTTGGTCTTGGTTCAGGGTGCGCAACTAGATCCGTTTTATCCTCTCTCCTGGTTTTTACCCACAAAATTGGCGGCTGATGACCTGCCGATGTCGCTTCCCCTCCAACAGGAGTTCTCCCTTGCTGACACAACAATCCCTCATACAGAGCAGTCATAGCCTCCTGCGTCCGCATCGCCTACGTCCGCGCAATGAGAAACAACCCAGACGTGCTCTATACCCAGGGCTCAGCCGCGGTATGGTCGGCGGTGGAGATCAACATCGGCATCTTGTGCAACTGCCTTGCGATGCTGAAGCCCTTCGTCAGGCGCCACTTGCCGTGGTTGGTCAGTCTCGTAGGGTCTGACGGGTCTTCATCTTCCGAGGAAGGGGCATCGAAGGACAGTGCGGTCCGTTTCGGTAGATTTAGGAGAAGCAGCAGGAAAAGCGGCGGGGATGGTGCCGGCGGGGCTGGTGCCTGCACCGCGGGCAACTATCAGCTGCACAGCTTCGGGAGGGACAAGGAGGCCTGTAAATTTGGCAAGGCGGACGGGCGGTCGACTACAGTCACTTCTCGAAGCGACACACTGAGAACACCAGATGACCCCTCGATTCAGAACGGCGGGATCTTGGTAACAACGAGTACCACATGGAAGGCGAGTGACGGTGATGCTAGTAGTGAAGGAATTCTGACTGGAAGCGATGAAGAGAGTGGGAACCAATACAGATCTGGGAGAGGACAAATGGGCAAGGACTCTGAAGTTTGGCACGAGCAGTGAGGCAGGACGAACTATGCATTGGTGGCGCATTGACGAGGTAGTAGTCAGAAGAGAAGGGCTTGTGTCATTTATTAGAAGCGATCAAGCTGCCTTTGCATCCGACCCAGCGTAGCCCATCAAGTACTCCGTCCGCAAGCCCAACCGCCAATGTCAGCAAAGCACCAATTGTGTAAAGCATGTAGCCGCTGCATGAACAGATCCATCAGATACATTTGCAGTGTAAATGTTGACACCTGTGTGCCGCCAAACATCTGCCAAAGTGTTACTCCGGTTTACCACTCTCAAGCAAATCGAATGCCTCTCTACTCCAAGGCCCATCACTCCTAGCAGACTGAAACCCAGGGAAGGTCATCTTCTTTTTCTGCCGTTTGGGCTTTTCAGGAGCCTGTTCGATTTGCGTCGCTGCGAGGTCTGCCGTAGAGACTGGAATCATCGTGGTAGGCTGCGTAGGCGGCAGCATGCGTTGCGGAACTGGCCCCGCTGCATGTGACGCCAGTGCTGCTTTGCGGCCGCGAGACGCTGGGTTTGCAAGGCGCGCATTGGAAGCCGGCTTTTCATGCACGTCTGTTGACGAGCTTCCTGTCTTTTGAGCCTGTGGTGTCAATTTCGCTCCAATATTGTTGATGCTCCGTGGAGTTGAGGCTTGACGACGGAGGTCGATGGAATTGGGTGACCGAACAGGGAGAGAAGATACCTTGTCGGAGTCTGCGTTGCCCATGATCTTTTGACATGTCATGGGTTCCTGGTCGCCACTGGTCAAAGAATGCCCATACAGGGCTAATTTGGGTTTATCAACGGCTAATTGGGCCTTGAAAGTGTCCGCTTTAACATTTGGATGGCTCTCGACTGTGTTTGATGCATTGGCAGGTTCAAGTATCGACGAATGTTGCTGATTGATTGGCTTTTCTTGGTTGAGCAACGTCACTGCTTGTGATTTGGTCGACATGTTAGCACGCTGATCCGCTGCGACTGATTCCGTTGGCTGGCCTTTCGTCACACTTCGAGCCGTCTGATCGGTGTTTGATGGCTGCTGACCATCCGCATTATTTTGGTCTCGCAACAAGGGGCCAGTGTTGATTGCATGCCCTATAGTGGTAGTCTGTGCAGGCACAGACGGCTGCTGGGCATTTGCCACTGTCTTCAATGGGGTCTCTAGTGTCACTTCGTCCAAAATTGTGTGATTTGCGACTGTCGAAGACTGTCTTGAGAGAATAGAACCGTTTTGTGCAGATTTCTCCAGGCTTGGAATGGTCTGCTCAGCGGCCTTGACGGTCGCAATGTCCTCTGGCATCATGGCGTGACATTGCTGTGCTTCTGGATTCGGCTTGCCGAGAACAGGTTCCGGATGTATTGAACTTTTTAATGACTGAGCTCGGCCCACGGCTTGCTTGTCTTGACATTTTGTAGGGCTCTGTGAGTCGGCCACCCGCCCGCCTGGTCTACCAAAATCGCGGATCTCAGGCACATTTAAATACGCTGGCGCATCAGGCTCGACCAATGCGCTGAAATCATCCTCACCGAGGGGTTTGCTTCTGTTCGCGTCGGGATCGGAGGAATCAAGGGGTACATAACTCGTTTCGTCTCTTTTCGACGTCTGAGCGTCCCGTTTGTGAGGTGCGGCCGAGAAGTTAGGACAGGATGGTAGCATTTGATCACCACAGCTTTCGACAACCACGGGACTCCTGTTCTCATCCGCTACAGCACGAGCTGGAGACCGTGTCTGAACGGGCTCATTCATAGGCGAAGGCAGAATACTGAATGGCATCCCGATCCCTCTAAGGCCGAGAGGTGCATTCAGTGCAGCGAGGTTGAGACCAACAAGCTCTCTGCTCTTGACGTTTTTCTTGATCTTCTCCAGACGTGGCCGATCCTCTGAGACTTTGGACGCCTTGGTATTGCGGCGTTTCTTTGGACTTTCCTCCTCTTCCGAGCCATCTTGTTCACTTGATAAAGGCGAGGGCTCATTTGATTTGGGTTGAGGTCGCCTTCGTCGCCTTGACTGGTGCCGCACTAAAGGCAGCCCATCCTCCTCTGACTCTATGCCAAGATTCTTTCGGTAACCTTTGACTTTACGCGTAGGTCTGGCTGACCCTTCGTCGCCAGATGCGACAGTAGGGGGCGGATCTTTGGCCCAAGTCTTCATGGATTTGCTTGACTGAAGCTGTTTGTTGGCAGCCTCGTCACAGACCAAAGAAACAGCAGCGAATCCAGAATCAGAACCCAAATCGGCATTGCTGGGGAGCGAGGCGGCCGGGTCAATACAACCATCATCTGCAATGATTTTCCTCCGGCTCTGCCTTTGTATCTTGGCCGTGCTCGGGTTTTTATTGTTGTCGATCGACCTGGGTACTCCAACTCCAGCGCCGTGGTCATGATCGCGTTCATTCCTCTGTGCACATGATGATGCCCCAGGACTGGACGCCCGCGGAGAAGATGGGATCTGATAGGGGTCGCATTCCACCCTTGGCAACAAGAATGAACGCTTTGTGGGCTGGAGGATATCAGCAGGCGCACCCCCGCCATGATCCACGAAGCACATTTCAGAACGGAACGCATTCTGGGAGGTGACCTTCGCTTGCTCGAGTCTCTCTTGCCCCATTTGTTGGTCAGCGTTCCTTGTCGCTGACTCGGTTCTGTCATACGTCTGTTCTGAGACTGCCAGTGACTGTGACTGAAAAGGGTCCTCGTCTTCGCCAAGTTCAGTCGAAATTGTGCGTACCGCAGCTTCCTTCCTGAGCTCGCTTAGCACTCGACCTTTCTCCCACTCCCCATCGCGGTTCAAAAGCGGGTATTCCAGGTCACCATTTTTGTCGTCATTACTCGACAGGCGGTCAGAAACCATAGGATAGGCTCTCGCTAAGTCATCAACACCGTGGTTGGGGTCAAACTTGCTTGGCAGGCGAGTTGATAAAGACTGGTGGAATGGGTCGTCGTCATCGGAGTCTCTCGGGGAGTGGGTTGAAACCCCATTGAAAGATCTGGCTGCATCTGCAGAGACCTCTCGACGCGTCTTCTTGGGCTTTGAAGCGTCGGACATCATCAGAAGACCTCGCTTTTTGCTGGACTTGATCCTGAGCTCGGTGACTGGTAGGGTTGGGTCCCTCGTCGCGTCAGCGGTGCGGCTATCGACTCCACGAGCTGTGGTGTCGGTCGGCCCAGAGCTGGCGTTCCTACCGTTGGCCCTGGCTACAGCTTTGTCGGGGCCGTTGTTTCGCTCATTGCCGCTCGCCTTCTTGGATTTGCCGTGATGGCCAGCCTCCGATATTTTCTGTCTCGTTGAGCGGGCCTGATCTTCAGGAGGCCCATGAGTTTCCCTTCTCCCAACCTCGGAAGTGCTTGGATTTCCCCCAGGTCTCTGTAAGCGTGCTTGGGTGTTCTGCTCTCTCTCCGGGTGTTGAGTAAGCGGGGGCGCAATCGGATCTGGATCATCGATCTCGATGACATCTATGAGTTCTGGAATGGTTTGTACGGATTTCGTTGCAGGGTGTTTCTGAGACAGACTTGCATACGAATCGGACTTGCCGATGTCAGCGCTGCCCTTGTCCTTGCCCCTTGCCTGCCTGTTGCCAGCCTTGCAAGCCCTACTCTGAGTGACGAGCGAGTCTGGCACAGATTTGGTGCTAAACTTGTCAAGTTGATGACGCGCAATGAGCCGTGGTGGTGCTGGATTTCGCGGCATCTGTGGAGATTCCCCTGCGTTGCAATCGACCGTTGTGTTCGATACCGACTCGTTGTGTAGTTGAGGCGCCAATGACACAGAGCTCACGGGGGTGTGGCTCAAAGTCAAGGTTTGCCCGAACAGCGACTGTGCGTACCCGCTGTGGTTGAGGCGCCGAGACGATTGCGGCTGCTCACGCCTCGCTGGCTCTGGCTCCCCTCGACAATACTGAGCATCGGCCTCCGGAAGTGGACCTGTTCCTGCTTCAGGCCTCGGCCGACGGATTTTAGGGGGCGGATTTGATGGCGTAGCACTGAGGGTCAGAACTTGTCCAAACAATGCCGATGCGTAACCGCTCTTGCTCGGAGGAGGCTCATCGTACTTTCTCCTCTTGGCAGTCCGTTGATCCGGGGATGCAGCAGCTTGCTGCCTCTGCTCAAATGGCGACTCCTTTGGAACCAAAGCCTTTCCGTGGTGGCCAGTTGGTGTCCCGATGACATGGTGGAGAGCTTGATGTCGCGGCGGCTGATGACGGTCTGGAGCAACAGCTGCAGGACGAGGCAGAGAGCGAGGAAGCCCGGCACTGGAGGCTCGTGACCGGGCCAGCTGCTGCATTTGGCGCTGCTGCTTCTCCTGGACTCGCTTATCGACAAGCTCAGACAGGTCTGTCTCCTTGCGTTCCACGAGGTCTTCGACCTGGACTATGACGCCGCCGCGATCAAGTTGGACCTCCTCGCCCTCGCCAAAATCGTATTCGCCATGCCAGTGCATGTCCCCAACCGAGTTCCCGCGGTCGTCATAGACCATGACGCGTGCATTGAAGGTGTGGTACTTGAGTCGTCCATCTTGCCATCTCTTCTGCTTGCGGCGCAGGTCATGAGTGAAGAGACAGCGGAACTCGAGTACGGTGGCGGTTGACGGCGCTGGGCCAGCCATGGCGACTGCAAGCAGCCCAGGCAGACTCACTCGAAGGAGAGATTGAAATTCCAGGGCACATCCAGAAATCTATAATCGCCGCACGGGCTCCATATCTCAAGTGCTTCCGACGAGCTGGGGGTATGCCGGGGTCGTGGCCAAAATGTGGATGGGTAGACGCGTCCTGGTCGGGTGCAACGCGGGATCGAATCGAGACGCGTCCGGCCGAAGTGGCCGCGATGTCAGGTGATTGCGCCCGCCAGCTCCTTCAGAAGGTGCTCGCGCTGTAGCTTCGGGTCTGCAGACAAATGTTTCAGGGCTCCTTCCCCAACCAGCCAACCCCGTGGCGGGGGTCAGCTTGTTCTGCTTCAGTGTTGTCTGCTCGGAGCTCCACCGATTGAACGGTGCACTCCTGCACTCTTGCATTCTTTTTCCCCAAATGAGGACGGGGAAGTGGACTCGGCTCCTTGATCCAGTCCAGCACGAGCTAGTGATTGATGTCTCCGAACCGTCGGGTTTGACTGGAGCAAGGTGTACGGAGTACACAGTAGTCGACAGTTACAGTCCAACACAGTACATACCTACTGTACCTAGGTACCTACCCTGGGTAGCGTAGCTGGCTGGGTGTGCAATCCCCCTGCCTTCTGCTGCCTTGGCCTTCGCCTAGCTCCCGTTTCCCAGTCCCACCCCACCCTCAATATCGGGCTACGGCTTCGCTTCTTCTGCTGCAGTGCCCAGTAAATAACATCTGAACATGCCCAAAACATGATTGCCCAGCACTGGGACGGCGGCCCTCTTGTACTGTCACCTCTTCTGTGTCCGCTTTGGGATGCGAGACCACCCAATGCCTAATCTGCTTCAATCTCAGCTGCGCCTCCTTGTCGTCCAACTCTGATGTCACTAATTTAACAGTGGTCTGTGCTTTCTCACTTCACGTCGACCTGTTGAGCGAGCCCCTGTGTCTGTCTGTCTGTGGTTCTGCATCCATTCTGTGCCACTCCTCGCTGTGGCTCAAGGGCGATTTGACGGCCACGTTGGATATCCTCCTCTCACAACAGCCACGAGCAGCCACCGGCCAGCGTCAACAGCAACAGCAGCTTGGCCGACCATGCAGTCCGTGCAGAGGAAGTTCGGCAGGCTCCTCGGCAGGAGCCCAGGCGACAATGCCAAAGTCTCGGTCTTGTTGAACGACTATGAGGATGCAGATCGCATTCTGGCAAAGGCAAGCACTTTCCCATGTTCATTGCTGGCCCCCCCCCCCCCAAAAGCACCACAACCAAGGCTAACATCCAGCCCTCCAGCTCATCGAAAGCGCAAAATCCTGGCAAGAGTCATGGTTTACTCTAGTCAACTCGCAGCTCGAGATCGCCAATGTCTATGCTAGCCTCTACGACCCTATTGTTGGAGCCTCCGATGGCCACGGTCGCCAGACTGCCATCACCCCAGAGCTCCAGCTCCACAGGACCTTCGCCCTCAAGGACGTCTACTCGGACCTGAGGACAGAGCTCACCGAGGACATTGCCTCGATTGAGCCCCGCGTCATCCAGCCGGCCAACAATGCCCGCCAATCCATCGCCCCCATACGAAAGACCATCAAGAAGAGGGAGGATAAGCGGCTCGATGTCGAGAAGACACAGGACAAGGTCCACAAACTCCACCGGAAGGCAACCCGGACGCCCAAGGAAGATGCTCAATTGGCAAAAGCCGAGGACGACCTGGCGAGCCTTACCGAGGTGAGAGACAATGCCACACGGAACAATTGCTAGATTCCACCTGACACGTGTTACCAGGAGTTTGAGATCGCCGACCACCACCTGCGAGAAACCCTGCCCCCGATTATCCAGGCTACATTCAGCCTTGTGCCTCCTCTTCTCGCAACTCACATTGTGATCCAGAACCGCCTGCTCGGCTTATATTATACCGTGTTGCACGGATACTGTGAAGAGAATGACTTCCCGTCCCCAGCACCGCCGATGGACGAGGTTATTGCGGTGTGGGCCAACTCCTTCGAGGCCGGGAAGCGCGACGTGGAGTCCATCTCGATAATTGCCCGGGGAAGGGGCATCAGGGAGCCTCTGAACTTATCGAACGATGGCGCGCCGCTTGGTCGACAGCTCTCTGCTCCGCCACCGGAGCCCGGCATGCGCCGTGCATCATCGGGTCTGATCCCCAGTGCCAACGGCGGCCGGCCGCGCATAGCTTCGTCCAACTCGGCGGCTCGGACGCCATCGCCACAACCCAGCCCGAATATTGGTCCGAGGCCAGACGTCAAAAATCCAAACTACGGTGGGCTCTTGAAGCCTACTGACTTCACGACAGCGAGTGACTTGGGCAGGTCGTCAGGGCAGGTATCCCCATCACAGCTTCGCCAGAGTTCTGCAGGTGACTATTTCGCCGGTCGCAACCCACCTTCTCCAGCTTCCACGGTCGCGTCGAATTTCTCGCAGACCAGCATCGCGGCCAAGAAAAAGCCACCTCCACCGCCGCCACCGAAGCGAATAGGCAGTAGCAAGCCAGAGGAGTATGTGATTGCTCAGTACGATTTCACGGGCCAGGGTGCCGGCGACTTGTCCTTCAGAGAAGGCGACCGTATCAAAATTGTCAAGAAGACCCAGACTGACCAGGACTGGTGGACTGGCGAGCTCGCAGGTGTCAAGGGAAGTTTTCCCGCCAATTATTGCAAGCCTGCTTAGTTGCAGCTTTTGGAGACGCGTTAAAGCTACCCATCAGGATGAGCTTCTTACGAGTGACGATATGTAATTGAGTTATTCGATGCGAAGGGGCGATCAGGACAGCCGGAAAATTGGGGTAGAGCGGTCAGCGATGGATATATACGCGGATACCTAGGAGCCCTGGGAACACTTTAACTCCGATTGAAGGCTTGGTCGGGATAAGTGCGCGGCTCAACATTGAGGTGGTTTGTTAGACGGCCTTCCCTGTGAATAATTAGATCATACGAAACTCGAAGCCTCAGGCAGTCATCACACACCGGTTACAGCTTTTAGATACCTCATTCTTATTATTCAAAATCATTATATACACATGCCCTATAAACCGTGTCGTGTACACAGGCAGAATGTATTCAAGCGCTTGTATGGCCTAAAAGCCATGCTCCAGAGTGTGGGTGCGTTACTGCTTGACCTCCTCCATACCTACTTGAGTAGGTACCTAGGTAGATACCCAAATGCTTTAGAGGCATCTGGCTCAGCCCCGAGTCACGGCGATTTCCCTATTGAAATCGTTCACCATGATGCCATCAGAAGCGACTCTCACTGGCCTTGTTGAAGCTATGTGCCACAGATGCATGTTCTCGTATGCCACCGTTAGAGGCCTTTTTTTTTCTTTCCTTCCCTTTTTTACGCCGGGTCTTTGAGCATCTACTTACCATTGTATTTAGGGACTGCATGGATTCGACATGCGTACGGATTGAGGACAAAACCAATTTTGTGCGTCTACTAGAGTGAGTTGCACAAAGCCCGACACCTCAAGCTGGAATCCACCACAACAGAAATATTGCTGTCTAAAGCACAGCCGTGGGCATTGAGAATTGAAGGCCACCTGGGCAACACACAAGCCAATGCAATAATATATCACATGCTATTATGAGGTATCTTGAACAGCGATTATAGTATAATTCATATACTTGTAGGATGGTAAAATTAGTGGACGAGACTAGTCGTAGAAATCCCGACATTTATGGACCGAGAGATCATGAAACGCTGGGTCTTGAGCATTCACCAACGTCTATGAAGGTGCCATGTATGTCTTCGGACGTATACGGAATAGAAGCGAAATCACATAAGTCCATGTGGCTAGCACTGAAGCTGTGAGGGTTCTGTTGGGAGCTAACCTCTCCAATAGGATCGATCGGTTGCTGGCAGCCTCAGGGATAGAGCGATGCTGGGAGGCGCAGCGATGCGCCCTGTTGCGCTGCAACAAACCTTAAATCGACCTCAGTTCCCCGCCGTCAGCCCACTCAGTCGCACACATGCACCCTCTCGGGGCTGGGCCGTACCGATATAGATCGTTTCTTCGAATCAGCAAACATATTTTGATGTTGAGCCAGACACGTCTGAACATATCGTCTGCACCCTGATCGGAACAACCATCTTCTGCGCTTACGAACGAGCCTGATCTGCCGCCTGGCCACTGCGCCGCCGACCGGTGTCATGGAGGCGCAGCATAACGCTACGGTGGCAGCTGTCGCCGACAGAGTGAAGCACTTTCACAAGCAACAGAAGCCATTCCGCAATTACCATGGCTCGAGTCTCAGCACGCGGCCATCAGACCGAAACAAGGACAACATCGTAGACACCAGCGCGCTCAGCCATGTTCTCTCCGTTGACAAGGAGAAGAAGACGGCGTCGGTCGAGCCAAACGTCCCGATGGATACGCTGGTGGCGGCAACGTTGAAAGAAGGCCTTGTGCCCCAGGTTGTGATGGAGCTGCCCAGCATTACGGTCGGCGGCGGCTTTTCCGGGTCCTCGGGCGAGAGCAGCTCGTTCCGCTTTGGCCTGTTCGAGGCCACCATCAACGGCATCGAGATTGTGCTGCCCACTGGAGAAGTGGAGAGGGCCTCAAACTCCGAGAAGCAGGATTTGTTCTGGGGTGCAGCCTCGGCTTTTGGGACGGTAGGGGTTGTGACCCTGCTCGAGGTCCAGCTCATGGACGCCAAGAAATACGTTGCCCTGACCTATCACCTGTCGAAGGGGTTCGACAACACTCTGGTGAAGATCAAGGAGGCGACGGAAAATACGGACAATGACTACATCGACGGAATCGCTTTCACGCCAGAGTCGTCGGTCATCTGCTGTGGCCGCATGGTGGATGATCTGCCCTCGGGGCAAAAGCCGTGGCGCTTCACGCGCAGAGGTGACCCGTGGTTTTACCTCCGGGCACAAAACGCCCACGACCAGCTTCTGAAATCTCCGGAGCGCACCCTCACCGATTACGTGCCACTCTGGGACTACCTCTTCCGCTACGACCGAGGCGGCTTCTGGACGGGCCGGCAGGCCTTTCAGTACTTCAAGGTTCCCTTCAACCGCATCACCCGCTATGTCCTCGACCCATTCATGTATACCCGAGTAATAAACCAGGCCCAAGCCAAAACAGACTTTTCATACTACTATATGATACAGGACTGTGGCATACCGTTTCTGAAATGTAACGAATTCAAGGCGTGGCTTGATGCGAACGTCGGCCTGTACCCCATTTGGCTATGCCCTCTGAAGGCGCGGAGAGACTCGCCCGGGTCCTGTCATGGCCTACACGCAAAAATGGGCCAACGGGACTACTCTGACCTGCTGAACTTTGGTGTGTGGGGGTTGATATCATGGGACCGCCGAGATGTCCTCAACAAGAACAAGGCGCTGGAAGCCAAGGTCCGGGAGCTGGACGGTTGGAAGACTTTGTACGCTCATACGTACTATACCGAGGAGGACTTTTGGTCGGTCTACGATCGGGACTCGTACGATGCAGTGCGGGCTAAATACGGGGCGAACTACCTCCCCAGTGTATACCAAAAGGTCAGGGTCCAGGTCGATCTAGACGCCGAGGAGGCGGCGCAACGTGCCTCGGCGAAGGCCAGGTTGAAGACGAGGGTGAAGTCGACTTGGCCCACCCGCGGGCTGTTGGGCGTGTACCATGCGATCAAGGGAGATGATGTTCTGCTTCAGAAGCAGGAGAAGAAGTCACAATCACAAAAGACGGCGGCGTAAGATTGGAGGGAGGGAGGGAGGGTTCGGGCGCCATTACCACTGGCACCCTCCCTCATTGTTCACGTTGCATTACGTTCAAGCAGAGTTCAAATAAAGCCCGCTTGCCTCCACCTCTCTGACCCACAGCTTCCAAGGTCTCTGGGCAGACCACCGAGACATCTGCGTCGCAGCTTCGGATTCCCTGTTGTCGAGGAATTTCAAGCCTCCGGGCCCGCCCTGGGCCTTGAATGCCGACTGCATCGCCATGGCAGCGGTCTGGATACTCGCATTCTTCATCGTGTACACACACCGCGACACAACCTCCTCGATCCCAGGTGCAACAATAGTCATCCCGTGGCCCCTCATGAGCGCCACCTTGGCACCACCGTCAAAGCATGCCGCGAGAGGCTCCCCCAGGTGTGAGCTGCGGACCAGCAGGTCCGGAACATCTCCCTCGACCAGGTGCTCAGCCACATCGTACACCTCGGGCCACCCCTTGGTCCCCAGCCCCAAGAACCCAGCCATATGGTAACACGGCCGGAGGGGCACCCCTGTGATGGTGTACGGGATCACGCTCTCGGCATGGCTGTGTACCACGGCGCCAACGTCCCCGTGGCGGCGGTACACCTCGGAGTGGATGTGCCGTTCGGCGAAGCCCTTGCCCGCAGCGCCTGGGTCCACGGGCTCCGCGTCACGTACGTAGTACTCAATCAAGTCATCCGCGCTCGACATGGTCCCCGGCGGCATATTGCGTGACATGATGAAAGTCTCGGCGTTGAAAGGGTGCCTCGCCGAGAGGTGGCCGTAGGCGTCCAGCACGCCCTGGTGGTGCAGGATGTGGCTCGCGTCGATGAACTTGCGGTGCAGCGCCGCGAGGATGGTGCGCTGGGCCTCAGGGGTGTCCATCTTGCACCGACTGTTATGAGCAGCTTGTGTGTGGTAGCGTCAGTTTTGGTTGATCTGGGACGGCGTCGACCGGCAGTCTCATTGAGTAAGTAGGCACTTGGTAAGTACTTAAGTATGCTTGCTTCGGCCAATAGACCACCGGGTATAAGTTACCGACGTCATACCCGGACGCCCGGAAAAGGCGAGGTGCCGGCGCGGGGGTTCAAGGCGGAAGTTGTGACCCTGCCCAGCTCCGGCGGCACCGGTCTTCTGCCGCTCGCTCTGGCCAAGAACTCGAACATTGCCCTCCTCATACTCCATGTCGGAAAATCACAGGCGCTGACCGTGTCCGAGGAAAGTCTGTGGGAGCGCAACGTGGGTATCTATCTGCATTTGCAACAAGGCCATGGCTCCATGCAGCTGTCCGAAATCTATCTATTAGTTTGGCTATGAAACGCTGTAAGGTAACAAAGACAAAATGCCCCCAACCCGCCGACCAACGCCTTGTGGAATGGCCCGAATCTCATGGCCATGCAGCATCCCAAATGAACAACCAGTGGTCGAAATAAAGCTCTTTTGGACCGACGACAAAGCTCCGCCCGAAGCCTTGAGAGCGCACCTTGTACTGCCGCGTGTGCAGCCCGTCCGTCTGCAGGTGGCGCCTCTGCGCGAGGAAGATGGAGAAGCTGCTCCTCGAGTTGCCCACAAAGTAGTCGCTCCCGGCCAGCACGATAAAGTCCACGATGGCCTGCTGGTCCCACGTCAGGGCCTCCAGCTCCTCCAGGTCAGCACCCCCCAGCACGTCCGTCTTGCTGACCACCGTCATGCCCAGCTGCGCCTGGGCATCCTGTCCGAACCGCGCGATCTGGCCCGCGTCGCCGCACGCCACGTACGCCACAGACGTCAGGTTCTTGTCGGCCGCCTTGCGCAGGTACGCCTCCCGCTGGTCCGCGTACGTCGGCCAGAACTTCTCGGCGTCGATCTCGGCGCGCAGGTGCACGCCTAGGAATCTGCCGTCGCGGCCGTCGCGGCCGTGATCGCCGGGGCCGGGGCCGGCATCGCGCCTGACGAATTCTGCCTCCTCGTCCCCGATGGTCCTCGAGAGCTCGCGCATCCCCTCGAGGGCGCGGCGGCCCAGCCTCATCAGGCGCGGGTTGAACTTGAGCAGGCTGCCAAAGGTGTTTGCAAACTCGGGGCCGTCGCGGTGCACCGGCCACGCCCACATGACTGGAAGCGCAGGGCGCTTGTCCTTGTCGACCATGCGGAACAGGCGCGGGGCGGTGGAGGACGGCGGCTGCAGGAGCGTGGCGGTCCCCGTGATGCCGGTAGTGTTGCCGGTGCGCATGTAGGCGCGGAACCTCTCGCCGAAGCGGTCGACGTGGCGGTCGGTCTGGGCGGCATCGCACTTCTGTGGCACGTTGACCAGGGTGCGTGGGTCGATCTCCGGGATGGCCAGGCCGCCGGTGGTGGCGGCGGCGGCGACGGGGTCAAAGTGAGGCACGTCGCGCGTGGAGTTGAAGATGGTGATGTGTGGGCAGTTGTCGGCCATGGCGGCGCGGAAGTGGGCGTCGTCGAACATGTAGCCGAAGGGGGCCTTGAGCGGGGTGATGTAGTCGGTGATGTCGTCCTGGTCCCGCAGGTGTATCTCGGGCATGACGAGCCCGGTGGCGCCGGCCTCGATGCCGTAGCGCAGGCAGTTGAGGATGAAGTTGCGGATGTTGCCCATGCCGCCCCAGTTCTTGTCGCACACCCACACCACGCCGTCCAGGGGCTCGACCTCGTCGCATACGCGCCTCAGTGGCCAGCCTATGTAGGGCGCGTCCAGCACATCCGAGAGGTCCACGCGGTAGTCGGCCGAGGCCTGAGGTGAGGTCTGCGATGAGGCCTGCGATGAGGCCTGCGATGAGGCCTGTGACGAGTCCTTGCTGTCGTCGCCGGTGGCGGGCCCGTGTGCGTGCTCGCCCATCCAAAAGGGCCTCCCGTCGTTTGGCATCAGCCACCGCACCGTCCAGATGCCGAGAAGCAGGCCGAGCAGGCCGATGAGGGCGCGGCGGCGCAGGACAAAGCCCTTGACCGAGGGTTCCACGCTGCATAGCGACATGACGAATCTGTCCACATGTCTGGCCGCCGAGTTGAGGGCACGCTTGTGCATATCCAAGTGCTTAAGAGGTCGGGCAGGATCTGGATTGGGGGGATGACGCTGGGCGACAAAAGTGGAAAGGACGGGCGGCCATGCCGGAAGAAGCGAGGCGCCAGCAGCAATACGGGGCCCGTCAGCCCGCCAGCCCGCCAGCCCGCCTACGGAGGACGGAGTGCTGCGTGCTGCGTGCTAGGATTCGGCCCCTAGGCTTCACCCCATGTGTCTAGGCTGTCTAGGCGCCTTGGCGTACCACCGCAGTGACACACTTGCCAAAGTGAAAGCACAGTTGATTCACATTCGAGACAGCCCTCGACTCGTCTGCCAGGGCTCCGGGTGAACCTTAACTCTGCTGAAGGCCTCAGTGCGCATGACTCTAGGGGGTGGGCTTTAACAGTACCGTACCGCCTACCTGAGCAAGTACCGACGTACCTACTTAAGTATTTAGGTACTCCGTACCTAGGCACTTTAGCCTCTGGCTAAAGCCCCTGCCCCCCACACTAGCATCTCAGGTGCTGCTGTGGTTGCGAAATTAAGAACACCCAAGTGCCTATGCAAAGTCTGAAAGTCCACGCACTAATAATAATGCACCCTGTCAGCCGCCACTTCCAGAATGGATTATTGCCGTGAGATTTATTTTTGGCTCCTTGCTCCCGCCCAACGGCGCCCCTGATTTGCGAGTCCGCACCTACTGTTCCTACAGTTTTGTAGGTATCCACAAAGCCTACCAAGGTTCAATGTTGGTGTTAGATTTGTGGGTCAAACAATTCAGACTGAAGAGTACTACTCTATCTACCTCCTGAAGTCAACACGCAGCTTACTTCAGTTGCTGTGCTTGATAACAAGATTGTATCATACCACAACACATCAGGGTCTCTGGGCCCAGTCTCTTTACAGTCTATCCTCTCCCTTTGTCCCGAACGGGAGGTCCGTTAAGATCACCGGGAGGAAGCTGACATTCTGGTCAACTAGGAGTCGGAGCCTCCCCCTGGGATGACTGTGCCCAGGTGATTGATTGTCCTGTTCCTGAGAGAATTCATGTCAAGAATGCGTCAACTGGTCGATTGAGCTGCGCACAAATATTTCAGCGCTTCCGTGTAAGGAAACAAAAGGTCGGGACTAGTGAGCAGTCTAGACAGTCTGATAAATTCTTACATTCCACCCAAGTGGCGCCTCAAAAAACATCTTATCAGTATCGAGGACCATGCTAGATGTGACATGTGATTGACTATGATAGATGAGGTGAGGTTTCTAACAGCGACTTGAAGTGTCCGGCAGCGTACTTACTTCCTAGCTAAGTAACTAGTGGCACCAGGCACAAAATGTTGTCTGAAATTCGTAGTCAAGCTTCTATAACCAGACCTGCTCAGCTAGGAACGGTAGTCAATCTTCATCAATTCTCAAAACCTCAAAAGTAAAAATTTATCTAGCCTTTCTTCATGTCTTGAACACAGCTACTGAACGCAACTCTGTGGGCCGATAATTACCCATTCTCGATCACGCCTCCAATTATGCCTGCACTCAATAGACTCTTCCAGACAATCTTACGGCACAAGAGAACCATCGGTTCCAATTCATCCGACCGGCGTGCTCTAGCTTTGCGAAGAAGTCTCTCTCGCGCAGGCGGAGCTTTCGACTGGAAGTGTATTGGCACACACCTGGTTGCAAGTGCGGCCGTGTATGGCGCGTTCGGGTGCGCACTGCCGGGCAGAACTATACTAGAACTTGTCAAAGCTGCGAAGAGCAATATCCAGGACAACGCCGCGGAGATAATCGACAAGTGGCAGCGATCTATGCCGCAGGTCGTCCAAGCAGGGCGGAGAAATATAGAGGACAACGCGGCGGAGAGACTCGCAAACTTCCAGAAGCTCTGCCGCGCATTAGGCATTTCAGGCACTCGACCATGATCATGATGTGGCTTTCCGCGTCGGTTCTTGCTCTGGCAGGAATAGCAAAGGCCGCAATGGATGTTGACTTTAATTCAAGAGGTAAGCATTCATCTCCTCTCCCGGGACAGGAAGATACGACACTGACCTTGCTTAGAATCTATTAAAGAAGCCGCTGAAATCAAGGCCAAAGATGTGATGAGTTTCTACCATGGACAAGACCCGGGCCAGACCCTCGGAATCCTGTCCGGTTCGGGTCCCGAGTACCACTGGTGGGAAGCTGGCGCTCTATGGGGCACGATGATAGACTACTGGAAGTATACCGGCGACAGCACCTACAACGACATTGTACAGGCCTCCCTCCTCGCGCAGGTCGGCCCATATAGGAATTATATGGAACCAAACGTGTCTGCCTTCATGGGTAACGACGACCAGGCCTTCTGGGGCCTCTCTGCGATGCTCGCGGCCGAGTCCAACTTCCAGAACCCGGCCCCGGAGGACCCGCAGTGGCTCGCCCTCGCGAAGGCCGTCTTCGAGACGCAGACGGGCCCTGACCGCCGCGATGGCTCCTGCGGCGGCGGCCTGCGCTGGCAGGTCTTCGCGCTCAATGGCGGCTACGACTACAAGAACTCCATCAGCAACGGTCTCTATTTCAACCTCGCGGCGCGCCTGGCCCGTTACACGGGCGACGGGTCTTATGCGCAGCACGCGGCCGAAACCTTTGAATGGATGCTGCGGGTTGGGCTCATTGACGGCGACTCTTTCGATGTCTTTGATGGCGCCCATGCGCAGCATGACTGCAGAGATATCAACCGCGCCCAGTTCAGCTACAACGTGGCTGTCCTCCTCCACGGCGCGGCGTTCATGTACGACTTCACGCACAGCCTCTTGTGGGCGGAACGGGTCAACGGCCTGCTCGAAAGCATGCTGCGCACCTTCTTCATCCCACCCGTCGTCGGTGGCGGTGGCGGTGGCGGCGCCGACGCCGACGGTGACACTAGGATCGCCTTCGAGCCGTCGTGTGAGGGCGGCAGTTCGAACGTCCCAGCCGAGGGGTGCACCCACGACATGCTCACGTTCAAGGGCTTCGGGGCGCGATGGGTGGCGACCACCGCGCAGCTGTGTCCCTGGACGCGAGATCGCATCGCGCCCGTGCTGAGGGCGTCGGGCGAGGCGGCGGTGCGGCAGTGCGTGGGAGGGCCCAGTGGGCGCGCGTGTGGGATACGATGGGCTTCGGGTGTGTACGACGGGTCGGCTGGCGTGGGCCAGGAGATGAATGTTCTCTCTGCGCTCATGGTCCTGCTGGCTGACGAGCCCGCCGACCCATCCGGCAAGGTCGGTGATGGTGACGAGCACGGGGAGGGGCCACTCACGCACGACACGGGGGGCACGAGCGAGGGCGGCCCGGACGTGGGGGAGACGGTGACGAGCAGCGAGGTCCAACTCGAGCCCATCACGGCCGCCGATGTGACCTCGGCGGCGATCCTCACCAGCGTCTTGATCGTCTCTGCGTTCGTCGTCTTTGTCTTTATGTGTGCTGAAACGGACCGGCCGCCAAAGCAAAAGGATGCTGAGCTCGACGGGGCTTCACACAGGCCCGGCCTGCAAGACAGCAGGCGAAGCAGAATGGCGACCAAGGCCAGGACCATGGCCACGAACATCCAGCCTCCGATGCAGCCGGCGAAAGCCCAGACGGCTGCTCATAGTAACAAGTGGGTGGCATTATACGGAGACGTCGGCGGTTCTGTATTCGGCGGTGACGAAGTATCTGGCGCGGATGGCCTGCGCACGGCGATGAGCAAGACTCGAGGTCGTGAGGGGACGTCGATCAGAAGAGGGATCACGTTGTCAGGTGATGGGATGGGGTGTAGCTGTCAGAGGGGGCCAGCAGCAAAATATAACCGCATCCCGTCATCAAGTGGGAGGTAGAGTTGGTAGTGGTTACTTTTACACTCGGGTTATGTCGAGTTTCATGTTGATATCACACTTGTGCCACCCTCATGTCTGCCACTTCGCCGCCAAGTCGCGATACCGTGGCCTTCGGGTGGTAACATCTGATAAGAAGTCGGGGCAATACCAGAAGTGCATTCGATACCCTGTCTTGAAACCCAGCTGGGCAGTAAACCTGATGCTGGCACCGTCCAGATAATGCAGATGCAGATGCAGCTATTTATGGAGACATCAAATAGCAAATTGAAAACATTCCTGTTCGCCTAACCGCCAGTCTTGCCACCCAATACCTCATCGCCATGCTATGCAATTATTCTACATCTTTGATATCGGCCGATGGGCCCGCAACAACGCTGAACTGGCCACCAGTCCCGCACCAAGTAAGCTTGGCGCCCTTGAGCGCCTTTGCCCTGACTTCCTCGGCCACCTCTGTGTCGTCGTCGTTTCCGTTCCCAAGCTGCATCTGGCCGTTGAAACCAGACGCGTAGGCCTTGCCCTCCTTGTTGACGAACACGGTGTGGCCTCTGGAGCAGGCCACGTAAGCCGCTTCTCCGATGTTTGGAACCGCGACGGGGGTAAGCAGGATGCGCGGCCGATCGTGCTCGTCTCGCCGGACCAGCTTCGGGTTGTTGAGCTCGTCCTCTGCAAGCTTGAACCCGAGGTGCCCGCCGTCAATTCGGCCCCAGACAAGGCAGCGGCCGTCCGCGGTCACGGCCGTCGAGTGCTGCTCACCGCCGTCCATGACCAAGATCCCTTGCTTGGATCCGGCGCGAATCTGCAAAGGGTGAGGGAGGATCGCGTTGTCGCTGCCAGCATCCTTGGCGTATCCAGCCTGCCCGTAGCTGTTGAGGCCCCAGGCAAAGAGCCTGTCCAACTTGTCGATCGCGAACGAGTGGTATGGCCCGGCGGCGATGAGCTTGATCGGGTGTCGGCTCAGCTCAAGTCTGCCGGGGTAGTAGTTGTCCAGATGCTTGTTCTGAGGGTGGGTGCGGCGGCCGACCTGCTTCTGCTCGTTGACGCCCCAGGTCCAGACATTGCCCTTGACGTCGAGTGCGAGGGCGTGGTTCGAACCGCAGACGACCTTGGTGATGTTTTGCAGGCCGGGGATCAAGATCGGCTTGTGTTGCACCTTTATGGTTTCCCCCTTGTAGTAGAGGAAGGTCTCGTGGGCTTCACTATCCTGTGGGGGGCAGTCGCGTCAGAAAAGAAGGCGGGACAGTGCCAATGACGGAATCCGGAGGCGTCGAGAACTTACCAGGAAGGTTCCCCAGCCGTAGACGAGGCCAGTCTCGGTAACAGCGAAGCTGCAGCTGTCACCTGCGGCCACGGAGGTGAACTTGGTACCCTTGGGAAACGAGCTCTCAGGGATGTGCGTGGGGGTGGACTCAAGGGGATTGACGTCCTCATCGTCCGAGTCGCTGTCGGAGCCAGCCTTCTCGGCATCCATATCGCGCAGCCCCCCGTCCCAGTTGGTGTCCCTGCCCAGCGCGCCCTTGTCATTACAGCCCCATGAGACGATCTTGTTGTCTGCGGTCAGGGCTAATGAGTGCATGCCACCGCAGTCGACCTGTACGACCCGGTATGCGTCCTTCTCCCTCCCATCGAGCTTTGGGATGACGGTGGCGCGCTTTGCCTCCTTCTTCTTGGGCCCGAGACCGAGCTCACCGCTCATGTCACCAGTGCCGAACGCGTAGACGGTCAGGATGTCTGTGGGCGCATTGTTGATGACGGGAAGGTCTGAGGTGTCGGGAGGCGCCGAGGTGAAGCTCTTGAGGGTGTCGACGGGTTCGGCGGAGAAGGACGAGGAGAATGACGCGTCGGGCGTGGCCTTGGCCTTTGTGGGCTTGGGGCGCTTCGCGTCGACTTGGTGGACGGCGTCGAGGCCCCTTTGACGCTTGGGCTTGGCTTCTGGCGCCTTTGGCTCCTCAATGGCCTTGCGCTTCTTGGATGTGTTGGGTTTTGTGGATGTGCCATTGACGATTGGCTCGACCCTGGGCGCAGCGCGCGACCGCGTGGACTTGGGCGGCATTGTGGAAAATGATCTGTTGTGTGATGATCTCACCGGTGTGGTTGGCTGACGGTTGATGGCGCGAAGCCGGTGTTTTGTGGGTGGGTGGTGTGAGGAAAACCTGGTCCAGCCGTCGAGCTTGATTGCAGCGTGCTGTGTAGTGTAAACCCGACCCCTGGCCCCCTGGTGGAAAAAAATGGAGCTCCGGCAGCTCGGTGCTGATGGTCAGTGCTCCCAGCCCAGACTCGAGCTTGGCCGTTGGCCGTTGGCCGGGGAGCGAGAGCGAGGGTAAGCGTCAGCTCAAATATTCCCAAAAGATGGGCAAGCTCTGCCTCCAATTGCACCAGCAGTGAATAGAAATAGAGCAGAACGATAGTTGTCAGCCCTCGACGGCATCGAGTCCATCATTCTTTGCAATTTTTGTGGAGTCACATGTGAGCAAGTGAGTTCTCGAGGCATCGTCTGACACAGATTCATTGTCCAGTGTCTACTCACTGCGCAGCTGCGCAGCCAGCTGTGCTGCATTGTTCCCTCACCACGTCCAACCCCCCACAAGCTTCCTACCGCTCCCATGATTCTCGACGTCGCAGGCCACGCATGAACCAACCTGCACCAGACTTGAGCCCTGTGGTGTTTTCATCCGTGTCCTCAACCAGCGTTGACTGGGTCGACTTTCTTCGCCCCTCATACCTGGCACTTGCTGACAAAGATGGAGTTGATGATGCTCGCTCTTGCTGTCTCTGGCTCGCGGCATAAGATGATCTGCCCATCGACTTCAATGTCGCGCGACCCCTAGACGACCCATTCCGCGACCTATCCCACGACATCGTACCACTCTCGAGGCACGCCCCGGGCTTTTCTGTGGGAGCCGAATCTGCCTCATCTGTCTCGAAGTTTTCCTCCATGTTCTTATGATTCCATATATTGTACAAAATGAGGCATCCGGTGCCGATAGTCAAGAACGCAACATATCCAGAAGCGCTGAGGACAATTGCTATGATCAAGTCGTTCATTGCCTTTGGTGGCCGTCTGTCACAAAATGCATCAAGTGCTTGTAGGTTCTCTGTCTTTCTCGAGTTCGATGTTCGTCGGCTTAGGTGATATGGATCCTGGCAATTGAGTGTGTTGCTGCCTCATCCCCATGTTTCCACTCGACAGCTTGCTTACAAGACTATTTGTATTCATTACGGACAGACAAGCACGTCACAGCCCCTCCACGGCTCACTGTCAAGGATGACGGTAGGCCGTGACAGGGGCTCCAGAACAAACACCAGTAACTAACAGTCATTGTGACCAATCCGTGCTGTAATAGATCTTTAAGGGAAAGAAGTAAAAGTAGAATAAGTCTACAGAGGTCGGTCTAAAAAGTCTTTACCGCCAAGGAGTAGGGGTCCCTAATTAGAAAATTAATCCCTATAATAACACTTATTAAATTTACTAACTTATTAAAGATTAATACTCTTATTAAATAAATTATACTATTATTATATATATTAAATATTTAAAATTTTTATTAATATTAATAATAATAAATTTTTTAATATTTTTTTATTAATTTAAACTTTATATAAATTAATTAAATAAAAAAACTTTAATTTAACTACTTTATTCCTTCTTTTTATATACTTATTATTATTATTATAGTAAATTATTTATTAAATATATTATAAAATTCTATTAATAAAAGTTTATAAATAAAATAATTTAAAGTTTTTAAACTTTTTTAAATTATTTTACTTTTTATATAATTTAAATATTTTTATAAATAGTTTTCTTTTAACTTTAATTAAATAAACTTAATTATATTTAAATTAAAAATTATTATATTAAATTACTTACTTAACTTTATATATTAAAAAACTTTTATTTAAATAAAATAAAAATATAATAATATTTTATCCTTTTATATAATTACTTAAAAACTTAACTTTATTATAAATAAAATAAATTTATTAAATAAAATATACTTTTAATAATAATATTAATTAATTTCTTTATACTTTACTTTATATATAACTTATTATTTTATTTATTCTATTATTAATTTTATTTATAAATATAAACTATTTATATTTTTAATTTTTATTAAGTTAGAAGTGAATAATTAGAGTTTTAAAAGTATAAAATATAATATATTTATTTATAAATATAATAAAAACTTATTTAATAATAATAATATATTATAAACTTTTATTAATTTATTACTTTACTTTAATAATTAACTTATTTTAAAAATTAAAAGTAATTAATAATTTTTATTTCTCTTTTTTAATAAAAGTTTTAAATTATTAAATATAATAAAACCTCTCTCTTTCTATAAAAATAAACTTAAAATATAAACTTTAAATACTCTTTTAATATTTTTAAATAATTAATTTACAAACTTTTTATTAATAATTCTTTAAATTTAATATTTATTTCTTTTAATATATAAAATAATTAATATTTTATTATTTTAAATTATATTATTTTAATTCTTTAAAGTTTAATATTTATAATTTAAATATTATTATAAATAAGTAATCTTTATAATATTAATAAATTTAAACTTTTATTAATTTTATTTTTAAATTTAATTTTTAAAAATAATATAAATTATACTCTTATTAATATAATTTTTAAATAATTAATAATAATTATATTAAAAGTTCTTTTATTTTAATTTTTATTAATATTTTAAAATATTATTTTTCTTTTAATCTTCTTTAATAAATAACTTATTTATTTATTATTCTTAATATAAATATTAAAAATTATAAACTATTAAATATTTAAATTAAACTTTTAATTAATTATTTTACTTATAAATTTTATTAAATATATATAAATATATTAATATAATTTTAATTATTTTATTATTAAATTTAATTATAAAAATATAAAAATTTATAATTAAATAATAATTAAATACTTTATAATTAAATATTAATTAAATAATAATAATAAATAATTAAAAAAATAAAAAAAGTTTATAATTATATTTTAAAAGAAATTTAACTTATAATAATTTCTTTTATAAAGATTTAAATTTTAAAAAGTATAAACTATTAAAATTAAAAGCTTTTACTTTTAATAATAAAGATTTTAAACTAACCTTTATAATATAAAGTAAAGTTTTATATTATTAAATAAACTTTATATATATAATTATTTAATAATAAAATGAAATTAATAATTTATATATTAATTTATAATAATAATATTAAATTTGTAATATATTTTAATATATTTTAATTATTCTTTTAATTATTAATTATTAGTTATAATAATTATATTTTTTAAGTTTTATTATTAAATTAAAAATAAATAATTTAAATATTTTATATAAATATATTATTAAAAATATAAATTAATTATTTATAAAGTTTATATTTTATAAAATAAATTATAATATAATTAAATTTATATATATATATATAAAAAAAAATAAAAGAATATTAATAAATTATAAAATAATTATTTATTAAATATAATTAATATTATTAAAGATATTTTAATTAAATTAATATTATAATATTCTTTTAATAGTTTTAAATATAATTTTAAATTATAAACTTAATTTTAAAATAGTATTTTAAATAGTTTTTAATATTTTAAAGTTATTTTTATTAATATTTTATTATAATAATTATAAGATATATTTATATTATTTTAAAAATTTAAATCTTTTAAATTAATATAAAATAATAAATTATAATAAATTAATTATTATAAGTAAGTAAATAAAATTAATAAGTTTATATTTATATATAAATTATTTAACCAATTAAATACTTTATTATTTAATTAAATAAACTTAAATTAATATTAATATATATTACTTTAATTACTATTATATATATATAAACTAATTAAGTAATTATTTATTAACTTTAAATAATTAAATAAAAATATTAATTACTTTAAAAATAATTATATTAATATTAATTTATTAATTAAAATTATAATAATAATAATAATAATAATAATAATAATAATAATAATAATAATAATAATAATAATAATAATAATAATAATAATAATAATAATAATAATAATAATAATAATAATAATAATATAATAATAATAATAATAATAATAATAATAATAATAATAATAATAATAATAATAATAATAATAATATAATAATAATAATAATAATAATAATAATAATAATAATAATAATAATAATAATAATAATAATAATAATAATAATAATAATAATAATAATAATAATAATAATAATAATAATAATAATAATAATAATAATAATAATAATAATAATAATAATAATAAACTAATATTAATTTTAATTTATTAGTTTAAAATTATTAAAAGTATTATATATATTTATTATATTTTAAAAAATATTAATTATTTTTAAAAACTTAAAATTTAATTTTCTCCTTTTATTAATAACCTTTCTTAACTATAAATAATATTTTAAATTAAATAGAATAATTTTAAAAACTTAAAATTTAATTTTTAAATAATTAAATAAAATATTTTATTAATATAATTTTATAAACTTATTATAATAATTTATTAATAATTAATAACTTTATATACTTTACTTTAATTAATATATAACTTTAAATAATAATCTTTTATATAATAATTTATAAAAAATATTAAATTATAAATAATTATAATAACTTTTTCTATTTATTAAATAATTTTCTTATAATAATCTTTTAATTATACTTTTAAAAAACTTTTAAATATAAATAATAACTTTTATTAATATAGGTTATTATATATATATATAAAGTAGTTAATTAAATTAAATTATATAAAAAAGGAAGCTAATATAAAGGCTAGCAATAAGTCCATATAATTTCTAACTAAGGTTATATAATGTAATTTAAACTATTTATTAATTATTTTTATTCCTATATTAGTAGTCTTTTATTAAATAGTTAGGTAATTAATTTAAAAATTTAATTTCCTTTAAATCTTTTAAATTAAGTTAAACTTAAACCTTTACTTTTCTTTAATTTATAATAAAGGTAACCCTTTCTTAAAATACTATTAAATAAAAGTATATATAAAATATTATTATTATTATTAAAAGGTTTAATTTATATATTTTAGTTTTAATTACTATTTTAAAAGTTAAAATAAATATACTATTTTATATTTATAAATCTTTTAATTTTAATAAAATTACTTACCTTAAATTTTAAATTTAAATATATAAATAATTACTTTTAAATATATATATAAACTTATATTTTATTATTTATAAAATAATATAAATAAATATAAACCTAAATTTTATAAATCTTTATAAACTTTTATAACTTTAACTTTAATATTATAAATTATTTAATAAAAATAAAAGTTTAATTA